GTTCCCAGAGTACCGCAGTCCTCAGGGAGATGTCGGCCTGTTTCAAATCCCCCCTCCACCTACCACTTGCCTTTGGGGTAGATCTCCCCTTGCTCAGTGGGTCCTGGGGGTATCTCCCCACACTTGCTCACTCTCAGGCCTGTGACTGACACCCACTTGCCAGCTCCTTTGGCTCATAGTGAGCTGGCACCTCCCCACTTCATGCCTCACTCGAGACACCCAACAAATCTTTCTTCCAGGTAAGGTCAACCCTGCCCAAACACACCTGTCTACTCAGTGTAATTTTGGCGGTGCAGCAGGGTAATGTCCTCTTCCCCTAACCTCCACTTACATTTGCATTTTTTCTAGAAAACCCCCCTGGGAAAGCATGCCTGAGTTTCCCTGCACCCTGAGGTCTAAATGCCAGTGTTAGATCTATTCCCCAATATATTCCTTGGGGCAGGCTTGGGTAAAGGCTGAAATTGTAAGGACTAACCAGGAATGCCCAAATCAAATGTGCTATGGGTGAATGAAACATGGGTCTTCAGCAGACTGTTCCGAATGAACCCCCAGCTGTTTGCTTACACTCCTGATAAGATAACCGAAACATCTGCAGACTGGGAACAAGGAGAGGCAAAATCACAGAGTGGGACAGAGCTACACCAGTCCTCTGTTGCTTTCTTATCTTCTCTCTACTTGATAAAAATAAGTGTCTAGAAATTGCTTAGGGGTCTTTGCCCTGCCCTGGGGACAGAGATCTGCTGCTGACAACACCTTCTCCAGGTTCACGTGGGATCACCAATCCCTAACAGCAGGAATTAGGGTGCCATCTCCTCCACCTGCACCCCCTCCCCCTCTTCCAACTTGCCAGATGCCCAGGAACTACGTCCCAGGAAGGGGAGACTCACCACGCAGCCCCGGGGTGGCCATGGTGCGGGCGCGCAGGAGGCAAGACCCGGACTGCCCCGCGGGGGCGCTCACCTGCCTCCGGACAGGCTCCTGCAGCCGCCGCTAATTCCACCCGGCTCAGCTGGGTCTGGTGGTGCCCGCCCCTAGCCTGCTGCTGCCGCCTCCCGCCCTATCCCTCCCAGGCCAGGGCCGGGCGCCGCCGGTGGCCAGTGGGGGCCCTCCGGGTTGCGCCCCGGGCGCACGGGCGAGCGCTGGAAGTGCCACCGGCAGAAGGAAGGACGTTTCCGCCGTAGGGTTAGTCCAGGCCAGGCTCAGGGAGCGGAGGGGCAAGACAGTGAGCGCAGCCTGCTTTCCACTGCCCCCGGAGGCGCTTCATAACCTTGTCGGGTAGGGTTTAGGAATACTCAGCCGATTATCTCCTGAACCGTCTGGCTGATTAGTTTCCAATCCCACCCCCAAAACCTCCCCTCTGCCAGGTGAGGCAGATTGCCTGGGGCGGCTTAGGGGGCTCCCTTCACACCTACCCTCACTGGACCTCACCACCAGCTGTCCTCACTTTTCTCCAGGCTGACAGGTGCGGGACTGGTGGAATGGGTGCCCAAGGACAGGTAGGACGGGAAGAGGAGGGTGTAGCCGACAAGCAGAGGTTTCGATCCTGGGGAGACATGAGAACTGGACGGAGGAGGTAGATTGTAGAAGGAAGGTCCATCCCAGAGAACAGGGCTGCTGGGTTCTTGGAATGGTTTCAGTATCTGGCAGTGGGCAGAGGGATGGAAAACAAGACCTACTGTAGGTGGGGGTTGTAGATTATGAACGCCACAGTTTCAGGATGCTCTGAAGCTAAACATTAACACCCAGGGCCCAAAAAGTGAAAAGGATTTAAGTTAAGGTCAAGTATGCTATTTATGACCACTGACCTTTCAGTGTGAAGCGTTTTATCTCCCCACTGATAAGGCAGGCTGATGGTGGTTGCTCCCCACTTCATTGATGGGGAAGCTGAGACTGAAGGGGAGTTCATAACACAGAGTGAGTCAAGGGCAGAGCAGAAGTAAAAGGATTCTGTCCCTGTCCAGAGCTTTATTCTGTTTGCTGGGAGTGATCATGGCTGATGTGTATGCAGGGCTTGCTTTTTGTCAGGCACACTTTCAAAATGCTGCTAACATTTTGCTGTTCGGATTCCGTCTCCCCTAAACATTCCATCTCCCCTAAACAATGCCCTTCTCCCCACTCCCTTCCCAGGACCCTCCTCCATGTCTTCTCGATGCTGAGAATTGGAAAATGTTCCACCTTGCATCTGTTATCCAGTCTCCTTCTTTCTTCTCTCTCTCCAGCACTTTCTTATATAAATAAGAATAAGAACCCCTGTGTTCTCTCTCTCTTTAAGACTTCCCTTCTCTTCGCAGGAGTGAGCAAAACAGAAAGTAGAGATCAGAGGCAGCCTCTGCCCTTGGAATACCAGCAGCGTGGGGTGAGGGGAGCTGCTGAGATGGCCCAGTGCCCCACCTGTTTCTCTTTCTGCATCTTTTTTTAAGATTTATTTATTTATGCATACAGAGCTGGGGTACAGGCCAGAGATGCAGGGGCGGGGGTGAGAGGATCCACCAGAAACAGAGTGGGGAACAGAACAGGCAGATTGACCAAAGTACACTGCTGAGGGCAGCAGCGGGCGAGACAGGAGAGGATTGCTGTGCCATGTGGGTAGCTCCCTGGCCCACAGGGGATCGAACTCATGCTGCAGAGGCTGCAGATTGCTTCACAGTGCAGTGTTTAACCCCTTCCGCCACTAGGGAGGCCCGTATTTCTGCACCTTTATCCTGCCATTGTTTTTAATCAAGTCATGCAGTTTTTCTGATTTAGCTTTTGTCCTGATGGTGAGTTGTCAAGTCAGTAAATATAAGGTCAGGTGAGGGAGTGACAGGTCATTGGAAAATCGACACCTTCTGATGATGATGATGCCTCCTTGTTGAGTTTCTCTGGGGCTGATGCCTCCAATAACAGCTCATCTCCAGGTAGAGTGTCAGGTGGTCAGAGAGAGACCGGTCACTCACTGTCCCCGATCTGGTTTCCTACAGACTCAAGCTACTCAATGTTAGAGGCAGGGTGATGGATGGAGAGATGACTACCTTTGAATTATTGAGCAGTTATATAAAACTTCTGTCCATCTTTCCTTCTCTCTACCCTCCTAACTCCCGACCAAGCCTACTCAACACAGTCTATGCCATTTGCATGTAATGTATCTTCCCTTGAGATTAATCGTAACAGAAGCAGTTGAGACCTAGAAAGGGAGCAGCCACTGGTTCCAATGACAGCACAGACTGAATCTGGATGCCATGGGGAAGAGGTGGCACTGGTGTGGTGGTACTTGCCTAGGTGTCAAAGCAAGTGGGTTCTCAGCCTGGTCCTGTGGCCCAGCGACTGTGTGACCTTTGGCAAGTCACTAGAGTCTCTGAGCAAACCCTCTGTCAAGGGCAGGGGAGGGGCAGTGGACTAGGTGATGTCTAAATACTTTCTGGCTCCATCATCATCATCTAAATACTTTCTGGCTCCATCATCATCTGGCTCCACTCATTCATTCAATGAGTTGCATATCTCCTGTGTTAAAAGGACCTGGAGTGAAAATCAATTCCCCATCAAACTCTGATCACATGTCTGGTTGCCACCTTCATTCTTGTGGGTGTTCTCTCTCCAAGTAGAGACTCCTCATTTTGCCATGTGAATTTCTATCATAAATTGTAAGAAAGGACTATCTCTCCTTGAGTGTGACAGCACCAGTTAGTGATATGGAGACTGGGTGGGGTTTGGAGTTATCTATTTCTGTTTCCCTTATTCTAAAAGATGCCTGAAGAATGGACAGCCTTGGCAGTCAACATGAAGCCCAAAAGAAACTCGGCCCTCGCCCCACAGACCAATGGCAACCCCAATGCAATTAGAGATGCTTAGTTCACTCCCTTTTGAGGTTGATGTCCCCATTTTCATTCATGTTGCTTTTCACATGATTATAGAGCAATTAACGGTTACCCCACAGACTTCTGGGCCTATTTTATCTTCACAGCCCCATGAGTGAGACTGACATTCCTGGTTTCCAGATGAGGACACTAAGTCTGGGAATCACCAATGGGTTTATTGGAGGCTGCACAAAAAAGTTAGGGCCCTTTGTGGAACCCAGGTCTGCACCCCAAATAATATTCATCCCCATGGCTGAGCAGGTAAACCAAAGCGGGTGGGACATGCAGGAAAACATGCAGTGACTCTGTCTTGTGTCGACGCCATTTCACACCCGCAACCAGTAACTGCCGTACCCCCAGGGGGTGGCCAATGTCACCTGCTGTTTCTTTCCCGTGGTAACCTGTACTCATGACCCACACACAGCCCGATCTTAGTAGAGCACAGATGCCCGGACATGGCCACTCAGACATCAGCATCATCAATCATATAAGATCGGTCAGGGACAGCAGGCCCTTGGCTGGGAGGATGGTGTGGATCCAGCCTCCACCCAAAGCGCTGTCCTCGGCTCTGGCACTGAGGACCCCTGGATGTAAGTGGCCCTTAAGAAAGCATGATTAATGGACATGCCTGCTTCATTCTTGGCACTCGCATTACCCTCTCAGTAGGGGTGTTTTCCTTCCTGCAACCACAAATGCCACCTACCTGTACCTCTCAGTCCCTGTTTTCCAATCCCCTCTGACCTCAGCACCTCTCTCTCCCAGTGGGGCAGCTGCAGGTACACAGGAAGCTGAGCTAAGGGCTCAGGGAAATCCTATCAGGCTTTCTCCAGTGTTGACCTCTCGGGCCCGAACGCCAATCTCTCTGCTCTGCTCAGAAGCCCCTGGACCCAGAGACTGGAGAACCCCGTGTTCCTGAGCAAATCCCTTTGACTTCAAACACCAAACTGAGTTTCTGAGGAGGCCTGCCCCACTGCCCCTCCCCTCCCCTCCCCTTGGAGGAAAGACACCCTTCTCTCCCCGAGGCCGGCAGCTCTGCACACAGAAACACTGGGGCTGGAACGATTTCAGAGACAGACTGTGCTTCCCCTCACAACCACCTCAGGCATCAGACCCAGTCCACAGTTGTCCTCTCAGGCTGGAAAACAGAACAAGTAGCCTTTTTGCAAGATGAGAGATTGGCCTTTATTGTGGGCCCAGGGCGGCAGGATCAGGGCTGCAGAGGATGAGTACCACTTGGGTAGGGCGGGGCAGGAGGCCCATGCCCAGTCCATGGGGCCTCACTTGCTGCACTTCCTGGGGGAGCACCTGCACTGCATGGCGTTGAGGATCTCATGGTGGACGATGGAGCCGTTGGTGCAGCGCAGGGGCACTTGCATGGGCACGGTGCGCGTGGGCGAGCAGCAGGAACACTGGTCCTGCACGTCCTCTGTGTCGATGGAGTACACGGCTTTGCTGGCACATTTACCCTGCATGGAGCAGAGGGCCGGTCATCTCCATGATGGAGAGTCTCTCTGGCGGGGTGGGGAGGATTTGGGGGCAGGCTGCACCCTCTCCCCCACCTCCTCTAAGCAGAGAAACCCAGGAGCTGGCCAAGTTGGAAAGGTAGGCCTCGGGAAGTCTGAAAGGTCCTCCATCCTTATGGTCTCCCACCCTAACCCTCTCTCATTGCAATTTCCATGATTGATCTTTAAAAACACAGCCTCAGTAACTTGTGGGGTCTTTTCTCGGTTTTGTCCTTCTGGGATCAAAAGTTCTCAGTCACTTCAATAAAACATTTCTAGTAAATAAAATGCTCTGAGTGCTTTGCACGTCTCCTCCCTGTGAATTTTCCAGATTCTTCTACATCTAACTGGAGAGGTGTATCCAAATAAGGAGACTTACTCCTCCCCCCCAGGTCCCACTGAGTTCGGGACTCTTACCTGGCAATAGTGAATGTCCACTTCCTCCTCGGACTGACAGCTGCCCACTTTGACGTACTGCACCCTGGCAACAACGTCCTTGCACTCAGGAGCCTCACCTACAGGGCAGGTGAGAGAAAGATCTGAGATTGGCTGGGGAGCTCCAGAACATTCTGCAGTCTGGTTCCCTCACAGGGCTGGAAGAAGGTCAATTTCACAGTAACCAAATCACCACAGCCAGCCACAGGGAGGAGAATTAAGTTATCCTGGCCCACCTCCGCCCCTCTCAGCTCTTCATATTCAGAGATATAGTTATCACTAGGTTTAACTCATTTAATGGTACAATTTTAATTGCAGGCCGAGCCTAAATTTAATAAGCTTTGGTGATATCGATGGAGGAGACTTGTTCTTAATACAATTGTAGACCTTGTAAATCATGACTGGAGCAATCCTCTGAAGCTCGTAACCATATCTAGAAGCCAATGGACATGAAGTAGTCAATAAACACAGTTAATATCTGTCCATAGGTATGTGAGCGGGAAGACAGATGCCAGGGTCACGTAAGGGCAGTCACTGCCTCTGTGGGAACGAGAAGATTCCCTAGGAGCCCTCCTGGAGTACTCTCTTTGGGGTAAGGTCACCAAGTCACTGGCATGGGTTTCCTTACAGCGGCTCAGGGCATTCAGATTTGCATCTCTCCTTGAGCCACCAAGACTCCTACAGCTTAATGCAGCTCACCCTTCCCCACTGAAATGCCAGGACTTTCCCATTCTTGGGTGGCTCCAAACTAAATCAACCCTAACTACATATTAACCCGCCGCTCAACTTCCAGATGATTTCAATTTTAAATGAGAGCCTGTCAGCTGCATTTGGAGGATGAATAAGGACAATATATTTAGGGCAACATACTGTATTTTGCTGTAGATGTAACTCCCTGAGTCTGGCTGGTTTTCCTTATGAAGGGTCTCAGTCTCCTGGACACCTTGACCAACAAAAGGCCCTTGCAGATGGCAATCTCTTAACTAAATTCCATATGCTGTGTGAGCAAAGAGAATTGATCTTCTCTGATGGTTCCCTGGCTTCACATTCTTAAACTATCAAGACAGGAATCACAGAAAGATGCTTCCAGAGTGTGTCTCCTCAACCTGCGACTTCATCACAGAGATTACAGGGGTGAGTAAGCCATCAGTGATTGAACGCTGAAAGTGTCCACGTTTTTTACTCCTTTCATTTTTGCTTAGAAGAACTGGGGTGTGGGCCAAAGGTGTGGGGGGTGAGAGGACTCACCAGAAACAGATTGGGGAGCAGAAGAGGTGAATTGACTGAAATAAACTTCTAAGGGAAGCAACAGGTGAGAGGCTTCACCAGAGACAGATTGGAGAGCAGAAGAGGTGGACTGACTGAAATAAATTTCTAAGGGGAGCAGCAGGCGAGATAGGAGAGGTCTGCTGCGCCATGTAGGTTAGCTCCCTGGTGGGGATCAAACTCAAGCCATAGCGGTGATAGTGCTAAGACTTAACCCCTAGACCCCCAGGGAGGTCCTCACTCCTCCTTTCTACCCCACAATGAACATGGCCTGAGAAGCCAAAGCCAAAAAATAAAATCTAAAATCAAAAAATATTAGTCCAGGCCAGTGAACCCATATCCAGATAATGCAGCATTGATATTGGGGTTCTGCACGTTACAGGTGCTCATGACACAGGAATGTGTGGTGCGATACCTTTGGACGTGCAGACTTGCTGAGCCCCATCTTCTACGCTGCTGCTGTGAGCTATTAGGGACCTACCTACCCATGTGACATGAGTTCAAGGTCAAGGGAAGCCAGGGTTGTGGGGGAGGAGGGGAGCAGCTAATCAACATAGACCAGCTTTGGGGAGTCTTGAGAGGACTCTGTTCTCTTCAGCACCCCAGCACAAAGTGGGGGCTAAGGTGAGCCAACTACTCTTCTCTTTCTCTCTGAGAGCTGAGCGACTCTCAGTGAAGATGTTCATCGGGTCTCTGTCAAGATCAAGGATCAAGGGTGCCTGTCTTCACGGAGCTCTGCTTGGAAGAAAAGATATACCTTTATGATAAGACCACAAGCAGCCAAGACTCAGTGAATGGAAAGACAAATAGAGGCTTGAGGCAGTAAAGAGTTTGGAAGAAAGTGTGGAAATTGGTTCACAGGCCTTTGAAAAGGGATTTGAGCAGAAGGAAGTGTGATGTCATTCCGGGAAAAGGGCAGTTCCCAGTGAGCATTGTGACAGGTCAGTGACAGAGAAATCTCTCTCTAAAATGAAGCTTTCTCCAAAACCAGCCCCTGAACGTGGTCTGATGGGTTTCAAGGAATGAGCTCTTGGTGATAACTTACATGTGTCACAGCAAGTGCCTGGAATTTTCATGATTTTCCCCTAAGAAAACAGCAAAGTCCCAGATTAGGCACAAATAGCATATAGTGGCCAGTTTGCTGGTCCCTCCAGGCCAGTTCCCAGTTCTGGGGTTACAACCTGTCCCCCGACGCAAGCTGTGCTTCCCCATCACAAACGGGAGCTGACTGACCACCCAACCTGGCCAGGCAGAAACAATTTTGATTATTCTGAACTCTCTTCCAACTGAGCCATCAGGATTATTGGGAAGACTGGAAACCAGTCTGATCTCGCCCCTTCTCATTCAAGGGTTCCAGATTAGGTCTCCCCCAAGGGAAAGAGTTTCTTTAAGCATTGCATAGTACTTCATCAGGCTTGGATTTCCACTGCTCCAATAACTCTTAAACTAGATCTGGAAACCAGGAAACACAAGCTGGATGACAGGCCATCCAGGGGGACTCTGTTCCCAGACTCAACGGTGGAGACAGTGAGGGAGCGGGGTCTGAGCGCTGACTACTCACGCCCTCAGCCAGACATTTGTGCTCATCAAAGGGCGGGCAGCCCGTGACCCTCTTCTCCCAGATGTACTCTCCTCTCTCGTTGACCTTGCACAAGTGGCTGTCACAGCCATCCTGGAGAGTCTCCCCAGCCTAGAAGGAAAGGGAGAAGTGAGTGGGGCACATGTGAAAATGGTCTGCATTACCAAGTCACTTCAAACCATGGCCCTGACTCTGCCGAGTTGTTCAAACAAGTTGGAGGACTATAGAACAGGAAAGAAACTTCAGGGCCTCCCTGGTGGCCAGGGGGTTAAGTCTCAGCACTATCACCACTGCAGCATGAATTCCATCCCCAGCCAGGGAGCTACCCACATGGTGCAGCAGACCTCTCCTGACTCGCCCACTGCTCCCCTCAGCAGTGTATTTCAGTAGATCTACCTATTCTGCTCCCAGCCCCCACCCCGTCTCTGGTGAATCTTCTTACCCCCCCCCACCTCTGACCTACACCCCAGTTCTTCTATGCATAAATAAATAAAATAAATCTTTTTCAAAAGTTAATAAAAAAGTAGGGCTGCATAAATATAGAAAGTTCCCCAAAACCCTCTGATCACTCAGCAGTTTAAAGAATTAAAACACAGGAAGGACAAACTGGCTGATCACTCATTAACTAGAAACCCAAGATACAGCTGCTGAGAGCCATCAGCTGGTTCTGGGCTTCCATAGACCAGAGTCTGTTCACCCAGATGATCTATTAAATCTTATATACAATCAAGGCAGGGAAAACTTTAAAGATCAACTAACACCAAATCATGGGCCCCCCCACACACAAAACACTTGTCAAGAAGAGACAAAATTGGGCCTCCCTGGTGGCGCAAGGGGTTAAGCACCACGCTATGAAGCAATCCACAGCCTCTGCAGTACGAGTTTGATCCCTGGCTGGCCGGGGAGCAGCCCACATGGAGCAGCAGACCTCTCTTGTCTCGCCCGCTGCTCCCCTCAGCAGTGTATGTCAGTCAGTCTGCCTGTTCTGTTCCCCACTCTGTCTCTGGTGACTCATCTCACCGTTCCCCCACCCCACCCCGGCCTGTACCCCAGCTTTTGTATGCATAAATAAATCTTTTTAAAAAAAAAAGAGAGAAGAGACAAAATCACTACACCAAGGAGAATTCTGTACAAAAACACTGATATAAAGGGATCTAGGTGCTCCTACATTCAGTGCAGCCCTCGTTATGACAACCAAGCTATGGAAACAACCTAAGTGCCCAGGACAGATGGGTGGATTAGGAAGATGTGGGATACAGACACAGGGGAATAAACAAGAAATCTTGCCATTTGTGACAACATGGATGGAACTGGAGGAGGTTCTGCTAAGTGAAATAAGTCAGAAGAAGAAAGTTACTGGATGATTTCACTCATGTGTGGAATACAAAGAAACGAAGCAAAGGAGCAAACAAAAACAAACCCTACAAGTCTGACAGCAGAACTGAGGCTACCTGAAGGGAGGGCGGTGTGGGGAGCAAAGCAGGAAGGGACCCGATGGACTGTGGTGGAAGATTGTTGGGACCTTGGTGGCGGGTGGCATGATAACATACATTTGTAGAGGTGTGACCCTACACCCTGAAGACACGGACGGCATTGTAAGCCCGCGTCACACAGGGGTTAGCCCACTAAGAATCCAATCAGCATAATTAAAAACAGAGAAAGTTCTGTACCTTCTATAAGTCACCCATCTTTTCTTTCCAAAATCAAAAAGATGTTCATATTGACTCAAACTTGGTCTCTCCCTCTCAAAGAAAATAACCCAAAATAGGAAATCAAGCAGTGGTAGGAAAGGAGACTCCTGAAATGTACTTGCTCCTACCTTTAGAGTGACGATCTGTCCTCCCCGGAGCTGAATGGTGCAAGCTGTAGGTAGACACCTGCTGCAGCATTCACCTGCAATGATCTCTTCCTTGTAACCCTGTATCCAGGAGGAAAGGCAGGCCTAGTTAACCTCTCCAGAATATCCCGAGCAGTAGACTTGTTTTGCCAGCTCTAGTTTCTTCTATTCAGCAGCTCACCTGGAGTTCAGAAAGTCCACCTCCAACTCCAACTAACTTTTGTCTGTGGATTCCCCAGCCCCCCTTGTTTTCAGGGATATTGTCTCGATGCACAGAGTTCCTGCTGGTCAAGCTAAAAATGTAGAGTCAGTCAGGAGCCTCTCACCAGGACAAAAATTTTGGTATGAGGAACATACTGGGAAACCAGAATCTGCTGAAAGCAGCAGGCAGATGTCAGGGCCAGATTAGCATAACCAGCGAGACTACCTTGACAGAAGGTTAAGTGAGAACAGGAACTAGAGATAGTTTTGATCAGTGGGAACAACGAGGGTGCCCCAGGGCAACAGTCCCTATTCACTCCCCCCTAGCTTGTGCCAGACAATTATGCATCCCCAATACACATCCTCACAATGTCCATTCCTCCCATTCTTGCCCACCTACCCTGAACCTGATCCCCAATAAATGTGAGGCTGCCCTTGGAATGAGGCTGCACACCGTGAGCTGTGAGCCCCTCTAGGTCTCTCTCCCTACTTGGGCTTCGAGTTGTCTTTCCTCCCTCCCCTGCTGCTCCCAAAGGTGCCTCCCCCGAGGCGACATTTGTCAGCCCTGGGTCCCCAGATTGCACTCTGTACATTTCACTCAAGTTCTACAGTCACATGCATTACAGGAGCCCTCCTGAGCTCCCAGCTATGCATTCCGCTGCTTCCTTGACAATTATTTATCTTATTATCATTTCAAAACTGATCTCCAAAATGGAACTTGTAAAGAAAAAAATCAGTTATATGAGAAACAAACGACGTAGCCATTCTTTTTCTCACTTGGCCACATGAGATTGCACCTTTTTTAGTGCCCGGGGTCCCTCTCAGTTGACTCTCCAGCAGATGGGCTGGAGCCCCCGCAGGCGACTCACCCACTCACACACAGTTCCCTTGTTCCTCAGGCGTGGACCCCGCTCCTAAGCAGCAGGCAAGCTTAGCAGTCAGTGAGCTTGTTCAGAAATGAATTTAAGCTATTGGCTCCTTATAAATCAAGCTTCAAACTAGCTGTGTCCTCAGGGAGGAGGCAGTAGAAAAAGCAATGAGGAGAGAGCTCAGCGCTGGGCCCCCAGCACCCCTGGACATGCCCCCAGGTGAGGCCAGCACGCTGCCCTGTGACTGTTAAACTGTGCTTTCAAAGATTCATGAAAGATGCACGATCCCTGGAAGGTGTGGGAGTGAGGAAAATGGAAGAGGAAGAGAGAGAATAAACAGCATGAGTGACTGAGTAGTTAGCATCAGGAGGCTGGAGTACAATAGGGCTGAAATCAGTCAGGATTTCTAGGGGAACTTGGTTTGGGCAATCTTTAGAGAGTGTTAGCAGAGACTGGGAAATACTCTCTGCTCCCAGGAGATGAAAATGGACCAAATCTTTATAAAAGAAATGAGGAGCAGGGGACAGCTGAAGGGGTGCGGGGGTGGGGGTGTTTACAAAGGGAAACAAAAGGTCTATGGAGGTAAAATCCACACCCCCAGAGAAGCAGAGGGCACAGTTAAGCCAAGGACAGGGGAAAATGGAGGGTGTCGTGGGAGGAGAAAGATTGGGAAGAAGAGGAAGCGGGTGGGAGAGGCAGTGATTTTAGAGGCGGGGGAGTTGGGGAAATGAGACAGAACAGCCAGAACCCAATTAGAGGATAAATTAAAAAAGACCCTCCCGCACATCCCCTCACTATGCAGGGTGACAGCAGGTGACGGCAGGGTCTGATCCCTGCTGGATCCCAGCTCTGCTGACAGCGCCTGTGTCCCAGAAGCTGCCATACGAAGAGAAGGCAGTGCTGAAGGGGACTTGCTGGAATGTTCACTCCGGAGCAGCCACTTCCTCAGCCTGCCAGGCCAAGTTCCCGGTCAAGTTCCCAGCCAGCTGCCAAGTTCACTCGCTTGGGTCTGAGTAGCCGGTTTGTCCTGACCGCTCTGTCCAGTCACGTCCCTGGAACTCGGCCCCTTTCCATTAATTGGATCAGGTACTCAAGGCCCTTGTCCGAGCTCCCTGCTGCCCTTTCCTAACTTTGCTTCCAGTGGCCAAATCTATTCCCCAGAAAGTCTTCAGCACACTGCTCAGGCTCAGATCACAACCATGACCCCTCCAGGGTGCCTCCAGGGTGTTCCGTGTTGGGTGATGCTCTTCCTTGGAAGGCCACCTGCATCTCTCCCATGCATCTGCATAAACACCTTCTGCTGTCTCCTTTTATATACAAGCATTGTCTGCCAGCAGGGCATGAAGGACGTAAAGCCAGTGACGCCGGCACTTCAGTCTGATGGAGGCAGCGCAGCAGACCCAGCTAGACTTAATTACTGGCATCCACCACCCTCTCACCTGTGGGCAGCCTCCCTGAGACCCTGCATGGCAGAGGGGCCTGACCAGAGAGAGGAGGGGACCGTGCCACCATCTGACCACCAGAGGGCGTGTCAGGGAGTTAGTGGCTGCAGCCTCCACTCCTGCAGGTGGGGTAGGTGTGACTGTCCTATTACACCTCCTTACTGCCTTGATCCTACATGGTTCAGTGGGCATCCAGAGTAAAAGGGATGCCACCTAGCTCCAAAGAGCATTTATATACTCTGTATTCAAGCCCAGATGTATTCTACAGGGGTTGCTATACATGCACAAACCCACATACCAGTATACTCCAAACCCTAAAGCATCAACTGGGATTTAAAATAAAAAAGCAGGGGCCTCCCTGGTGGCACAGGGGTTAAAGTCTCAGCACTATCAAGTTATTGCCAGCCACTACGGCATGAGTTCGATCCTTAGCCAAGGAGCTAACCCACATGGCGCAGCAGACCTCTCCTGTCTCACCTGCTGCTCCCCTCAGCAGTGTATTTCAGTGGATCTGCCTGTTCTGCTCCCCGCTATGTCTCTGAATTCTCTCAACCCTCCCCCATACCTCTGACCTACACCCCAGTTCTTATATGCATAAATAAATAAAAATAAATCTTTAAAAAATAAAATAAAATAAAAAAGCAAAAATCAATACTTAGTGGGCTTCTGTCTGAGATGGAATGTTCTCTTCGAACTGTTCTATCACCATGTCTGTGTCTCCTGTAGACCACTCACTCCACATTTATTTTAGTGCCCCTGGGATACTGTGCAAGCACCACAGAGAACAGAGACCTAGAACTCTTATTCCTGGTCCTGGAGAGCACAGAAAGCACCTGCATGGCTCCCTGCTCCATCACTGCTCCCTGTTCCTGTACCCTCAATGTCACCTCTCCCTCTGGTTGGCTGTCCCTCTCTGTTTATGTAGGGTATCTTGGACTCTGCCTGCTCCCTCAAAAGCAAGAGGGGGAGCCCCGCCTTCGTATCATCTGGAAAAGCTGGTAGATCCTGTGCACCTAGCTGCCACGAAACTCATGCAAACAACTATATTATCAACACGAGCAGGCACCCCAGCTGCAAAGGGCCTCTTGAGAAGGCAGCCAGGCCACCATCCTGAGCTGTGGGCCCAGCAACTTGAGAAGGAAAGAGAGTCGATATGAGAATGGTAAAATGTCACTTTTCAACTATTAAACCAGAAAGGATTCCACTTTCAGAATCCGTTCTCAGGAAGTACTCAGAGCAAACACAGTCACTGACCTGGCACTAACAGGATGAAATATTTGAAACCGCCTGAATGTCCAATCATAAAATGATCTGCCAGGGGGCATCATTCCCGGGAATAGCGTATTGTCACTATCTGCTAATATGTGTTAACTAATTAATTTTTAATGTTTTTCAAAGAATGGCAGTGATGCTTCTTAAAATATTGTATAAAAAAGGGTCCGGAACTGTAAAGATAATATCATAAGCCTTTCCAATATGTGCTTATTTTTAAAATACAGGAAGAAAGTATTTGACATTTACAAAAGCGAATTATAACTATTTCTGAGAAATGTGATTTGGCGGGGTGATTTTCAGTGTCTTCTTTACCACGGTCAGATATTGTCCATAATCAGAAAGACATTAGTTTATAGACCCCAGTGAGATCGCATTGCTTGGGTCCCACGGTAGCCAGTCCATCCCAGGCACCCCACTGGCCTCTCTTACCGAGGGGCAGGCCTTGCAGGTGGTCTTTCTGCACTCCAGCTTGAATCCAGAGACCGGCCCGACCTCCACGGTGCAGCGGCAGTTTGTGCAGACGTCAATCATCAGGCTCTTTCCGGGCTGGAAACAGAAGAACCAGGGTCAGGCCTCCCATGCCCTCCCTGATCCCCGCTCTTGCAGCCCCACAAGCTGCCTACCTTACGAGGGGGACCAGCCACACCTGGCTGTCAGGAGCCATCACCCCAACCTTCTCCAGTCCCCAGGGGCCCTCCCACCTCTAGAGGCAATATGAGGGCTCTCACACCAGAGATGGAGCCGGGCTGTGAAGAGGGGGACAGATTGAAATGTGCCCCGTGACTTCAGAGCACTTGTCTGCAATTCAAAAGAAATGGCCACAGCCTGGGTGGAGCCAAACAGCAGGGCCCAGGCCCTAGAGGGGTTAGGATGACCATGCCAGCCGGGGCTCAGGATGCCCAGGAAGCCCTGGCGCCACCCAAAAGTGTGATGAAGGTGATTTCCATTTAGTGGAAGCATTCCCCTTTAGAGCTGCCTGCACTTCCCATGGCACCCCCATCTCTGTCCCCCCATCCTGGAGAAGAAGGCAGCAGCTCACCTCAATGATGGTGCCATTGAGCATGCAGGCCTGCACGGGCTCTGGGAGAGAGAAGAGCAGCGGCGAATGTGCAGAACACGGTGGTCCCTTCGGGGTCCTCACCTCCCCACCCTTCCCAGGGCCTGAGGGCCCTATTGTCCTGCCCCGGGCCTGCCTGCTTCCTATGCCCCAGCCCTCTGTGAGAAATCCCTGTGCTTGTCGAGGGGATCCTGGTTTAAGTGATTCAGACCCCAGGGGTGAGTCAGAGTATATTTGGGCTTAGGGAAGAAATTCCACTCTGGACACCATCAGTGCCCTGAGAAGGCCACACAGGGAATTCAAAGAGGGTGTGGAGGGAGCTGCTTGTGGGTGGTGCTGCGGTGCTGGGTGGCAGGCCAGAGGGGGTCACCAGCCAGAGGGGTCACCAGCCCCTGAACACAATGATGACTCCAGAAGTGGTTCTGCTCCTCTGTCTTATTTGCTTCCTCAAAGGCCTTAGGAACAGGTGGGGAGAGGACCCCCAGGGGTGTCTTACCGCAGCCACAGGAGGGGCAGCACTGTGAGGTCTTACAGCTCAGCTGGAAGCCCGGGGGGCAGGGGGCGACGTCCAGCTGGGGGCAGGAGACGTTCCTCTGCTGCACGAAGACCTCCTCCCTCACTTGCACACACTCGTTGATGAGGCAGGGGTTGTTCGGGGAGGCCCACTGAGAGCCGACCTGTAGTCGGGGCAGGGCGGTGAGCGAGGCTGGGCCAAGGACCCAGTGGGGCGTGCAGTTCCCTGGAGGGGAGCCCCACTCCCAGGATAAGGCCCACGGAAGGAGCAAGTGGGGCTCATTGCAGGTGCTTCGGGGAGTCTGGGTGAAGGTGCCCCCGAGCCAGGTCCTGGCTGGGAGCCGCATGCTTTCCTCCAGCACAGTCTTCAGCCACCTGAGCGGCACTTAGGGGAGCCTGGGGTCCTCCCTTCCCCCTCAGCACAGGGGTGAGCTGACACAGACACCCCGGGGCACCCTGGCCAAGAGGGGCAGTGGGACTGGCACAGGAGACATGGACGGGAAATAACCCATTTCCTAACCGATTGCTGCTCCCCCTCGAATGGGGGGGGCCAATCCAAGACAGGAGGTGCTGGCCTCTGACCCCTACAACTCTGCCATCTGCCTGTGAGGCCTCCAGAGTATGCGTGGGTGGCCAGGCTCCAAGGTCAAGAGCACTGAGAGTGAGTGGACATGGTTCAGAAGGCGCTGTGGGGGTTACGCCTGGGGGGTGAGAGTGGGCACTGTCGAGTCAGCCAGCTTCTAGGTGCACAGAGCTGCACTCTGCAGCTGCCTCAGGCCCTCACCCACTTCTCTCAGCAACTGCCCCCTTCTTTTCTCTCCAGATGAGGAACAGAAAATGCCAAGCACTTGCAGCCACTCTCTTCCAGCCCATTTCTGACTCACCCTGATCAAAATCTCCCTGCAGGCCTGACCCAGCCTCCAGGCCCCTCTCCCATTGTGATTTACCTGGCCAAGGGGTACATCAGGAGGATGCCCCACCCACACCCGCTGGCCCTGACAGGTTCCTAGCAGTGGCTGCAGAGCCCCTGCTAACCCCCAAGTCTTGTGGATGATGCAAACTTGAACTGGGAGAGAGGCATGCAGGGCCCCTGATATTTTATAAACACTGATGTGGGTCAGGGTTGTGTAAGCCCTAGAAGGATACAGGGGCACATTGAGCCTCCAAAGGACCAGCTGCCAGCCTCCATAATGGAGCAGTTCCCATCTGAGCTGGACCCGGCCCGGGGAGGAGGGACACACCTGCCTCCATCCAGATGGACAGGGAAGCAGGGAGGGAAACCCATAGATAACTCAGATTTGAAGGGGGAGGCAGACACCCCTGTGGAGAGACCCACAGAGTCACCCCATGATCAGTGAGAAGAGGGCAGGACCAGGGCCTGGGTAGCAGATGGGGCAGGTCCAGGCGAGAGAGCTAACCTTTCGCTTTCCTTTCTACACAGGGCACATTCTGGTCTTTCTGGAAGGTCACAGGAGAGGAGGATTTGAATCAGAGTGACAGGACTGTCACTTTCCTAGCCTGGTACCAGAACTCCCCAGGAAAATCCCCTGTGCTTCAGAAAACAGCTTAGTCAGCAGACAACTCCAGAGCCTGGGGCCATGGAGGCTTCAGCTGAACTGCCATAAAAGGCGGGGCCTGGCTGGGCTGGGAGCCAGGCTGGGAGACAAGAGTGGGGAGAAGGGGGTCTAGCCACATGGCCAGACGCCACAGCCAGGGTGGAGGGAATAGCCGGATGATATGTTTCTCCACTGACAGGCAGTGATAAGGCCTGAGGCCTCACCTCAGTGCTGGTAGCCTGGGAGCTTCAGAGGGGTGGCGGGCACACGGCCGTGGAAGAGGGCGAGCCACCCCCGCCTCACCTCTCAGAGAAGCAGGACTCAGGGTCACAGGCCTCCCCAGCAGAAGACAGGCTTCTCAGAAGGGAACTGGGTTTCCCCTCAAATCCACAAAAAGGGGAGTCTAAGGTAATCTTGCCATTCCCAACGGGCAAGGCAATCCCAGCTGACTCTAGATACACAGACAGCCAGGTGAACCCCCCCCCAGGGTCGAGCAAAGGGGCCGGAAGAGCATCAACTATCGATAAAGCCAAGATCCATACCAGACGTCAGGGTGGACTCCCAGGAGGGTGAGGTCCCTGCCCCCCAACCCGCCCTGGGGCCCAAACCTACACTCTTCCAGGAAGACTGCGAGTCCCCCCGAGGTGAGCCGGTCACCACCTCACAGGCAGACGGCAAGCACCTTCCACAGCACTCGCCGTCGCGGAGAACGTACGTGAAGCCCTGAAAAAGGCCAAGGACAGAGGTAAGAGCAGGCCAGCCTGGGGGTCACGGTGTCTTGTCCCCTCCACAGGTGCGCTGGGCCCAGGGCTCAGCAGAGAGAGGAGTGCACTGGACGGAACTTCTCCATCTGTCAGCACCCAGCCTCAGGATCACCCTGGAAAGTGGGGGAGCAGCACCCCCCAGGCCATGAGCTGCCGCTTACAGCAGCTGAAGACACGTGACCCCGCCTGAAAGCTGCCCCTCTGAGCTTGCGGACGGCACCCCAAGCTCACTCAGCAGCAGCTGGCCAACCTGGCCTTGCCACAGCCAAATGCAAGCACCTCGCTGACTGGGGGAGAACATTCAGGATGCCTGGGATCTCCTCCGACAGGACTAACCTCCTAGACAAGAAGGGATCTGGGTCTTGAGACTCTGACTGGCATGCAGAGCTGGGATTCCCAGGTGGTTACATGATATTTCCCCAGAGAGATGAGAGAGTAAGAGAGAGAGCTGCCCCCCAAAAGCCTGCCAGGGAGATGAGAATCAAAGAAGTCTGCTAGTCCATCTGCCTGTTGGGGGTCCTCCCCTCTGGCCAAAGCACTGGCATCTTGGACGGAAGCTTTCTATGGAACACCCCAAAGCAAAGTACAAGAACAGGTCAAAGAGAGATGCGTGGGGCTATTCCAAGAGCAAAGGGGAACCCCCAGGACATGGTGCATCTTGGAGCTTTGTCCTTCAGAGAAAAGGAAGGACTGCACCCACCTGGGTGGGTGTGGCTGCCAGGCCGTGCAGGCCAAGCACCCTCCCAGCTGGGCCAGCCAGAGACATTCCTTACACCCGCCCTCCGTCAGCTGGCGCCTCTCCAGGGGAGCACGAGCACTCTGGAAACTTGGCCCAAGTTCACACCATCCTCTCGGGACCTACTTACATCCCCACCCACGTCACAGCGATGCCCACGGAGCTGTCCCCAATCTTCTATCAGCTGAGACCTTAGTCATTTACGGGGTATTGATGACGTCCTAGGTGCATTGGAGGAGCCAACAAATTAGGATGATACAGGCTATACACCTGGCACTTCAAGGCAAGATATACAAAGTGCCATGAAAGAAGGTCTCGGAGGGCGGCAAGAGACAGCCACAAATCCCCGTAGGGGTCTGGAATCTCTCGCGTGCCTCCAAGAGTGGTGAGTGACTTGGGGGGGGACCCTCGTGTCTTCTGTGACCCCCACCCCAGGCAAACACACTGTCCACATCAGAGGTGACTCCCAGGCTGCTGCCTTGTTCCTGAAAGCCCACCAACTTCTTGTGCTCGGGTGACCCCAGCCGAGCCCGAGATTCTTCTCTACCCCAGCATCTCCAAGTTCCCCTGCACAACCAGAGCTCAGCCAATATTTTCATCTGATTTTCCCACACTGCTGCAAATACACATCTCAGACCACTCTCCTTACCCCCCTCTCTAGCCTGTTCTCATTGGTTTCCCACTGAAGAACGAAACCAGGTAGGTTGAACACCCACCCAAGCTAAAGACAAACGCCACTGAAAAATAAATTCTCAATTGGTTTAGCATTCTGACCCTTGCAGCACCTTCACCATCATGTGGGGGGAGCTGGGCCCTGTGTCTCCCCAGATCAGGCAGGCTCTGGCCATGCCAGGGCTGCCTGACAGCGCAGCCGAGCCAGGTGTCAGGACAGGCCATGGTGACCAGCCTCAGAGGAGCTGACAAATGGGAAGAACAGTCCTCTTCTAGAGGAGCATCACCAGGACTGAACAAAATGCAACCCATTACATTCCTCCTCACTTCCTTCACCTCATTTTTCTGATGTGCAGAGCATGGAGCAAGGGAGGTGTTGGGACAAGGGTGTGTCTGCAGACTGTGGCCTCACAACGCAAGAATCAGAGGGTGAGGGCGATAATGTTGTTGGCTTTGGGTTTTGTCACAACCTTAACAATACACAGACACAAACAGGAGTCAGGTGGCAGTGGACACTACCCCCTTTGGAGAATGAAGCCTGATGTCGTCTCAAATGACTGAAGTGCCCACCTCCACTCAACACCCAGCACAGACCAGAGCCCAGATCCTGTCTCCCCTCAGCTTGAACTAAACTGAGAGGCCTCGTCCTCCCTCCCCAGAAGGATGACATAGTGTCCCACTACAGTACCCTAGAGCCATCACATGGTCCAGAGTTCTGGACACACGACCGCCTCCTCATTCCCTGGCCCCTGGCCCTCTCCTTGTTGAGATCGCCCCCAGCATGACAGCCCTTAGTGGGTGAGCTTCTCCCACATGACCTGCACTCTCCCCAACAGCTGCAGGACCAGAGTGGGGACCCCACAGAGGACTCACACCATGGACCAGGCTGAGCCCATCCATTTTCTTCTTGAGAACTTCATCTATGGAACACAAAGATCAAGTACGTCAGCCTGGACAGGAATGAGTCCTGGATCTCAAAACCTGGGTTGAGTTGAAACCAGGTTCGAGAAAGCCATGTGCAAATAAAGTTGATGAGAAGCAAAACTTCCTCCCAGCAGCAAGCTTGCAGGGAGGCGCTGGGGCCAATGAGCCAGGAGAAGCAGATACCAGGGACACATGGTGAGGCGTGAGTATGGAGCACTGGACCTCACTTCTGAGAGTTTCCTCATCTTTTCCATAAATCCTGCTTATTTTGGCTAGCTTGAGTGGATTCTGCTCTTTGCCATCAACACCTCTACTGAAACACGTCGATGGACCCCAGTTTTATAAAGATGACCTCTAAGCGGCACTCTCTATTGACAGTTGTTTCCACTGTCACCATGGCCTGTGGGAGGAGAGAGAGACCAACGGGTTTCCAAAACTCAGTGCTCCCAACGGCACCCCTGGATACCACAGCATCATCCTCTCCCAAGGGTGCTAGCAAGTTGGCTTCTCCTCGGTGCCAGCACTGCAGGGAGAGCAGGGGCAGCACTGAATGGACACCCCCACTTCTGAGCTCCCTCTCAGGTCCCCCTCCGCCATCCAGCCATACTCCCCAAAACAACACCGAGAACACTCTCTTCAATGCCATTAACATCTCCGAAAGCCTCCACAAGTGCGTGTGCTCGCCTGTCCTGGCCACTCTTGCTTTGCCATCATCATCTCCTGATGATAATGCGGTTATAACAACGAGAGGTTTCAACCAGCCACAGAATCGGAGACCATCATTCTCCCTGCAGACAGCTGTTTCCTCTCCTAGGGTCTGATCAGCCTGAAATGCACCAGAAGAGAGTGTCCCAACACAGAGGGGCCTCAAGTAGGAAGAATTAACTCAATGCAGGGTGGGGGGGAGCAATGACCATATTTTCTGTGCCTCAAATTGTAAACGTGGTCTGAAAAATGCCTCATCGATGCAGCAACACTGTAGCCCATGGACACCCGGGCCAACTCAGACTGTTCTAGAGACAGGATAAGGGGACATCTGAAGAGGGAAGACAGTTAAATATCAAGTCTGTTTTTCAAGGCGTTGAATCCACAGCTCTTGCTCAAACCAGCTCCACAGCCCCCTGGACTCGAGACCATATGGCAGACTTGACCATCGACCCACAGGAAGACACAGCAGACCTTTCTTCGTGCTTCTTCCTGGCACCCAGGCCCCTTCCCCACCTTGCCTCTCACTTCTGGCCTTGAGCCAGAAGTTCCTGAAGGGACATTCGAGGACTCCCCCCCTCCCCTGCTCCCTGCACCCTGCGCCCTTACCTCCCGGCAGCCATCTTCACAGGGCTTCTGGGAGCACTGGGCCACCCGCAGGCCCATCACGGCATCCTCCAGGTCCGTGCAGGTGCACACCTCGCAGCCCTCCTCCCAGAACTGGCCCACGGGGTAGACGGTGCCTCGGTGGACGCACACCTGTAATGCAAGTTGTCCATGAGTGGACTCACCCCGTTCCCTAACCATCTCTGTGTGCTGAAAGCTGCTTCGGGAACGAGGACACAGCAATGCATGAAACCAGCGTGGCGACTCTGCCTGTGGGGGGATGCTTCGAAAGCAGACTTGCCCTCTTCCCTTCCCTGTCTGTGGTCCCCCTGGGCACAGTCCCTGGGGACTTCGTCAAGGCCACAGGTTTTGGTATGACTGGCTCCCTCGATGTGGTCACCGCTGCCTTAGTTGCATTAAGTCCTCCTAGGTCACACAGAGGGGCTGTGCCCTAGCCCATCCACACGCAGCCCTCTGTTCCAGCTGTGGTGGGGGAAGGTGAGGAGAACTGAGTGGGGCCTGTGAATGTGAGCTTGAGACGCCCACGTGACAAGAAGTTCCCCTCTAGGCTGAGAGGGAGTGCTGAATGCCACACATCAAGCCGCACTGCACTGGGCTGGGGCAGGAAGGCACCCCCTCCGGGAGCAGGCGCAAGCTTGGCCATCACTCCAGCCAGAGCCCGAGCAGCCCCTACCTTGTCAGGGAGGCAGGTGGTCGTGGTGCAGCCACAGTCATTGGTGACAGTCGAGGCCAGGTACCCCAGCGGGCAGCTAACGGTGGAGTTGACACAGTTGCAGGCACACTCATACTTATCGCAGCACTGGGTCTTGCGGAGGGTCGGCGTCCGGTGCGGGGGGCAGGCGGGCGGGGACTCTCTTCTGCACGCCTCCTTCCTGCAGGCTGAGGGGCAGCGTGGGGTGATGCCCTGGCCCTGCCACTCTGAGCTCTGCACCCAGCTAGGGTGTGAGTGTCCAGCTGTGATATAAGATCCCAGGGGACTCTAGACCCAGAATATTACATCAGAAATGCACATGAGCCCAGCTCAGGGACTGTGGAATATCCAATCATATGAAAAAGCAATTAAATTGCAGGACACTGAGATCACTAATCCAGAGGGGAAACAGGAAGGTAAGGACTCTAATAGAGGGGAAGTAAAGGCTGCTTTACAATCAATGCTGGCTTCATCTCCTGCCATGCACATCTGGAAGGGAAGAGTCCTTCCAGCTGTTGATTCTCAGAGATGGCAGATGTCCATGGTTTTTATAGGCTGGTAGCTTATGTGAGCCTGTCCCATCTCAGTACCTAGAACAATGCAGTTCTAGGTTCTCCACCAATGAATGAAAGGAGGCCAGCAACCACTCCACAATGTCATTTCATACATGCCAAACCAAATCCAAGATGTCATTTTACAAATGCCAACTCTCACCCCATGTCCTTCATCCAGCCCCAACTTCCTTCAAATACAATGTGTTCTCCTTCCTCGAGGTCTTACCTCTAGGGACTCCAGTGAGATTCTAAGTCAACAGCATGAGAACCCCACTCAGCTTAAGGTGGGTATTCTCAGTAGCTAAATACAAAATTCAGTTTCTTGGCATGTCTTGTTTTAGTCCAACCCTGTGCTTAGAGTATCTACTGATTAAATATATAAACATACACAGAAAAACAAACTACAAATGCGTTTGGGAATAAAATCCAAAGCTGAGGACAGAGCAAAGACACCCCCTCCCTTCAATGGCATGTGGAAGGATGGAGCTGGGGTGTCCTCCATCTTGGGCCCCATAAAGCAGCACAAAGAGAGGCGCCTGCAGCTGTGCCCACACCCAGCACACCTTCAGCAGCCTGCAGCTCGGAGGATGCAACCCAGGCATGACCTTAACTGCTCTGTTCCAGATGTACCCCCAAACCCAGATTCAGCTACCTAGGATACAGGATGCCTCCCCCAGCCAAGGAAACAGTGATTGCCCCCACCCGACCACAGAGGTCTTACCGCAGGTATAGTTGGGCCTGCACTCGCCAGGGTTGGTGAGTGTGGGCTGGAGTCCATCTTCACAACTAGGCACTGGGGGCACGTCACAGCTCACCTGGTCACACACTAAGAGCCAGGAAAGAGAGCTGTGCACTCAGGGTTCAACAAGGTTACTCTTATATTACAAGAGGGACCCCACATGCCTATTAACTCATGCAGAACTCTACCTTTTTAGGCAAATGGTGATGATGTGATAGAGGTAGAGGTAATGGTGGGAAGATTAGGTGGGTGGGTGGATGATGGGTGGGTGGATGGATGATGGATGAATGGACGAATGGACACATGGACAGATAGACAGATAGATGGATTGACTGAGCCGAGTCATATGATAGGTTAATATTGGTTACCCTTGTCATCTCCTAGGACTTACAGATCTAGCCAAGTCAGTTAAACCCTCTAGATGTCAGTTTCATCCTCTTTACCATCACTCTATCTCTCTGTCAGTCTGTCTGTCTCTAGCTATACCTGTCTGTCTACGTATGTCTGTCTCTGACTTTCTCTAGTTCTATGTCGATCTATCCATCTATCTATCTATCTATCTATCTATCTATCTATCTATCTAGGGATGTCATGAAATAATGAAAACTGCTTAATAGATGCTTAATAATGTCAATGAAATCAAGGACATGAACTAAGTGATCCACCCATTCTCTCTACTGTTCATATTCTAAGACATATTGGGCATAAATTGTTCTCAAGTCAGATCTCCCTTCTCCAGGCCTTCTACTTCACTCAGATAAATTTGACTATTCCTTAGACTATTTCATTCTTTCTTAGACCTTTGGCCTGTCCCTGGGTCTATCAGCTCCCTCAAAGTTTTGCATCTCTGCAAATTTTACAAGCTTGTGCTTTATAGCTTCATCCATACAATTAATGTACACCTCAGCAGGACAGAGATGGGGCACTAGAGGTTTATTGTCATGTTAACCATAATGCCATCCATTCTGGATGGATTTAATTACACCATTACTCCACCTGCTGCTCACTCTGCCGCTTGCAAGCCTATAATGAAACCATTTGACAAATAACTTGCAGAAGTCGAGGTGGTCTGTGTGTGGCTTCTCTATACTCAGGATCTTTAGAATCTGACTAAAAAGGTGAGTGGGTGGCTCTGCCTTAACTCTTTCTCCAGTAAATGTCTGTGCGAGTTCCTCCCCGCCCCCAACATTCTTTTTCTTTGTGTTTCAAACCTTAGGCTTAACAATTCACTACAGTATCTTCCTAAGAAGCAAATCTTATTTTCCAGAGGTTGTTCTTTTGCTTTGGGGAGAAACGCAGTCAGCCCTCCCCGCACCTCCTTCTGCACACGCTGTGCTGAAGCCATGTGCACCTGAGCCCCCGCCACGTGGGCAGCTGGTGGGGCGCACCCAAGGGAACAAGGGAACACCCACCACACTCGTACTCCGGACAGCACTGGCCTACGTTCTGGAGGAGGTGGGCCACTTCGCATGGGCCACAGGTGGGAGCTAGACAGGAGAAAGTGAGCCATCAAGTCAGAAAAAGATACCAATGGGACAGCCCAGGTGTTGCAGAATCAACACCTCCCCGCCAAACCAGCACCACCCCTGTATCTAGAGGGAGGCCCCCAGGGAACCAAGCCATGGGACCTCTGACAAATAAGAACCCTCCCACTGTGTGTCTTGTGGACCCACTAATGTATCTCTAAGAGACTGCATCTGAAGGCCAAGAGGGGCCAGGTGGGCAGGGGTAGCCTCTGACGGGGTCTACTCCAGGGCAGCAAGGGTCCCTGAGCTGGGGGTAAAGGAGGTCGGCTGCGTGGGGAAAGGCAGGAGAAGGCAGAAAACTGAAGGGGTGGCTGCAGGACCTGGCGGAGCCCTGCTTCCTCCTGGAGCACCGGTGGGGGGACAGCTCACCTCTGGCTGTGGGGCAGGGCTGGTCTGTGCAGTTGACCTTCCGCCCGCTGAGGCACATGCAGATCTGGCAGGGCTGGTGGTCGGGGACCCAGGTCTCCAGGAACTGAGGGAAAACAAGGCTCAGAGGGGGCCTAGGAGGTTAGCACAAGGCCCTGGTATACATGGGGGTGAGTGCCCCGCTACCTCCAGCTCCTGGGGAGGGCCAGGGCCTGAGCTCCCCTCAGTCCAGTCAGAGCCACACAGATAAGCAGACAGGAGTATAAAGGCCAAACGAGGTCCCAGAAGAAATTGCTAGACAGCATGGGGTGCCCAGAAAGGCCTGCCCCTGTTGCCCTGCCAACTCACAGGCAAGACAACCACAGCTTCTAGAAACCTGGGTGCCCACTGGGCCGCCTTCCCTGATGGTTGCGTGTGCCTGGCGAGGAAACAAAAACTCCTGTCCCACACTGCTGGCCACTCCCAGCCAGGGGGAAAGCTGGGATGTAGCTGGAAAAAAGACTCCATTTATTTCTAGAATCAACTTAGGGCAGGGGGCAGGAGATAAAGGGAGTACAGCAAAGCTCTCGGGATCACTCATTACTGGAACCGGAAGTGCCTTTAGGGACCCAGGAGCTCAAGAGTCCCTAAAAAAGTTCCCAGGTCTAGAAAGTCTGTCTTACTTCTCTGGTCAATGAGCTTGGAAGAAGGGAGATCAGAGATCAGCAAGAAACCCTCTGCCCCCTGGCTGCCTGTGCACCAGGATTACCCCCTAAGCCCTTCCCAGGCCCCTTGCACCCATGCAGCAAACATGAAGAGCCAGCATCTCAACAGCATCTGCCCTGGACACCATTTTCAGGGCTTTATGTAAATTAGGCATTTAATCTCACTGCAGCCCACATGCCCAGTGAGAAAAGCTGAAGCACATGCCTGGGGTCACAGTGTCCCAGGACCAGTTGAGATTCAGACCCAGAATCCCTCTGCTGCTTCCCAACTAGCATGAAAGATGTTCCAGAGTGCTGCACCTCCCCTCGCAGTGACCTTTAGGAATGGCTTTCGCCAAGGTCCCTAGGTCCAGCTGGGCAACCAGCGCGCAGGGGGAGAACAGCAAAACACCTTGAAGCAGAGGAAGTACAACGAAGTTCCCTGAAAAGACAGAAGCTTATCAAAAAATAACGACCCCCAGGAACTACTACAAGAATGCTAAGAATCCTTATCCCATCTTTCTAGAACTACAAACTTTAATCCCTGATTGTCTTTCTAAACTTCCTTCTTTCTTCTATAATGGTTATTGCTTATTATGTAGATCACCGCCCTAATGGTGATAAGCTGAGCCCATAAGCAAGCTAATTTCATTGATATTCATTCCTGTGCCTTTGGAAAACATATATATATTGGTCACAAACTCAAAGAAAATTACACTCAGATTTTCACTCTTGAAGTGTGTCTGTTTGTCATTTCTTTCACCGACGCCCTGACCACCCTGCACGCTTCTCTCAACCCTGAGGTGGCCTCATCGTCTACTGCTGTGCTGGTCCGCGGCACCAGAGATTTTTTGAAGGGCTTTCTATGCACACACCTTGTATTCCCTACAATCACTCAATGAGGTAAGTCCTGTAATTACATATAGAAGACAATGTTGAGGCACAGAGAAGGGGCTTAACTGGGCAGACATCCCGCATTCTCCACACCACAACCACCTGTGGCCAGAGGTCATAGTGGCTGCCGGGCCATCACCAGGCTGAGCTGTGGGAGTGACAGGTGCTGAGCACACTGTCCCAGCCTCCACTGGTGACTGTCCAGTCCCGCAGAACATGACTCAGCCATAAAAACGAGACACCTGTACACACAACATGCACAAGTCTCAAACGTGTTCCACTGAAAGGAAGAAGCCAGGCAAGAGTATGAACTGCACCATCCCATTGATACAAAATCCCAGGAAATGTAAACAAATCTACAGTGACAGAACACAGGCCAAGGGCCGCCTGAGGATGGCAGCTGGGGGTTGGATGAGAAGGAAATTCTATGGGGACTACACCTGAGGAGTGAGGGAAGCAAACAGTGTTTAAAAATGAACAATGGGACCTCCCTGGTGGTGCACAGGGTTAAGTACCACACTATGAAGTAATTCGCAGCCTCTGCAGCACGAGTTCGATCCCCGGCCGGCCAGGGAGCGACCCACATGGCACAGCAGATCTCTCCTGACTCGCCCGCTGCTCCCCTCAGCAGTGTATTTCAGTCAGTCTGCCTGTTCTGTTCCCCACACTGTCTCTGGTGGATCCTCTCACCCCCAAAATCTCTGGCCTATACCCCAGCTCTTATATGCATAAATAAATAAATAAATCTTTAAAAAATATAAAAATAAACAATGATGTAAAAAATATATAAATAAAAATAAAAGGAAAAAAGGTTTGTTCAATTAAAATAGACATGTCTTCAGAGTTATCAAATTTGGACATAATAGAGACATGGGACTTTACTGTACCTCACTTTATTAATAAAATAAACTCATCTGTTATCATGTTCAAAAAAAAGAAAAAGGGGCATAAGGAAACCTTTTGGGGTGATGGCAATGTTCATTGCCATGATTCGTGATGATGTTTTTAGGGATCTGTGCTATATAAAATTCACAGCTGTGCACATTGAATCGATGCTATTTATTGCATGTAAACTATACTTCGATAAAGCTGATTTTAAAATTCCAAGGATCACAGGAGTACAAAGTAAGAGAGCGCTAGGGCGAGGTGCATCAGGGAGACCTCCAGAAGCTGCACCTGTGAAGGTGGGAAGGGTGTGGGCAGCGAGGATGGGAGAGGAGCTCCGGGCTGAAACGGAGTGAACAGAGACACGGAGGAAGGAGCGTGTTTCTGGGCCAGTGGCAAGTCGCGAGGCCGCCCCCGTCCACTTGAGGAGGGTGTGGTCAAAGGTTAGAAAGAGGACTCTGCCTCAAAGAGAAGGGCAAATAAGGACAAATCTGGTGACATGAGCAGGGGGGAGAAGGAAGGGCAGGACTAGGAAACCAAGAGAGTCTGCAGCGGCTGCACGCCCAGCCTTTCTCCAAGGGGCTGGGAAGACCCAGACTGGGGCACAGGGCACTGGTCTCAGAAGTCTGAGGGTGGTGTGGGGTGCGAGGAACCTCCCTCATTTCCCCGGGCCTCTGCGCTGCCTCTTTTCTGCTCAGTGACACAGATGGTGATGCCAAAAAAAAAGCACGGATGGAGGAATCTGCACTGAGACTTTTAACCAGCAAAAATGATGAGGTGAGCAATGAGAGGGTCGTATTTTATATGATTTTGGAGTTTGTTCCCCCATGTTTCTGAATGTGGACTTCAACTCTCAAAACTCAAGAATAAATAATGTCACTTTCAAAAATTCCTGGGTAGGCAACGCCACAACAGGTGACCAGAAGCAGGTGCTAAAGTTCCTCTTCTGGGGAGAATTTAATGAGATCCACGGACCAAGGCAGGCCACAGTAGCCATGGCCCCTGAAAAGCCCCTTCTCTCTAAGGCTAAAAGCTGCTAAAAAGCCCCAGCATCCAGCTGGCAGCTGCCTGACCTCTGGGTTATGTGGCAGATGGGCCAGTAGGTGGCGCTCCTGCACCAGGACAAGCCAACTCCAGGCTCCATCACCAGGGTCCAGGACCGGGTGTGACAAGAGAAAGGTGAGAGAGCGCACTAGAGTCAACCATTAAATAAAGATGACAAAAGAACAACCAGCAGAGAATAAGGTAAGGAACACTAAAGTCTTCAAAGCTCAAGGTCAGAGCAGGGACACAGACAAGTTTGCATGCAGATGAAATGTAAGCCCTGAGCCAGCTACTGAACACCAGAGACCCGAGAGGCTGGGGTCAGCCCTGGGTGAGGGGCAGGCTAACTGCAGTGAGCTGAAGCAGGGCTCACCATGCAGAGGGCCCCCACCCCCGCCCCCCAGCACCCCTCCGATGCTGGGGTCTGGATTCCTTCTGAGCCAGCTACAAAGGCTCATATCCTTCTAGTGTATTCTGTAAAATAAACAAGAGCTATGGAAACTGGTAAATATTTTGCCCTTCCGAAGTTACCACAAGAGATTTATACCCTGGTTTATTTCCCTGAAGAAAAGTTTTCTAAGCTTCACTTTTAGGTTAAAAATGTTTTCATTTAATGGACATGTTCTTCATATTAGATTTTTATGCTTTCTCTGCTTTGAAAGTAAAAACTGAACATGCAGGTGGCTGGAGAAGATATTTGTTTTCATCCATTTAAATTCTATTTTCTGGAATAATGAAAACTGGCTTCCCTTCAAGAGTGTTTGATTAATTTTATGTCACTTGATTTTGAAATATATTTACATAAGACTGTTTCAGTGTCAAAAGTACTACACTGCACAAAGGACGGGGGGTGCTGAGGACTGCACTGAGGACTTCCTGACAGACGACAGCGTGGGACGCAGGTGCCCAGCAGAGATGGACCCTGGGGACAGCGGGGAGACAGGCGTGGACCTGGAGCACAGGAAGAAGCAGCTCAGAAGCCATCACTGAAAACCTCAGCACTCAGCTCTTTTAAAAAGGCAGGTTAACAAAAGGTCACTGGAGAATGGAAGCATTCTTTCTACAACTCAAACACACATTCTAGAGCATTGGACAGAAGATGAGGGGATCAATACAAGGGGGAACTGGGGTCAGAGAGGAGTGGGAGCAGAAGGATGGAGACCCCAAGATGAAATTCACAAGCTTCCTTTTCAGAACCTGCAGACACCTGACGCTCGTCGACCTGAGACACTGCAGACTAGCTTCTTTCTCATCACCGAATGCCCAAGAGGAGGGGAGAGCCCACGCTGACACTCTCTGGGGATACCTAACCACCACTACCAGCCATTCTGGAATTACCACCAAGTCCCAGTGCCCCAGGTACAGCGTGCAGACCTTCTGAGCTCAGCATGAGCCCAGGAGTTGTGCAAATCAGGGGAGCAAGGAGAGGTTTTGATAACTCATTTGGAGAATATTGTGGTGCAGGCAGTTATGTCATTTGCTAAGCTGAAATACAGCGGCAAGATATGACCGGATGTCCTTCTTGGTTTATCTATTTCACAGTAAGAATAAATGGGATCTACTAGGATAAAACCCAACAACAACAGAGCTGATGGAGTCGTCCAAGCAACAGTCTGATGGACACTGAGTTTACATGGACACCACTTAGCTTGGAGTTTAGCTCACAGATCCAATGAGACCAATGGCAGGGCGCTGACATGACGGGATGATTTGGAGTCATACAAGGAAAGCATTTGATCGCCTCATGCCATCCAGGCATCCTTATCTATTCAGTGGGACATGTAATAAAGATTTTAAGGAGGTTCTGGAAGAATCAGGTGAAACGGTCCTTTTCTGGCTCACAGTACAGTTACTGGAATTGTTTTCATCCTCCACCAGGTTTCTTAGCTGACCTGACCATAATCACCATGCCTGCTTAAGGGGAGACACCCCTCCTGGTCCATTTAGGGATGAAGGTCTTCAGTGATGATGGAGATGTTAGGTCTTGGCTGCAGTCCCTGATCACCAAATACCGTCTCCTATGCCAAATGTGCTGCTCTGTCTACCCACCTGGGTGGTTATATACACATATCTTCATAATAAGGCTTCATAATGGGGCCATCACCATGTAAAACATTCTCTTCCCACCTCCTCCTGGGTTCCTATCACATTCTCCTTACATGAATAGAGAGATTAAAAAAAAATAGTGGTAGATCAGGTAGTCTTAGTAATGTGCTGTTTGGTCTTTGATCATGTAGCTAATACATGACAGACTTGAGGATTTGAACCAAGATCTAACTCCAAAGCCATTTGTCATCAGCTTCCCAGTCTCCCAATGACTCCCTTAAGGGTCGCTGCTGCCGCTGCTGCCACAGCTGGAAGGATAATATCGTGAACATTTCACCATCCCACGTAGAGAGAAGAGGGCCCACGGGAGGCGAGAGGCGGGACTCCTACCTGGTGCCGCACTCCATCCTCTCCGACACACTGGGTGCAGGCCTCCTCAGGGACACAGCTACCTTCCAGCATGACTTGGCGCGGGGGGCAGAAGCAGCCTTCAGAGGGGTGGTCCCCACAGGCGCTGGCATTGCCCTCGCAGTGGCGCGGACAAGCGCGCTCGCAGTGGTTGTACACCAGGGAGGGCGGGCATGCCATAGCTGCAGATGGAGAAGGAGGTCACCTTCAGGGGCCCAAGCCCACCAGAGGGAAACTGAGGCACAATTGATTCAAGACTGTCAATCATTTGACCAACTTGCTGGGGCAGAGATGACTCGTTTCCACCAATTTTCATTCTCTCCACCTTGCATAAAACGGACCTTTTGGCTGAGCACATGATCACCAAGAATAGAGTCTACATTCCCAACTTCTCTTGCAACCATGTAGCCATGTGACTAAGTCCTAACCCATGACAGCAAGTAGAGACTCTTAAAGAGACAGCTGTCATACATACCCTTAGTCTCTTTTACCTCCTTCCCCATCCTGCTGCTTGGAACCTGAGTGTGATAACCAGCCCTTCACCTTCAACCATGAGGGAAAACCATACCCCAGGTGGGGCATGAGCAAAAAACAAGAATCTGTTTGAGGTCTAGAACAGCTGGAGCCACCTCCCTATGGCAGCTGTGTGACAGAATTTTATTTCTCAGTTACTTGCTGCCCAATTTAATCCTAACTGATAATGGAAACTTGGGTGTCCCTAGGAGGTGCTGTGGTTCTTTCTTTTAAACACAGGCATACTCAATGCTTTAAAAATAAATAAATAAATAAATAAGGAATCCACAGCTCTGAACCTATGAGGTCATTCACTCACCACCACTCCCTTCCTCTGCCCCTGCCCAACCCCTCTCCCATGTTTCATAACATCAAGGCAGGTGGCAAAGAAGGTCTCCAAGGGCTTAGAGCATCAGGGATTTTCCTATAATGCACAAAAAAGAGCCAGGAGGTAGACAAAGAAATTAGCAAGAAGAGAAGGTGCCATCGTAACTATGAAGCTGACATCTGCAAGGCAGACTGAAGGAGGCTGTACCATCCACAGGAAGCCAGGAAACCTTAGCTCAAAGCATCCTAGGGCTTGTCTGCTCTACTGTCTTCTTCTCAGATGCAAAAGCTGATGTCCGGAAACAGGAGGACAACAGTTAGTGACCAGCTGAGCTGGGCCTGGAATGTTCCAGCCCCCTAACCCCAGATTCAAACCAACAGCATTGGGATAATAAACTCTAAGACTCTTGTATGTATTGGGTGTATATATTGACTTGCCCCCCAAAAAAGTCAGGGATTATTTGCTGTAATTGAGGATGAAGGCCCATGTTCTTTCTACACAAGCACGCTTTGAAGACAGGAGTCTGAGATGATTCACTTGGTGCCCCCTACCTGCTAAATGCTAAATAAATGTCAAGTCCCAATAAAGAAGTTGGCCTTGAGAGGGAGAGGGTAACATTAGCAACCTGTGCTGTTTGTAATTCAGAGGTTTATGGGGTTTCCAAAGGCAACAATCTGCTACACTTCAGAAGTCTGCTCAGGCATGGCCTGCCTCGGGAACCTTGGAGAGCTCAGATTCAACATGCACTCATTCTGCACTTTGTTGATGCCTGTGTCTAGGACATTACAATTACACTTTTCTGAATTATGGAAATACTAGCCGAAAGGAGTATGACTTCATTTACACAGAAATTTTACACGCAAATTATTTTTACATCTACCCTCTTAGTTGATCTGAACTGGAACCCGAGGTAATAGGAAATGCAGGGATTTTGATCTTCAGTAGCTAGACAAAGAAACCGAATTCCAGAAACAGCAAGCAAGCTCACACATCATTGATCTTCACAACTTTCAGGGAATGTACGGAGACTCACCGCAGAAGTCACTGGTCCTCCAGTCGACACAGACCCCACTGGTCCGACACAGGTGGGCATAGGAGGCGATCGCCTCACACACTTGCTCACGATGGCAACTGTCCTGCTGGCAGATGGCATAAAATGTGGCTGGAGCAAGGACCTTGTGGCACTCGGCAAACAGAGCCGAGAGGAGGACCTGGCAGGGGGAGCTGCTGGAGACGGGACACTGCTCCTCGGGCACAGGCTGGCATGGCTGCCCTGGCTGCTGCACGGTCCAGTCCTGGATGAGCGCCTTCCAGTCTGGGGTGACCGTGCCGTCCCTCAGCAGGAAGTCATTGGCCTCGTTCTCATCGCAGGTCCCTAGAGAAATAAGGAGAAACAAGGTTGGCAGCCAGGGGTGTCCACAGAAGAGTGTCAGAGACTGGCTGTTCTCCCTCTCCACCAGGATCTGATCCTCCCCACTGGACCCAGGAACGTGAGCACTCAACAGTCCTGAGAGCAGAGCAAGAAAAGTTTATAAGTGCATACTCATGTATTTCATACTCACGTATTGAATCAAATGCTATTTGAGAAAATTAAATAGGAATGAGGCCGACATGTATCATTAAATATAGATGTGAGAAATTGTTATATAGTTAGATTTTGAAATAAAATATCTTACAAGAAAAAAAAAAAAGAAGAAAAGTTTATAACTGCCAAGGGGAGAGTAGAGAAAACATTCTCACCACAGAGACCGAAAGTCTGTGAAGCAAGGGTCTTGGGGCTGAGCTGCAGCTGGAACTCATTGTTTTGGGGAGTGAACGTGAAGATGTGGCCGAGATGGTTGAACCTCACCTCGTGCATGATGGCGCCGTAGATGCTGGCTTCCATGTTCCCGCCCACGTAAGGAACAGGGACCAGCCTTCCATTCACCGCCACCTGCCAAAACCAGTTCATCGGTGGTCACAGCAACAAGGAACCCTAGAATTCCACGCTTAGCTTCTTACTCAAGTGACACAGTCCCTACACGGGCACCTCTTCAACTCCAGGGATCCCCACAGAGCCTGACATCTGTCAGCAACTCTTCTAAGATAACAAGCTTGACAGGAGGACAGCCCGTTAGGAGGCTGTAAAGACAGACGGCTACGCAGCTAGATGCTGAGAACCCCCAGATGGAAGCGAAACTGCATCGTGAGCACCAGCAGGAAGGATGCCTGGAGCCAGCTCACTGGGACAAGTCTCCAGGAGTGTCTAATAGGAGGTTGTTAAGTCATTTTTGTTTGTTTTTGGTCACCAGACGATCTGCAGAGGGCCCCCCCCCAAACACCGATATCATATCAAATTGTACTCATAGCCCATGAGTATGAATACAATTGTAGCTGTAAAAATTATGGAAGGATATTCTATCCATCCCATTTTAAAATTTAGCTATGAGTTACTTACATATGACTGGCCTTCAATTTTCACAATGATTGAACATATTCAAGAATTCTTGCAAAATGAGAAAATCTAACCTACCAATTATTTTCACATAATGAGCTAGGTATGCTTTCTAAATGGACAAGGAAAGAAATTGGCATAATGGAACCTTTTGTAAATGAATCCAACATTGATGTGTATCAGTTTTGCAGCAATTTTCCCTTTTAACTTTGGAGTCACACAATTTGTTTTGACCTTAAATGTTTTCCAAGACCCAAATATAGGCCCTACTAGTCTCCTTTGGAAAACTCACAAGCCCTAGGCAGTGGGTTCACATTTCCTGCTAGGCAAACAGTCTTGTGGCCACCAAATGTTCTATAGTGCCAGAAGTTAGCACCAAAGTCACAATTTAATGCTATAAAATTGATCCTTTCTTCCAAACCTGGGCCCAGACAACATCAAATCTTACCAGAACAAGGGAGAGGCAGTGCCTCTCCTAGAAGGTGGCACTGAGTCCTTTCCAGGAGCACCAGCTAAAAACACTGCCTCCAGGTTCCTGCCTATCCCCAAGGTTCCGTGGTTCTGGGAGCCACAGAGAGCCAGCTCACCTCCATGTTGCTGTGGAGCTCCAGCGAAAGGCCATCATGTTTCAGCTCGATGGATTTCATGCAGGCCTGCCTCACCCCGGGGCTGCAGGCACCATTATGGAGAATCACCTCCAGGTCCTGCTCCTTGTCTTGAAATAGGACGTAAGAGCAGCTGCCGGTCAGCTTGAAATGCTGTCCATCAAAGGTCACAATGTGCCGTGTGGAGCTGCCCGTGCACACACCTGGATGTGGGGGGTTCAGGGAGCAAAGGGTGAGTGTAACAGCACCCAAATGCCCACATGTGTAGAGGCAGGGGCCACCCAGGTGCTCACAGACTGGGGAGCTGCACATGAGCTAAGGGCCTCCTTCCTACAGATTACAAAACACTCTGAGAAATGGCTTATTTTCCTAAGAAAGGTTTAGAAGAACAAGTATTACATAAAAATGTGGAAAATTATAGAACCAACTTTGAAAACCTTTAGAAGTGCAAAGTAAATGATCTATTTGACAGGGATGCCTTGGCCTAGGAAATAAAGTTAAGTTCCAGAGCTGTTAGGACTTGTTGAAATCATGAGGAGCTAACAAGCAAGTCATGAGCACATGATCTCATTGTAAAGAAAGTTCACCTAGAGACACACGTGTCCTTTTGGCTGCCAAGTGACTAATGGTACAAGTGGCTGTGTTGACCACCCTAAGAGAAATATTTCCAAAGCCAAAAGAAATGGTTGGGTCTCCACACGTCCTTGTTTGCCACTCGTGCATGCACATAATCAGCAAATTCTCAAGGTTCCTTTTAAAACACCATTTAGGAATACTAGCCACCTCACACCTACATAAGCAAACTCAGTAAAAATCCCCCCACTCTCTCACTGCCGTATGACCTGAAAGCTAATCTTGAACCTAAATGAAGTTGGAGATGGGCTTTCCAAACAAAGCATAGCCCATCCACGGCAGTGAGTGAGCAAAGCCCCAAGAGCTGAGAGGCAAGCTCAGTGGGTCAGTGAGGCCCCACTAATGTCCTTCACTCTCAGGCGGGCCCTGGCAGTGTCCACCTGCATGAGTGCCCCACATGTCGGGGGAGCACAGGCTCTGGTGATGCTGGGTCTGGATCCGCTGGTAGTCAGAGCTGAGCGCTTACCCAGGAGCAATCCCACTCAAAGTCCCTAGGGCCCTGAGCACTCGGCCATTTCCAAGTGACAGTACTGAACGCTTCTGGCATTCTGTCCCCACTCCATGACTATATACTAAGTCACAGGCAAAAGAGATGGTTTTAACTCAATTGGCACATTAATGGGAATGGTTCTGGCCACCCTAAGATCAATTGGCACAGCGAAATGGGAGTCAGAGCTGGAAACTCAGGACTGGTTTCTGCTCTACCACATGCTTACTCTGTGATCCTGGATAAATTATTAAGCTTCCATGATTCCCTCCTATGTCTTCTGCATAATGGCTTTATAATAGCTACCTTTTTGGGTTATCATGAGAATCAGTTGCAATGTAAATAAAATGCCTGTCTAACAGTGTGTGACACACACGTGCATGTCTAATAAACAGGCCCACAAATCTCATTAACAAGCCAGTGTCACAAAGGAAATCCAATACTGTTTTTCAAGGTATTAAGAAGGATTCTTGGATGTGAGTATATAGATGTTGAAGCCCCCTGATCTCCAATTCACCTCCCAACACACCACTCCACTATACTCAGTTTTGTGCTCAGTTTAAATGAACCACATTCATTAACACAGTCCAATGGTCAGGACATAAAAAAATTAGGCTGGACCAGTTAAAACTGATGTATGGGAGAAAACAGGTCACTGAAAGTGAAATATACCATTTTTTTAAAATTATTGGGGATGGAAATATCTTTTTTTTTTTTTTTTTATTTCTTACATCATTGTTCATTTTTAAACAATATTTGCTTCTCCTCACCCCCCCAGGTGTAGTCCCCACAGAGTTTCCTTCCCCAATGCACCCGTGTACCATCACCTCAGTGAAATATACCATTTATGAATATCACCTGAAATCAAGGTGAAATGTATAAATTTGTAGGGACATAAAGATCACCAAATTTGACTTCATTGCAATAAAAAGCTTAAGATACCAATTTCCATGGAAGGACTGAAAAAGTTAGCAAGGAACTATTTCTACAACAAACAAACAACTCAAATGCCAAACTCAAATGGTTTCACAGGAACTTTCACTAAACCTTCAAAGGTCTGATAATCATATGCTCTATAAATTGTCCAAGATAATTGAAAAGGAGAAGAACCTTCTTTAAACATTTTACAAAAAAAAAAAAAAAAAAAAAAAAAAGCTGTAACATCAGTCTATCTAAACCAGATAAATACAATATTTAAAAAAAAAAAAACACTATAGGTGGAAGAGTAGAGGCCCCAGGGATCTTTTTCCCCATCAACATGACAATCGCCTTAGTAGAATCTGTCTGATGTAATAAATTTCAGAAACTGTCCCTAACAAAGACGAGGTGGTGGACTTACTAGGGTCAATTCACCAGGAAGATATAGCAATTATAAATATATATGTACCTAATATCAAAGAATCCACATGGATAAAGCAAACACTGACAGAACTTAAGGGAAACACAGACAGCATAATACATAACAACATAATAATCGCTGGAGATTTCAGGAGCCCAGAGCTATGAATGGCTAGAACTTGCAAAAGGATGATGAAGGACACGGAAGACATAAACAACACTAAAAGCCAAACGGGCCTGAACATTCTTCTCAAGTACACATGGAACATTCTCTGGGCTAGAACACATTAGGTCATCAGACAAGCCCTAAACAAATTTGCAAATACTGAAAACGTACCAAGGATCTTGTCTGACCACGATGGAATGAAAGAGAAAACAGAAAAATTCACAAATAATGGGAATTAATAAGCTCTCAAACAACGAATGGGATACAAAAAAAAAATCAATGTACAAAAGTCAGTTGTATTTCTATACATGAACAAGGAACACTCTAAAAAGAAATAAACAGTCCCATTTATGATAGTGTCAAAAACAATCTTGAGAAAGAACATGACCGAAGGCATAAAGACAGATCAATAGCCTAGCAAAACAGAGCAGAGGGCTTAGAAATAAACCCACACATCAGTGGCCAAATGTTCTTCAACAAGGGTGTCAAGAGTCCACAACAGGAAAAGCAAAATCTTTTCAACAAAAACTGTTGGGAAAACCAGACATCCATGTGCAAAAAAAAAGATGAAATTGGACCTTACATCATATGTATAAACCAACTCAAAATGGATTAAAGACTTAAATGTAAGACCTGGAACTATAAAACTCCTTTAAGAGTTTTGTGGTAGAAAAGTTTCAAAACATTAGTCTTGGCAATGATCTTGGATATGACACTAAAGCCAAGCAACAAAAGCAAAATGGACTGCATCACACTAAAAAGTTTCTGTGCAGCAAATAAAACAGAGTGAAAACCTACAGAATGGGAAAAGAGTATCTTTTTTTTTAAATTTTTTTATTGTAGACCGTTGGTTTACATTGTTGCTAGTATTTGGAAGTATAAGATCTCCCTTTTCAGGTCTCGATAGCACCCCTACTCCCACCAAGATTCCCACAGTCCTCCACCATAGTCTACTGAGTGGACCTGTTCTCTCTGGATGCCTCAGTTCTATGGTCAGTGAGAAAAGAGTATTTGTAAACCATCTATTTGATAAGGGGTCAATATCCAAAATATATGAGGACTCTTCAAATTCAATAGCAAAAAAATTTTTCAAAAAAACCCATTTTCAAAATGGTCAAAGGTCTTGAGTAGACATTTTTCCAAAGAAAGGATGCAAATGGCCAGTAGGTATATAAAAATATGTTCTACATCACTAATCATCAATGAAGTGTCCATCGATGGATGGATGGATAAAGAAAATGTGGTAAAAGCACACAAGGGAATATTAACCAGCCTTGGAAAGGAACTCAGAGAGAGAAAGAAGTCCTGTCATATGTAGAGCATGGACATTAACTCTGCCCAGGATGTGGGACTCACAGGGGCAGGTCCAGCGGCAGCCACAGGTCTCTTCCACCCTGATAGGGGATTGGCTGTTGGGGCATGAAGGCCTTGGCCCCACATCACAGTTGACCCGATGACTCTTCAGCAAGGTCTGGCCATCTGGGAGGCAAGTCACTGTGTGGCACTGATCTGGCAGGGTCCAAACATCCCCAGGCTACAGAAGAAAGAACCAGATTCAAGCAGGGAACAGGAAAAGTCCCTCCAATTCTAAGTCCATCTACCCAGCAACTGACCACCTCTGAGGACATACAGACCAGGACTTGGACATCAGCTTAAACGGCAAGGAGACAGGATGTCTGAGAGACAGGTTACAGAACAAAAGGTTTGCAGGCGGGCTTCCCCCCCAAAACAGGATATAATGGTAAGAGGGAGTCTAGACCAGAAGCAAAGGAGGAAAAGTAAACCCAGAGAACAAAGGTTGCAAATACATCTCTGAACTTTCTTTCAAAGTTGACAGAATCGAACTTACTCTCTTCTCATTCCCATCTTCATCCATGCAAACTCTGATGAACCCTGAAACAGACACAGATAAGAATTCAGCTCCCACCCATCACCTGGGATCCTCAGTCATCCACAGTCTGCTTGGACCACCTGGTTAGTCCTAGAAGTCGACTTAACTCTGCAAAGAATCTAAGTGGAGTGGGTTTAGCACGGAGGATGTGGGCCCAACAGACTAGGAGGTGGTCCTCTTTTGTCCTTCAGGCATATTTTGTGGTTATTGATAATAATGATGATGATGATGACAGCTGTGATAATATGGCAGTGACTATGTTACTGTACTTTCTTCTTCACTGTACGTCAGTGCCTGGCGGGGGGAGTAGAGGAGACATAAGGCAAGATCCTGAAAATTCGTTAAGGATCTTGATGATTCTGACCCGGACAGCTACCATCTAGCAGGAAAGAACAATGACTCTGCAATAGGTTTTGACTCACAACTAATTACATTAGGAAAACATATAAATCCAGGTTAAAAAGAAATCATGTACAGTTTCTAACATGTTCTTTCTCTGCTAAAGTTTGGATGGACAGTTAGAATGGAAGGCAGACTATACACAGAGAACTTTCTGGTAGCCCCTGGGAGGTCTGAAGTACAAATCTCCCATGAGCAGAAACTTAAAGGTCCTGGTCTAGCCAACAGTCTTCAATCAAAGTCAAATCTTCTGAATGAGTAGTCTTGAGTGTCTGGAGTAGGTTTTGTTGTTTCGGGTTTTGATTTTTGAGCAGGTAAGAAAGATCTTACAGAACTCACCAGAGCACAATTTGTGGAGGAAGGAACTACCCACGGTGACCATGGTGGTGAGGTCTTCTATCCGCTGGAGCTTCACCACGTTGGAGCTGGCTTCAGGGCCTGCCAAGATCCTCAGCTGGGCCGTGTCATACCGATCCCCAATTCCAATGGGGTACACTGCCACTCCTTGAAGCAGAACAAAAGAGCATCTGTGTCAGCCTGCTTTGGTCAGGTGGGCTGAAATGGGCTGGCCTCAAGTTACACCCTGTGTATGTACGGAGGGTGGTGTTTTTCTAACTGTCACTTGCACCCACCCTGTGAGGAGGTCATTCAGTCAGTCAACAAATGTCATTGAGATCCTGCTCCATGTCAGGAACTATTCTAAGAATGGATAGTTGACAGTAAACCAACAGTGAGCCAAGCAGATCAAGTTCTTACGGAGTGGGCACTGGGGATGGAGAGACAACAAACACATAAACAAGGAAATAACTAGTATTTCAAATGTGGGTTAGTGCTGATAAAAAATCAAAATGGAGCAAGAGGGTGGGTGTATTCAGGTAATGGGTTATTTTTTCACACAAGGTAGGAGGAGAAGTAAGCAGAGATAGCAATGAGCAGAGACCTGAAGTGAGGATGGAAGGAGCAGGGGGGCAGAGAGCTGAGAGCAGCAAGTGCTCTCCCAGGGCGGAAGTAGGATGGCACACTCCACCTGACCGAAGAGACAAACAACCCCCACCCACCTCCGTCCACTGTCAGTCCGCTGGTCGTTCAGGAGGGGCAGGCAGTGCACACTTACGGTTGGCTGTGGCGGCCTTTGCTGCTGCATCCACGGAATCCATGGAGATGTCCGTGACCAGGATGACCACTGCCTTAGAGGCCCCGGGCCTGGCACCATGGACTTCCGAAGTCAGGTATCGCAAGGCAAAGCCCAAAGCATCCCCTGAGGACAGACCACAAGACAGTCTCAGTGGCAAGAAATGGTGTTTCTGAAGCCACTCCCTGGAAAAAGAGCATCTTTCTTCCTGCGGATCCTCAGGTCATCAAAACTGAATGATCCAGAGTCTAGGAGGAACACACATCTGGGACCTCTGGAAGAGACCCAGAAGGATGCCTAAGGGCTCTATTTTACTCGGCCAAAGAGCAAGACGAAACTAAGGCCAAGGTCACTCAGTCTCGTCGGGCAAGAATTAGGACCAGACGCAGTCCCTGCCTCCCAGCTCACGGCACACGTTACCAACTTGGCTGGGGCCTCCCTCTTGCTGCATGAGGTCCACGAGGCTCAGCAGGTGGGCTCTATCCTGGCCCATGCTCCACGGTACGTCGACGGTCGTGACACTTCCATACTGTAGCACCGACACCTGGATGAGCTGGGGCCCTGCGGGAAAGGAAGCAGGGGAACCACACTTCGCATGAGGGAAGCCCCCAGAGAGCCTCTTTCCCACCTGCTCCTTCAGGGGCATCACTCACCTAGGTTGGCTTTTGCAATGAAAGCCTTGGCGAAATTCTTCATTTCGTCAAAGTAAGAAGCTGGAAAGCCAGAGGAGCCGTCCAGAAGGAGGATCACATCCAGGGGCTGGCTGCAGTCTGCAAGAGACCGGAAGGTGAGCACACACATGGCAGGGGGCAGCCCCCAAGCCCACGGGAGCAGACCCCCAGCTGCACGGCACCACCCAGGTAGCTCCATGGTCCCATTCAATGCCCATGTGGGACCAGGAGGGGAGCCGGAGGGGAGTCCTGGGCCCATGAATACCCCAGGTTTGGAGGCAGCGGGAGACTGCAGCTCTCTCCAAAGGCAGTTCAAATGCCCACAGAGCAAAGTAAGAGACATCCCTGCCCTCAGTAACAGGAAGCTGCTCTTCTCCCAGAATCAAGTAAAATATTGGAACAGCAAAACAGTGAGATGGTGGGAAGACATGCAGCCCCCACTTTTGAAAAGTTCATGTCACACCACCTTGCTTTTATGAAAAACTGATATTAACCTAAGTGTTCGCTAACTAAAAGGAATGTGAAAAGGGCTTTTGCTTTTTCAAAAGGTGAAAATCAAAACCAGGTCAGCACTGGTGCTGCAGCAGCTGTTGCAAAAGCAGATGGAGCAGAGAGAGGGGCCCCCCCACAAACTCCATCCCCAGGAACCACTTTACACAGGCTCTGTAATTTTCACACCACGCCTGCGTTTACTATGTATTAGTGCTGTTTTTGATTTTATGTGTGTTCTGGTAGGACCTGGTAGGTTATTTTGGGGGGTGGGTATATTCATTTTATCCCTGTAAATGAACAGTCATTGCTCCTTCGCTTACATTATGGAAGGTTTCATAAGAATATTCTACTTTGGGATAGCCTGTGCTCAGCCCAGGACCGAGCACAGCATAATCCTTGAAAATTAACTATTGTGGGTCAGGTGTTGTGAGGTAGGTAAAATGCTATAAGGCATTCTGATTCTAAATGCCTGTGCCCGAGTTAATGTTGGGGTACAGTCACGATCACAGTGAAGGAACAAACTCTGGTAAACAAATCTCATACTTAGACTTGATAAGATGATGTTATTAGTTCTCAGCAGAATTATCAATGGAATTGAAATAAATCTGTGGCTTTGATTAAAACAAACCCAGAAACAGAGGCACTGATAAGAGTGAAGCTCAAGAGACATTAAAAGCAGACTAGGGGTTATTATTCTGGGATGGCCCCAAACACACTAAATAAAGACAGTCAAGAACTAGGAATTGCTTAAACATTAACATCCATTTAAAAGGCAATACAATTATAGCAGTGGTGGCAAGGACTTTTTGAGTACTTGCTGGGTGCTATTTTAAGCATTCTACAAATAGGTGTTATTATTATTGCCCCAGATAAGGAGACTGATAAATAAATACAGAGGTATTGGCCTGAATTACCCAAAAATCATTACCAAAAAATTTTCCCCAAAATTCCCAGCTAGTAGGTATCAGAGGTGAGATTCAGGCAGCCTGGCTCCAGAATCTGAGGCCCTAAACTGCAACCTCTCACCTGACATCCTGGCCTTACCCCAAAGAATGCCAGCCACTCTGAATAATTTCATCCACCCAGAGTGATCAAAGGAGGTGACAGCCACCAGATTTAAAAGAGGTCACCTCACGGTAGAGCCGATGTGTGATAAAGCAAGACTTGTGCTTTACTCTGTACCCATGGTGGCGTTTAAATTTTAATAATGGACTTGCATTCCTTTGCATTTTCAAGCACACACTACAAGAAAAGCATCTTCTTGCCCAGCAGCATCTTCCTGGCCAGGAGGTGAGGAAACTCAGACACTCTGAAGGCAGGGTTGGACCAAGACACAGAGCAGGAGAGCACAGGGTCAGGACCCAAGTATTGCACCTCAGCCCTCACCAGCCCTCACCAGTCCTTGCACCTGAGTGAGGCACCTGCTTACCTGGGGCAGGGGAGAGGGTGGGAATCTGCAGTCCCTCCCCGGAGCAACACATCTGCAGCACCAGATCTGGAGCCTCCCTGGGGAGCATCTCAAAGTCCTGGATGAAAATGGGGGCATTGGGCCAGCCGATCCTCTCCAGCTCCTGCATGTCGGCGTGAGGACCCACTCCGATGGGCACCACCTGGATGTCGCTAGGCATCCGCCTGATCTCATCAGAGGCAGGGTTTCCCGTGACCATGTAGACCAGGTTAGGCGCCTCCTCCCGGTCCCCCTGGCTGGCCAAGAAGCTGTGCTCAGACAGATACTGCAGGGCCTGTCCGGTGTTGGTCCTGTTGCCGCCCCGGTAGCGGATCTCCCGCACCTGCTGCAGGACATCCCCCTTGGACTGGGCCTCATGGAAGGTGTACTCGGCCGTCACCGTGTAGGAATACTGCAGCACGGCAACATGGATGCTGTCCTGGCCCACGTCCATCCGCTGAATCACCTCCTCCATGAACTCCCTGCTCTTGTTGAAGTTGACCTCGCCAATTTTGTCTGAGCCTTCCAGGACAAACACCACATCCAGGACCGTGGAGTTCCTCTTGGATCCTGGGGAAGAAGCCCCCAAGAGCTCCGGTCCCACGGTGACTCGTGCTATTGGTGAGGGCTGGGTAGGAGCGGGCGCTTCGGGGGCCAAGTCACAGAGGTGGCTGATAATCTCGTCCCTCCGCTGCTGCAGCTCGCCCACACTGCTGAACACAAAGGCCTTGTTCTCGGGGGCCTGCTTCTCGATGAGCCGGATCTGCCTGAGGTTGGCGTGGGGCCCGATACCCACAGGGATCACGATGACCTTCTTCTTCTTCAGGCCCTGGACATAGCGGACCAAGTTCCGGGCCATCCCCGGGGGCTCCTGGCTGGCCGTCAGGAGCAGGGCGATGCGGGAGGCTTCGGGGCGGTCGACCTTGTTGAAGATTTGGAACAGCGTGTACTTCAAGACCTCGCTGGTGGAGGCCACCTCGCTGCCCGCGTACTTCACCTGTCTGGTGATGCGCCGCAGCTCTGAGGGCCGCTTGCGGTCCCTGAGGTCGATGTAGGCGTGGGAGCCGTCATGGTATTCCACCACTGCCACGCGGATCCGCTTCTGGGAGATGTGCAGACGCTCCATCATGTCCACCACAAAGACCTTCAGCTCCTCAAACTCGGCCTCTGACAGCTTGGAGGAGCCGTCCAGCAAGAAGACCAAGTCCAGCAGCTTGCTGCAGTAGAAGTCGTGCAGGGGTGGCTCAGGGGTGTCCTCCACGTAGGGGGTGGTAAGGCTGATGGGCACTTCAGTGGGGGGTACCACCAGTCCACCGGGCTCCCCACAGGCTTCACAGGTAAGGTTGGCACCATCACAGTAACTGTAGTAGAGGGGGGAAGGCACTGGTGAAGGACCATCTTTGGGCGCTTCTCAGTCTTACTCAGAACTATTGCACGTATACCCACAAAACTGCCAGGGCCCCAAAGATCACTCGCCACCCAGATAAGACATCATTTTTAAACATGTCTTCAAACCATGCACACACACACACGCACGCACACACACACAGAGCAAAGGCTTCCATTGGTTCTAGAACCAAAGCTTTAACTCACCCCAGGACATGAAAAAAAAAAAACTCTTGCTCCTAAGCCATGCACACAGCATTCAAGGCTGATTCCTTTTTAACTGACATCTCCAACAACATAAATATTTCAGTATATCCAAGCCTTCTTCCAAGTATCTCCAAAGACAAATATTGCTCTAAATTGTTGATGTCGACCAGGCCTTGTAAATGGACTACTGAAAGTAAATGTCTTATAATATTTATTATAACAGAAATCAAGCTCTCTGAATTCTGGGCCATGTTTCATATGTAGGAAGAACGGAAAACACAGGCGCACAAACATTTTGGAAAGATGAACAGATTCAAAATCCTACCTTTGTCTAACGAATATTGCTTTTGTAATAAAATCAGTAAAAGTATTTTCTTTCTAATCCAGCAATCCCACTCCTAGGTATCTACCTGAAGAACAGGAAATATCAAGTGGCAGGGATTGCACTCCTACGTTCACTGCAGCACTATCTACAGCAGCCAAGTCTGGAAACGATCTAAGTGCCCAAGGGCAGACAAGTGGATCAGGAAGTTGTGGAACATATACACTACGGGTACTAAGTTATTAAAAAAAAAAAAAGGATGAATGCTTGTAATTTGCAACAACATGGTTGGAACTGAGAGAGATTTATGCTAAGTGAAATTAGTTAGGAGAGAGACAAATAGCAGATGCTTTCACTCATATATGGACTCCAAAGAAACTAAAGCAAAACAATCCTTAGAAATCTGACCGTAGTGAGGTACCTGGTGGGAATTTCATGGGGACTGTAACTGAGATAAGAAAGCATGCATATAAAAAAATAAATTATTGAGAAAAAAAAAAAGAAAGAAAGAAATCTGACCATAGAACTGAGGCTACTGGGGAGGGCGGAGGAGAGTAAATAGGGGAGTGGCTCCTGGACAATGGTGGTGCCTCACTGGGGCTTTGGTGGTGAGCGTGGTGCAGGAACAGGCATTTGCAAAGGTGTGAACCTGTACCCCTAAGTCATATGCAATGTTGTAAGCCAATGTCACCTCAATAATTATTTTTTATTTTTTTCCAAACCCCAGCTTTGTCCTGCAGAACAAAGCACTTGGGCACTGAAGAGCAGGTCCCCAACGTGTTACGAGAGAAGATAGCAACTGACTCGTGCACTGCTTCTATGGACACATGGCGGGCACCTCTAAGTGTGGGGGACCAGCTGGGCCACACACCCGGCCACAAGCACACACGATACATCTGTCGTAGACCAGTTACCTGCCCGTCCCCAGAACCCCAAGAAATTCCTACATTCCAGCTCAAATTTCCAGTCCCTTCTGGGCACTTTGCCCTCCCACCAGCATCCTGAAAGTGGCATGCCAGGTGCTGGGTTGCCCTGGGGTGAAGACCTGCCCAGCTAGGACCTTCTTTTTGTACCCTCTTGCTATGGAGCAACTTCCCTTCAGCCTCCCCCATAAAGCCAAGAGGGCAGCAGCAGCCTGAGCCCAGGGACCCCTGTGGCTTTGGAACTCCTGTCCACACCTGTTAGAGCCAGCATGTGCCCTGGAGCTGCCCCTCCCCAGGTGCCCGTGGAAGGAGGCGAGGAGGGGATTGAGCAAGCCAGTCCCTGCAGCTCGGAACCCAAGCCGGCCTGGACTCACCCTCCTTCCTCCTCACAGTCTCCTCTGCAGCACCGGGAGGTGGGCAGGCAGAGCCTTACTGGGAAGCTGATTCCTATTTCCTCAATGTCCATGCAATTTATTGCTCCAAACCTTGGTTAACAGCACGTAAGTGACATACTTTCTAGTTTCCTGCTTTTGCTGGAAAACTCACCCCAGGGAAGTGTTCACTCTTGTTTGTACAGATGCTGGCGGCAGGATCTGACTCTGGCAGCTGTGGCCACAGACCCTTCCCTGGCAAGTTAAAAGTTCCCGAAGTCTGGAGCAGAGAGCAGGCCAAATATCGACCTCTGAACCCAGATTCCCCACTTAGGAGCAGGGCTTCAGGAGGCTTGGCACACACCCCAGGGGTGCCTCACCTCTCCACAGCCACTTCCCAGACATAGTCCTGGAGGGCACCTGACATGCAGCCATGGTGTTCTCCCTCCCAATTTGAGAGCCTCATCCCAGGACCTGGGCTGTGGCCCTGGGGTGCCGGCTAGCAAGGTGTCTGCGTTACAGAGGCGTCAGGGGCTCCACCTCACTCTCCTCCCCTTCACCCCCAATTCCAGTAAAAAGGAATTTCATAAATTCCTGCCCTTGGATTCAGTGTGGCCTCCAGGGACAGTAACAGGCCTTCAACAGCAAGAGGTTAAAAATCCGAAACCTCCTATGAAGTATTTCCTGGACAAGTGACCTAATCTGTTCTGAGAGAAAGGGAAGCAAACGAAACAAACCACTACTTCTCCAACTCACACGGCGAGGATATTTTTCCCAGAACCTGTACCTCTGAGCAGGCCCCCAGAGAAGCTCGTGAGAAACTTCACTTTGACAACCCAGAAACCTCTTTACCAAATCTGGCAGCTCTTAGGGTCCCTGGGGTTCAAGGTGATCCTCTTTCCCGAGGCCAAGCGCCGGCCGGCCACCTCACACACGGGGCAGTCACTGGGGTCCACGCAGGTCTGCAAAAGCTCATCCAGCATCTTCCCTGCACAGTAAACCACTCGTTAGGAGCCAAAACTCTCACCTTTCCCACAAGGAGAACTCACCTTTCCTCCCCCTGGGTTACCCCACCACTGAGGGAACAACCTTCCTTCTTTGGGCCTTGATTTATGCCTCGGCAAAATCAGGGGTGGATTCCCTCACCCTACCACATAGCCCCCAAGCCTCAGGACAAATGAAATGTTATCTCCAAGGGTCTCTTCACCCCACTGGAAAATATATTTGGCAACTCAGGAGATCTGTGCTGTCCAATACAGGAGCCACTAAGCATATGTGGCTTGTTACATTTAAACTTAGTAACATGCAATAAAATGAGAATTCAACTCCTCAGACACACAAGCCACATTTCAACAAAACTTTTCACCATAGCAGAAAGTTGTTTGTTGGGTTTTTTTTTAAAGATTTATTTATTTATTTATACAAGCACTGGGTACAGTCAGAAGTGCAGAAGGGTGAGAGAATTCACCAGAGCCAGAGCAGGGAGCAAACAGGCAGAAAGACCGAAGTACACTGCTGAGGGGAGCAGCGGGCGGCAGGAGAGGTCTGCATGCCATGTGGGACCCTCGCTCGGTGGCCGGGGATCAAACAGGTGCTGCAGAGGCTGTGGGCAGCTTCACAGCCCAGCACTCAACCACTGCGCCACCAGGGGAGGCCCTTATAGCAGAAAGTTTTATCAGAAAGTGCTTCTCAAGAATTATTCGCCAAGCTAAGACATGGAAACAACTGAAAATGTTCATCAAGGGATAAATGGATAAAGATGTGAGATACACATACACACACACACACACACACACACACACACACACACTCAGTGGACTAGTACTCAGCTATTAAAAAGATGAAAGCATGCCTTTGTTACAACATTGGTGGAAATAAGTCAGAAAGTGAAAAACAGTTACCTGATGGTTTCTCTCATTTGTGGAATACAAATAACCAGTGCAAAAGAATGAATAAATCACAAGAAAAATAACTCAGACTCTGAAAAATGTGTTTACCTGAGCAGGGGGAGGAGAAAGAGTATAGACCCATCGGACTGGGGGAAAGATACTAGAACTTCGGTGGTGGCTGCCATGAGGCTTATAGAGAGGTGGGAAGCTGAAACCCTGAAACTGATAGAGCATTGTAAGCCAATGGGGAACCACTACAACTTTATTTTAAAAAATGAATAAAAATAAATTAAAAGATAAAAAAGTGTTGTTCTGGACGATAAGCTCTTAAATAGGCACAGAGAGGCATTGCACAGGAGCTCAACTTGACAAAAATACTCCCTGGCCTGGCTTTCATGAAAGGACACAGGGAACAGAGCCCAGGGCTTTAGGGTCGGGGACAGGGCATCCCTGGGCAAGGCTGAGAGGCAGCAGGACCGGGATACACCGTCCCTGGGCCTGGCCCCGCCCGCCCCGCCACCCTTAGCCCGGTCGGGCCTCACCTGGAGGGCAGTGAGCATGGCAGCCCTCCACACACTGCACGGGGCAGGCCAGCGGCTCGGGGTGCTGGCACGTGACGGGACAGGCAGGAGCACAGCTGTTGTAGCGCCACTCACACTCGTACCCGCTGTCCCGGAGATTTCTCTCTTCGCAGCTCTGGGCTGGGTAGACAAAAGAAATGACCTTGACCACTAAGACACCAGGCAACTGGGCAACCTCCCTCAGCCAGGACTGCACCCAAGTCCCTAGACAGATGGTGGTAAGACCCACAGTAGAGGGGGCACGCGGGAGGTGATGACCATGCGGGGACTTAAGGAACTACCAAGAGTAGAGACTTCGGGATTTTTTTAAGCACTTGACAACAGAAGCCTAGTGGTTCTGAGTCCGCTTTCCACATAGAAACATTAGCTGCTTACTCCGAGGAAGACTCACAGATGTGTGAGCACATCGCTCACACTGGCAAATATGACATGTCTAGTTAAAGACACGAGCCACTCCCCTCCTCTCACTGACCCCTCAGCTCCCTCTTCCAGAATTTCTCCAGGAGGAAAGTCTGCCCTGTCCCCGTGCCTCCCCACCCCATCGCTGTCCTCACACCCTTCAGCCCTTGGCCACCCACCCTCACATGGGGGCTCTGTCTTCTCTCCCACGAGGTGCCCTCTGCACCCCACAAGGGCATCAGGACTCACGGCACAACGTGGCTGTCCTCCAGGCCACCACTTTGCCGTGCTGAGCGCACACGTGGGCGTAGGCAGCTATGGTGTCGCAGAAGCAGGCGCAGTCCCCGATGGACTCACAGGAGCACGTGTCATAGATACAAACATCCAGGAAAGGCTCGGGGTCCACCTGCAAGGGACCCTCATGGTGGCTTGGGCCAGGGCAGGGGACGGGGACCTAGGGACTCTACTCTTGGTGTGGGGGCCAGAGTTGGGGGTAGAGGCCCAAGAAAGGACAAATGGTGCCAAAAACAGACTGGGTAAAAGTCAGTCCTAGTCTGCATCTGGATTTCAGCAAGAAAAGTTGAATAAAGCAGGGTTCTGGGCCTTTCATAGAATGCATTGAGCTAAAAAATTTTTCAAAAGACCATCCCCGTCTCTCTGTCTTTCCGCTTACCTGCTCAGTCATCCATCTGTCCCCATAACCCACTCCCAATCTCATGGACTTTTGGGTGTTTTTACATAAACACGCACACAAAGGCACACAGGAGTATGCTGCTCACTCTTTTCTTGCCTCGACCCAGCAAAGAGAACAAGGACTCATGTTGCCACTCATGTTGCCACTCCTGTTGCCTCACAAGGGGCTGTGAGGCCAGTGGGCTGGGGTGCTCCCGGACACCCACCCTAAGTCTATAGGGAGGCAGCCCACCCTCTGCTGATGCTCAGTCACAGTCACCCCCTTCTCCCCGTCTCTGTCCCCAAACATGCCACTACACACACCAGCCCCTGCAGAGGGTCATGATGCACTCACACTAAGAGGGTCAGTTTCCAAGACATGCCAGTAACCCTGATTTCCCCTGTTCCTCTCACTGGCTCTATTCTACCAGCTCCAATATCCAGGGTTTGCGCCAGGGGATCCTTCAGGACTAAAAATAATTGATGATGAACAAGATGAACAGAAAGATGAACAGAAAGAGCTGAGATTCAGATCCCAACCAATCATCCACTTGCCCAGAGCACACGTGTGTGTACATGGTTGTGTGCATGTTTGTGATTGTGTATGCACACATATATACCCACGTATACCCCTGTACACGTGTGTGCCTATACACTCATATCTAGACAGAAGAAAGCTGTGTTTAACTTTGGGGGTTTCCTTTTCACAGAGTAAGACACAAAATGAGGGCTCAAAAGCCATGGAGGTAAGTCAGAAACAAGTTTCCTGAGACAGAAACTAGGAGCTACAGGGTTTTGCAAGGTCAGGTAAGCACTTAGCTCTGGAGACAGTGAGAAACTAGGGTGTGAAATCCCCACATCCAGTATAGAAGAATGAACCCCACAACTGGGACCAAAAGTGGGGTGCTGGCAGATGCCAAAAGGAGCTCAACTTCACATGAGAAAAGCCACTGGCCAGCAAGGCCCCTCACTGACTGCAGAGGATCCTTTCTGTCTCCCAGGCCAAGGCCCAGAGGGGCTTGAAGCGGGGTGGGGGTGGGGGGTAGTTGGGGCAGATCATGTCCAAGGTCATGCCCACAGGAGCAGCCAGCACTGCCTCCCACCACCCCAGGCCCTCACCAGCTTGTTGCAGTCCTGGAAGATGTCACTGGTGAGGATCCTGCAGGAGTTGTCCACCATGGTCTGCTTCAAGATGTTGTTGTGGCAGGTGGCAGGGGTGGAGTCCAGAGGCAGCTGGGGACGGGACAAGGGAACACAGACGGAGCATGAAGAAGCAACCCAAAAAGACCCGAGAGACCCCCTTGTAGAGCACCCCACACCACTCACAGTTCATACCACTCACCCACCCCCCATCCTCCAACTCCAATGAGACCTGGGGGCAGCCCTCCAGGATCCACCCACATGGAGACCCCAGACCTACCCTACTGGTGTCAGCGCACTGTGGGTTCACTTTCCAGGAATTCCCAAAGTCCACGGGGTCTTCCTCCACTTGCAGGCTGCTGCTGGTGAAGTCGTTGTTCTGGACACCGTCGAAATTCCCACACAGACCACACACTTGCTCCTGACAGGCAAGTTGAGAGTGTGAGTCTTAGAAACTTCCAGAAAATGCTCTTCCGGGGGGCGGGGGTGGGGTAGAGACCAAGGTGACCAGCCAAGCCTTACCCTGGCCTATTCCTTTTCCCAAGCTTCCTCACTGACCCAGTTTTACAGTCAGGGGAACAAAGGTCATCACAAAGACAGGCAACCTGCCCACGTCCCAAGGCCAGCCGAGGGCAGCGGTGAGAAGGAGCCACCCCTGACCCTCCCCTCGGCCAGCTCCACACCAGTCACAGACCAGACGAGGCGGTCACTGACCTGGAACGTCTGCTTCAGGGTCACGGAGATGCCCAGGTGGTGGTCCCAGACCACAGAGAGGGCCTTGCCCAGCAGCAGGATGATGTAGCGGCCGGACTCCACCACCTCAAAGTGAGTCTCATCCTTCATGGGCCTCTTCACATTCACCTGAAGGCCAAAGCACGAGCCAGGGGTGAAGGGCAGGCCAGGGTGTCTAGCTCCTCCCCTCCCCCACACCTGCTCGTGGCCTCCAGAACCCCAAGTCCTCTCCCCATTCACCCAGAGTTTGCCCCTTCGGACCAGCTCGTGCGGGCACATTTCTACAGCCACCACCTACCACGCCCACAAATCCTCTGGTGGGTGATAACAGAGGTGGCAGCCAAATCGTAATCGTGACATTAAAAATGCAATGAAAACATGTAGCCGAAGATCAGGCATCGTGTCACAAAAATAATTATTCTGACACCTGGTCACTCATACACGGTGCCCTCGACAGGTTTTTAACATGGCAAAGACTTTAAGCACCTCCAGTCTGTCCATTATAAAAATCTATCCCTATCGCTTCTCGGCCTTTCGGCTAAGATCAAGTGTTGTATAAACATCTATCCCTTTATAGAAACAAACACAAGATGCTCCCTTCCCATCCCCCCAACTCCCTCTTGCCCAGGTCCCCACACCAGGAGTGTAATGGCCACAACATACACCCAAGTTCTAGATGAAGCTGGACCCCTGCTTGCTCAGCTAGCAGAGCAAAGGGGCAGGAGAGGCGGGGAGGAGGCTGGCACTCACCTCCCCATCAAACAGCTCGATCTCGCCTCCTTCCACCAGGATGGTGACCCGCTTCTTGCATTTCACTGAGGGGTAGCTGCACCCCTCGTTCCCGACCAGGATGCGGAAGGTCCCAGGGTTACTGCCACAGTAGTCCTGGGGGGACAGGGGTACCAGGAGAGAAATATCACCTCTGCCACCCCTCTCTAGATCAGATGATTGGCATGTGTTATTTCAGCCTTTGAAGAAAATGTTACAGGGTGTCACCATGTCTGCGAGTGAATGTGTGTGGGTGTGTGTTTGTGAGAACACACACATCAGGTCGTGATGAGCTATGCAGGGATTGTGGAAACAGAGGCTGAGGGAGCATGGTCCTTGCTGGCCAACTGAATAGAAAACTACACAAAAGGGGAGAGGTCTTTGGTGAGCAGCTCCCGTGGCAGCTGTGACTATGGTGTGAGGGGGAAAATCCAACTCAGAACACTACCTGTGAGTGCTGGTTCCCCGCCTTATTGGAGAACATTAAGTCATTTACCTCCGCCCCACCCCTCACACACAGACCCACAGACACAGGCACACATACACACTACATGTATACACTTTTATATACACACGTCCCACAGACACACAGGCCACACAGTCACAGAGACACACAGAATAGCACCCACTGTCTGTCCTTTATAAGATGGGGCCGGCCAACTCAGTGGGATTATCAGACAGTGAGTTAAGCTAACAGGGCAGTTAGAGTTAAAAGTGGAAATCAAGTCGCAGGGCTTTGAAAATTGTTCTTGTCACCAGCTGCACACGCCCGCCTGGTGCCCTGCTCACTCCCAGCATGCTCTGCACACGCCCGCCCGGTGCCCTGCTCACTCCCAGCATGCCTTGCAGGAGTGTTTGCTCAGTCACCCTGTCTCACGGGGCCTTGCAATTCAGCCTTTGGGGCTGAGGTTCCTATGGGTTTGTGGTCCCCACTTCAGACCACACCAAGCCCCCACCACCTCCTCCTCCCAAGAATGGAGACAGAGAGACCACAATTGTTTAAAGATTCACAGAGCCAAACTGTCTTGTCCCTTGTGGGAAAAGCACTCACATGCTTACCCACTTTGGTGTCAACCAGCATGAAAAATTTATAGGAATCCACACAGTGGGGAGAGGAAACAGAGGGGTCAGTACCCTCTCTCCTCAGCTAGGATTTCCCGGGCTTTTTCTCATCCTACTGGGTAATAGGAATTTTCTGTGGCTCCAGCCCCCACCTCCACCGCATTGTGAACTACACTAGAAATGAAAATGGTGGAAAATGCAATAAGATCATAGGGTGGGAAGCAAACGCCAAGGGTCATTTCAACCTTCTTGTCCGGGGCCACAGTGTCAGGTCGTGCAGGCTGCTCACTGCACAAGGATACACGCAGGGAGAGTGAGCGAGGACTGAATTCCCCACTACGCATCCTAAGGAGGCTGTGTCTGCCAAAGACTCTGATGGCTTTTTCTAATTCCATTTTGGTGCTAACTTGGGTTGAAATAGCTTGCCCCACACCAATCCCAGTCAACAAATGAGCTTTCTCTCCTCTTCCATGTCTCCAAGTGGCTGAAGGAAGATGGATGGTCACTTTTGAGTTTCAAACCTCCTACTTCTTCAGGCATTTCTTTCAGGGATTGGGAAATTATTCCAATAGAAATAGTTGTTTCTTCAGACAGAAAGACAGAATCTGACCTGGAAACCCCCAAACTGTAGCCAGTAGTGGCCCCCACCCCTCCCTCTTACCTGCACCAGGACATACTGGCACTCCCCAGGGAACAGGTATTTGAGCCCGTCGAAGGTGAGGTAGTGGGCCATGCCAATGGCGGAGCAGGTGGCATCACACACCTGGTCCGTGCAGTTCCACTTCCGGTCCCGACAGACACTAGAAAGAGTAAGGGCAAGGATGGCCAGTAGGGACTTGGTTGCCAGGGTCTCATCTGGGTATTGGAGAGGGAGAAGATATGGAAAGACTGCTGCAGGTGCCACCAGCGCTCCAGGAACCCTCTAGAAGTGAAGGACCCATGGCCTGTGGAGCACGGAGTGTGCGGGGACTTTGCAGCCAGGAACTGACACATTGTTAGTGCACAGCCCCCAAGAGGTGAGAAGGAAGCTGTGCTTGTGTATATCTAGTTCCATGAGGAAACTGAGGCCAAGAGGTAAATGAGCTGTCCACAGTGATCCAGGCAGCCAGGGAAAGAGGCCAGACCCTCTGGGGACCAACTGCTGCAAATCTGCTAAAGGTCAGCCTCCCCTGAGAGTGGGCCCCGGGGTCTCTATGCAACAGACTCAGAGGATTCGTGGGGACAAAAGACAGAATGGCGGCAAGTTCTGAGTCAGGAAAACCATGATCGAGGGTGACTGTGCGCCAGAGAAGGCTTGGAGGGTAGACAGCCATATATTTAAATCTACAGAGTTTTGCCAGTGGCCACAATGCCCCATCCCACAACACCGTAACCAGAGATGACGTGGAAGCCCACCCATGCGTCAGAGGTGGTAAGCTCAGACCTCAGGCCCTTCTGGGCCCCCAGCTTCCTGCCTCTGTGCACATGGCCTTTGCCTAGAGCTGTGCCAGGGCCAGAAGTGACAGGAAGGGTGAGTGGGCAAAGCCCAGAGTTATAGGAAGGTCAGCCCAGGCACCAGGGAGGAAAATCAGCCCCCTCAGCAGGCAGCACAAGGCCAGAGGCCACTCCTTCCACAGCGCCTGGCACTTGGTCACTTGTGCAGGACTGAGAAGGAACAAGGTCCTCAGCTTCCCCAGGCCCCACTCCCTAGTCACTAGGGGAGTTCTCTGCAGGGCAGGCAGAGCACTGGGGTGAAAGGTTCTCCCTATTTTACAGATAGACAGGGCACAGAGGAAAGAGCAACCCCATTCCCAGAGGGTGCAGGAGACGGGTACCAGCCATCTCTGCCCCCAGCACCCCACTCCCACTCACCCCAACCACCATGGCCACCAGGTCCCCAGGAAAGCCCATCCCAGGGCCTCACCAAGTGTTGCAGTCAATTTTCACTGTCTCTCCCGGGGCGTATTCTTTGCCCTGATGGAAGCAGGGACACCTTTCCAGGGCCACACATCTGTTTTCATGCCGGACCTAAGGGACAGAAATCCAGAGTCTTGGGGGCCACAGTTGTATGGTCTAAAGCCCTGAGAAGCAGCAGCCATGGACAGAGGCCAGGCCAGTCAGAACCCACGCCTGGGCTGGGGCTTGGCGGCCCCAGGCACCTGCCACAGGGTCCTCCCCAGCACAGAGGAAGACACACTGGCCACCCTCTGCCCTCACCCCCTGCTGGGGACCGTGGAGCATGGCACCTTGGTGAAGATAGACCCTTAAACCTAAGAAGCCCATGCAGAGGATTCCTCCAAAGGTAATAGACTTACCAGCACAGGTTAATGCAGAATTATTTATCATTGCATGGAAACCAAGTGTCCAACAATAGAAAAATGATTAAATCCATTAAAGAATTCCCCGGTGACAATGTCCTACGGAACGATTAAAATGGCCCTTTGAAAGACTCTTAAATGATACAAGAAATATTTGTGCTGTTAATTTTCAAATCGGAGGTGGGGGGAGCTGTATATACATATGGTCCCAATTATGAAACTGTATTTTTTCTTTTTTCAAAAGGACTTGAAGGAAATATAGACGTTGTCTCCAGATGGTGGGCTGGTAGAGAGAAATTTTATTTTCTCTTTTGGTTTTAAAAATTCTTTTCCAAATGTTCTTCAGTGAGCATGTACTATGTTGATAATTAAAGAACATGGGCATATATTTAATAAATGACAAAATTAATAATACACTAAACACTCTGGAGATAAAAGCTGAACACTGGCAAGAAGCAGGGATGGACCAAAATCAGTGCCTGAGGGGTGATGGCAGGGTTGCTGCTTCTTTTTTTTTTTTTTAATTATGTTTGCTGCAGTAACATTGATTTACCATACTGTGTATGTTTCAGGGATATAGGTTCATACCTCTGCTATCCAGGGGCTTCCTCAAGTCCCCCATGTCCCTTCACACCTCATCCAGGCCTGAGATTCAGATGCCCTCCATGACAGCCCTGTGGCCCTGCCCCCCGCCACCAGACTAGGGAATTTGTATACTCCTCAGGTCCCTGGGGCCAGGAGGGACAGGGCTGAGACCTGCAGGCCCTGGTGGGCTCTGCAAGAGCTGGCCAAACCCACCTGACCCTCAGCACACACACCTGCTGCAGGACGAGCTGGGACGTCTGCCTTAGCCAAAACCTTGCATGAGCTAATGGATCCCTGGGTCACCCTTAGGCCCCTTAAGTAAAGGGATCTTGGGTTCCAGAGCTACCTGAGGAGTAAGAAGCTGCTGGTCTGGATCCCCTTGTGACTCAGTTATCCCCAGACCAGCTAGAGCCCCCAGGGCTTAGATGGAGACAAAGTCCTTGGAAGGAGCTGCACAAAGGTTTCACTTCAAGGATCATGCACACCTGTGTCTGTGTGTGTTAAAAGGGGATGGAAGAATAACCCCCATTACTTAACCACTACCTTCAGATGCGGGGTGGTTCTTGAGACCCCAAAGCCCGCCTAAGCAATGGAGCAGAGTGAGGAAGCTGCTCTTGGAGGCTCTCGCCTCCTAGGACCTCTGTTCTTGGAAGGCAATGAGCTTGGCTGCCTCAGCTGCAGATGGTGAAAAATGTCATCCTACCAGTGCCTTCAAAGGCTGTCACTATCAGGGTTCATTCCTACATCCCCCCAAGCTTTGCCTGATCTGAGTAGTCCCAGGCCTGCCACCTAGTGGCTACCCTAAGATTGACAGGTGCTGCCAATGGGGAACATGCTGGCCAATGCTCACTCCTACCAATAATGGAGGCCAGAGAGGAAACAAATTCCCCATTATGGGAAACAAGTATGAGACAAAGGTAAGATGCACAGAAGGATAAAGAGATAAGGTTTATGAATGTCCTTCAGAGACTTCAGAAGAAAACAGGCAGAAATATTTGTCACTGTTATTCAATTCATTAATTGAAGTCTTGAGTAAGGTCAGCTCACTCTAAGAACATAGTACTAGATCCTGGTCAGCCAAAAAAGAAAAATAAATAGGTAGAGAAAAATTTGTTTTGTTACTCCTCTCTGAAAAAGCCCCATCTTCCCCCTTCCCCATACAAGAACACCATATTAACCCATCCTGCAAAATTTCGCTTGCCTTCCAACTTTGCTTTGTTCATTCTCCCACCCCATCAAAACTTCCAGCTCAAATAATCTAATTTCAAGAACCAGGAAAGTAGCTGATTAAATAACTCATACTAAGGTGTGAATGACTTCCTGGGAGAAGTCATAAGCTTTTCTAAATCTCTTGCTTGTTAAGCAAAATGAACTGATACTTACTATCTTTCAGTACATCTAAGTGCTAAGTGACAAATTATAGAAGGTGTAGGATATGTTTCTGAGACAGGAGGACCTTCTGGGGCCTTTTAAATTGACATCCTATAGGATTTACAATGTCTTCAGGTGAGGTCCACCCTGGATGGGCCTCAAGCTCCAGATTTGGGAAAGTAATGCCAAAGCTTTGTCAGTCTTCATCCTGACCAGTGAGAAAACTGGGCATCAGAGTATCAGGGATTCATGCCAAGAGGTTTCTTAGCACCAGAAGAACTGGGTACCAGTTCAGAACACGTAACCTAGGGTGTACCTAGAGGGTAAGTGAGCATCTCCCAGACAGTATACTGCAATCTCCAAGACCAGGATTTCCACCACGTAACTCTGAGTTTTGAATGAGACTAGGTCTGTGCTTTCCTCAGTCTCCTCCTCTGTGATAAAAGGGCTGAAATCCTGGGTTCAGGGTTCCCTCTGGCCCTGGTGTCCCAAGATCCTCCTGGAGAGAAGGAAGGGGGGGGGCTGGAATGGGACCCCGGAGCAGTGGGTTGTGCTTTGCTGCCACCTAGTGGTGGCATTAGGTAATACCACCCCAACTTAAAGGCCAGATGTTCACTCAAGAATTTTTGAATTATAGAAAAAGACTTGAGGAATTGTTTAGTGAGACCCCCTCATTTTATTGACCCAGTGAGTCTCAGAATACCAAAAATTGTTCCTAGGGAGTTAATTCCCTATCATGTCTCTGTCCATGATATGGGATCTTATGACTTTTACCCCCTGAACTTCTAAACTCATCATGATTAAACTGCCATTTACTAAGTAACTCCCACATGCCTGTCACTGTTCTCTCTGGTCCTCCCAACTATGCTTGTAATCCAGTTTTACAGTTCAAAAGAGACAGAGATAAATATTTCAAGATTTTAAGTAACTTGCCACTCAGTTATATAAATATCAGGAGCCAGGAATTCAGTGTAAAATTGTGGAATTCTTGCTCAATGCCTCCTCCACACAGCTTCTGCACCAGCCAGGTGATGACTACAGATCAAAAGCATCCCCATCCCCATGTTCCGTGCAAGGAAATGGAGTAGGAGCAGATGGAGTCTGCAGCAGAGGGAGTGGACCAGCCATCTTCCTCTCTATGCAGGTACCAAGCCTGGAACAAACTGCAGAGAGTGGGATCCCTCCCTGCCCCCAACACTTTCAAATAGGTTCACTGGCCTTACAGCAGACATTGAGAGGGGCCTTGAAAGAGGACAGGCAGGCTTCAACAGAGAACAGCACTGCTCAAAGTATGGCCCTGGGGTCGGTGATGAGCCCAGAAATGGGGAGGTGTTGATGGCAATTTCAGTGGTTTATCACATCTGTAGCATCTAATAAAAATTAGCAGGGGGGCAGCTCCTGTGTTGTAAGTCATTGCTTTTAGTTTCGTTTTTCTGAGCACTCATTTCTATTACATTTACAGATGCTTTGTTTCATGTAGATTGGATATTTAATTGAAGATCTCTCCCATGGACAGGAGGACGAGGTGGCTGTCAGGCTCTGAGAATGAGCCTCAGTCTTTACAAACACAATTAATTCTATTCCTCTGGTTCTATAGCACATTCTGGTTTTAAAAGGATTTTCTCATAAAACTCCACCAAACCCACAGCCAGTGTATGATGAAGGCAGATCAGGAAGGAAATGTGTGTCCATGTCACATATGAGGAGAACGAGACTCAGGGGAGTGTGAATGACCGCTGGGGTACAGTCAGAAAGCAGGGGCGCCAGCTGAGCACTGACCTCTGCCCTGCTGCTTGGTGCTCCCTCCACTCTCAGTACGTCTGCCCCCAGCAAAAAAGCTACTTCCTTGCCCTCTTCAAGTCCTCAGAATACAGAATCCCTGGCCTCTTCCCCAAAACCTCAATAACATGCCACAATCTCCCCCGCCCCCACCCTTACGCAGGGAACAGAAGAGCAGAGTAACACCCAGAGCCCAGACTGGGGCTTCCAGCTCCTTTTGCTTGTATTGTGGCCAAGAACATGTGTCCAGTGCGGCAGGCTCATGCTGTACACTTCATAAATCACATGGACTTTTCTGCCCTGCCAAATCTGGCCTCAACAATTAGCACACTGGTCGACATCGTAATGAAGCAGTTGTGAAAATAATTCAGTCTCTTACACTCTGAGCTTTGGAGCTTGTAACCCTGTGTTGGAGGGAGGGCCACCTGGTTGGAGGGCAGGTATCCAGCAAGCTCATAAGGGTGCATCGGCAGCCTGAACTTCAGGTCACCAGGGACCCGAAACAACAATGCAATGGTCGTGGCTATGCACACTGAACTATCTGTACTGTTTGCCTCCCGGGTGGAGGGAGTTCATCTTAAAGAGCCTCTGGTGCTGACATAGTCTCCCGAGTGAGGTTCCTTTTGGCCAGAACCTCCAGTGATGTTGGGAGAATGTTCCCCAGCATGGGGAATGCATGGTCAAAACCAGTGTCTAGGGGTGAAAAGTGCAATGGAAAGTGGGTACAGGGTGAGTGAGGAAGGTGAACATAGGAGGATGTGAACGGATATCTTCAAATGATATGAGTATGGAAGCTACTGGCAAATTAACAGAACTTGAAAAAAATCTGCATTTATAAAAATATCTGTCACTAAAAAATACTAAGTTAAAATAAGTCCTTTCCCAAAAAAAGAGGGGGGACGGTACAGCAGTGACCCATCCCTTCTTATTTCTCACCCCTGCCTAGGTCTGCATTTCCCTCTCCTATACACCTTCCCTGGGGCACCAAACAAACCTCCCAGTTTGGGGGTGCTCTCTAGCCAATCTCTAGCTCCCCCATTAGAAAAGAACATTCCAGAATCCTAATACAGAGGGGAACACCCAAGAGAGAATTAATAACACAAATCCCTCCTTCCAGGTGACAAGAATAATTTGCATATATTGTTTCCTACAAAACTGGACTGAGGTCAGAGTTGGCAGGGAAGTAAGGAGGCTTGGCTCAGACTGTCACCACCAGTGAAAGACTAGAGGGGTGCATAGGCTGCAAAGCAGCATGACCCCCCAGAAACTGCGAGCCAAATGCTGCATGTTTGTAGCCCCAACCCCAGAACCAAGGAATAATATAAGCTGGTGGAGACCCCAGGACTCAATGTACAGACAAGGGAAAAGGCTCAGTGCAGAGAAAGGGACTACTCCCGTCCTGGTTGGAGGTGTAGCTGAGACAACTGTCTTCTCTTCAAACAGTTGTATGTCTATGCAAATCATGTGCAAATGATATGCAAATAGGCAGGTGCCCCTGCTCCTTCTTACAACGGATTAGCCCTTGGGAAATAGCTAGTGGAAATGCCTGTTTTCACTTGTAAGTATTTTCTGGCAATACCCACTTTCCTTCCTACAGCAACAGCACCTCGGGGGCCCTTATATTTTTGTCAGATCTCATCAGGACAACACTGGCCCTTTCCTGCCACTACTGTCCCTAACTCTGGTGGCAGGCCAGACACAGAGACTCTTCCCACTCTGCCCCATCACCACCACCACCATCTCTCCAGCATCCTAGCCCACCTCACTCAGCCCTACCCGAAGGGAAGTGGGAGGTCACTTACCATGCCCGGGGGGCAGATGCAGCCGGACACGCAGCCAGTGCTCATGCACTCCAGGTCATAGTTCTGGCAGGTCTTGACACACTCTAGCCCCTCAGCCCGGGGGTTGTCGGCTGGACACACCAGCTTAACCATGGGGGGCCGGCAGGACAGGCTCCTTTTGCCTGGGAGACAGGAAATGAAAGGGGAGATTAGTGGAGGGGTGATGGATGGCCCTTCTATACTGCTCTTTGACCCCTGGCTTCAGCCACTCAATTCCAGAACAGGAAGCTGCCCACTCCCTGGGTTACACGCTGCCTGATCCCTGGCCAGGTCTACCCCTGAGCCAGGCTCCTCAGACACAGCCTAACTACTCATCTGACCCACTGACCTTTGCCCCTCTGGGGCCAGCTCTCCCCATCTCCTTTCAGCCTGTGACAGCTGGCTGCACTGAATCTTGATGTATTACAGAAATGCCCAGACCCAGGCTCTAAAGGACCTGGGCATCCTCTTTTTCAAAGGAACCCATATCGGACACAACAGGACTGTTGCTAAAATCCTTGCAACTAATTAAAGTCATGAAACCTTAAAGAGGTTTCGTGAACCCCTTTACTCCACTGTCATCCCTGCCCAGTCCCTGGCCATGGCCTGTCACCCCTATCTGCCCTCCTGCTGTGCCACTATTCCTCTGCTCCCCATCTAAGATCACCACCTGACACTCTATGTATCTTACCTATTTGTGAATTTGTGACTGCCCACCCCGCCGTGGAATGTATGCTCCAAGAAGGCAGGGGTTTGGTCCACTTGGTTCTCGGAGATAGCATATTTCCTGACAATTAGTAGGCATCAACGGCTGACTGGATCAGTGACAGCAGCTGGTTGATATGGGACCTTTCAAAAGCCCTGCTGCACTTAATAGCATCTGTATCTAACCATAAAGACCTGTAACTATCTCCTGTGGACAAGAAATCCCGAATCTTAAGTCTTATTTTCACATGGAAACTTAGGAAACTGAAACACTACAAGATGAAATGACTTTTCCAAATCACACAGGATTCTAGGAGGTTCTTGACTTTGAAAAAGAGGATAACTTACTTCCAGGGACGAGGCTGGAAGTCTTGAAGCACGAGACAGCATTAAAGGCAGATCCAGGGGAAAGAGTGACAGAAAGGAGGTGGGCGTCAGGGAAAAACATTATAATAAGAAAGCAAGAGAAAGATTTAGTGACCTTGAGGTCTGCTATGGTCTGAATGCTTGTGCCCCCAAAAATTCATATGTTGAAATCCTAACCTCTGAAGGTTAGTACCAGGGGGTGGAGCTTTGGGCCTTTGATGAGATCACAAGCCTCCTGAATGGGATTAGTGCCCTTCTAATAGACCCACAGAGCTCCCTCGCCCCTTCCTCCATGTGAAGGCACAGCAAGAAGTCTGTGGCTCCAAAGAAGACCCTCACCCAACCCTGCCTGCACCCTGATGCCAGACTCCCAGGCTCCAGAGATGTGAGAAATACATTCTGTGGCTTATAAACCACTCAGTCCATGTTATTTTGTGACAGAAGCCCAGCAGCACAGGACAAGGTCAGAAATCCTCATTTCAGCTGGCAAGTCAGCCAGGAACTTGGCATCTTGCCAACTGACAACCCCCAATCAGTCATCCAGGGAAGCAGACCTCCCACCGGGACAACCTGAAAGGCCTCGGGCATGTGCAGACATGTGCATTGGAGGGAGGAAGTCTTGAAGTAAGTGGGTGGCAGAGAGAGATTAAACTGGAGGCTGAAAACGGTCTATTTGTCTGCCCCAAAGCATCCTTCTCACTCTCCTTGGGAAAGCCCTTTCTAAACAAGGGTACGTTTCCCGGAAAGCAAAAAGACACCTGTAACCTCTAAATGTGAACGTGGCCCCACCAGGTCACCCCTTTTGCAATTGTGTCTTGCCTTCCACAGCAGCTATTAGGGCCTCCAAATGTGTCCAACTCTCTTCTGCCAAATCCATCTGAGAAGCTTGCTAAAGAGGTGGCCTTAACTGTACACCCCAGGTAAAAAGAGGTCATTGAAGGAGGAAGCTTTTCACCCCCTTCAAGATGACCGACTCAGCTGGCACAGGCTAAGGTCGCCATGGGCAAAACAGAGGTCTTGCTGGGTCCGTCTTGTGTGTAATCCACGTTGTCTTCCTGCCTTACTAATTTTCAGTCACACCCGTAAACTCCAGAGTGTCTAGGCCTGAAGTCACTCACACACGCGGCCCGAATGCATAGCCCCAAGACCCAACAACTGAGCAGCCCCAGGCGGTGGGGTCAGCACTCACTTCGGTGCGAGAGGGGGCGGCCGAGGACCGTGTCGGGCAGCATGCTTCCCGGGGCTACGCTCGAGGTGCAGTGCATGACGCCATCCTCGCAGTAGCTGCAGAGAAGAAAGTCAGTTTTGCAAGGGCGATGACCCTGGTGTCTCCATTTCCTCTCCCGCCCCTCTCTGCCCCTCCACCAGCACTCCCCAGGCTGAGACCTGTCTGAAAGACAAGTCTGCCAAGGCCACAGGCGACCTCCAAGCCACTTGACCCAAGAAACTGTTTCTAGTTCTCCTCTTGCTTGATTCACTTCAACAGCATTCATCACTCCTGACTACTCCACTCTTCTAGCAAAAAAAAAAGTAAATCTCTTCTGGTTTCCGTCCCTGGTGGCCCCCTCTCAGCCTCACCTCTCAGCCCCACTGAGAGCCCCACCCTGGCTCTCTTCCCACACACCACGTTGTTCACATCCAGGTAATTACGGAGATGACTCGTGAATTTACATCTGTAGCTCAAATCTCCTTTGAGTTCATATATTCAAATGTCTAGGTGTAGCCAGTGTTCAGTTCACTCAGCGCCCTACACTGAAGATTCAGCCCCGTTGACACACGTCTGTCCCATTTGCTGGTGCTCCAAGGCCACAAGCTATTCTGCAGTGTGCCTCCACCCTGTGTTACCCTCCCTGTGACCCACACACACTGTCACCTGCTCCTCACACCACAAAAAAGGCGGTGATTAGTGTCTTTGTTCATGGGCCTTTAAGAACCTGCATGAGAATTTCTCAGTAAATGCGCCCAGGAGCGGCACTATGGGACTGCTCAGGGCTGGGTGTCTAATTTGCACATGCCATGCCAACTCTCTCCCAGGTACAGCTGACCTGGTATTGAAGGGAGTAATGCACCTTCAAGATTAACAGGTGGCCCTGGGTTTGGAGAGGGGAGCAGTGGGCACGGTCAGTGGATGCAGGGCCTGGGAGACCACATTAAGGGTTTGGTCTTTATCCTAAGGCCTGTTGAGGGAAGCACTTGAAGAACTGCAAACACAGACATGATGTACTCAGAATTAGGTTTGGAAAAGACACCTGGAGGCTCAGAAACAGCGTATGTCCCACCAACCGCAGACCAAGGGCCCGTGTCCCACAGTCTTGTCAACACTTGGCATTATCCAGATTTCAAGTGTTTTCCATATAACAGGTACGAATTAACATTCATTGTTGCAAGTTATGTTTATCTGATGAAAATTATTTTAAACATTTTTGAAGGTGGCTGCTGTTCAATCAAAAGTTGCTGAATGAACCAGACACTTGGCACTTGCCTCCTAAGCACCAGCGGGACCTGGGCTCCTGGTGTTTCACTGACACCTGATTAAAAAACCCCTGTCCCGAAGTCAGGTCCTATGTCATTTGGACATGACCCAAAAGTTTAATCGTGTACATTTATTATGCACATAATTATATAATTTATAATTACTTATAGGTGATTTATAATTTAATTTATATCAACTAATTTAATTATATAATTAAAAATTAAATTCAATATATAGCCTAACTCATATACATATGTATATAAATACACACACACACACATATATAAACTTGAAGATAAGAATCAACTCCTGGCCCGGAGCCCAGCCTGGCTAGAGAAAGTTCTCTTCTGGGTTGGCTGTTTGGTAATTAAACAAACGGAATGAGAAACATTCAGCCCACACGTCTTCGCACGAATTCCTACCGCCTTTTCTCACAGGCATCATCAGCATAGCTGGGCTCATTCTTCAACATGTTGTTTAGGGAATAAAAATAAATGGCCACAAACAAGCCCTGAGTTCCCTCTGGCTCTCATTCCCCATGAAATCCAATCTTCTAAATGAAGTGGACAGACAGGCTAGTCAATAGCCGTCAGCCCCGGTGCCTGAAAGGGAGACATGGCGGGGGTGGGGGATAAGGCCACTGTCACAGACTCCGCTCACCCAGGACCTGCAGCACCCCATCTCTCACCTTACCTTCTCTCCCTTCTCTCTGAGTTATTCCTTAAATGCACCCTGCTTCCCAGAGACCCCATCTCCTTCATCTCCTGGCCCTCAAGCCACTCAAGGTTAATGGGTTATTTTCATAGCATTCTTGGCAGATTGCCTAATTCTGGATACTTTTGGAAGTCCACCAAGCAATCAACTCCTGTATTCTTTTTTATCATGTCAGTTATGGGTCTTTTCCTGAGTGTCCCTGATCAGCTCATCAATATCAGATTCAAGATCAAGATTTTAGCTGGGCCTCCCTGGTGGCGCAACAGGTTAAGCACCATACTATGAAGCAATCCTCTGGCCTGTGTACCCCAGCTCTTGTATGCATAAATAAATAAATCTTTAAAAAAATTTCTTTAAAAAGCCAGCCCTGCCCTCTAAGAGTGCACTTGTAGGCCCCAGTGTCATTTGTAGGTGATAGCTGTAGCCACACACGGGAGAACAGTCGCAGAGCTCGGGACATGCTCATACAAGCAGGAAACATTCCTTCCTGTTCCCTTTACTTCCATGGCAAGGTTCTGCCCTTTTTGCTGACCCCCTTTCTTTGGCATCTCTCATAGGCTCCTCCTCCTCCCCTGCATCTCCGAACATTCCCCCAAGCTCCAGACCAGTTCTCTTTTCTTCTCTTTCGTCCACTCCCCCTTTAGAGGGTCTGGCTACTCCCACGGCTCTGTTACCCACACGCAGCTTTCTTCTCCAGCCTCAGTCTCACTCAATCCATCATTCCAGTTGGTGGTTCCACTCATTCACCAAGAAGCCCTCCTGGTAACTCAAAGTTATCAATCAAGACCCAAGCCAAACACATTGTCTTCACTCTCCGTCCAAAGAGATCTCTCGCTGCTGTTGGCATCACTGTCCTCCCAAGCAACCAGGTTCAGAACCCTGGGCCCACCATGGACAGCACTGCCTTCCTGCACCCAAGCTGTTTGCTCAAACACCAAAACACCCCACCTGTTTGCTCACTTCCCAGCATCTCCAGCTTCGGTCCCACATCCATGTTCTCTGAAGCCAAGGCCTTGCCACACTTCAGCCAGACTGTGTCAGCATCTCCCTACAACTCACCCCCCTGCCTTCATTCTTTACGCAGCTTCCAGAGCCACTTTCTAAGCTACCCATTGATCCTATTCACCCTCTGCTCAAACCCCCCAAGATCTCAATGCCAAGCACTCGGTCATCAGAACTCACCCGACCCTAAGAGGTCCCTGAACCTGATCCCAACCTCTCCTGTCTTATCATTCCTCCGCACAACAGGTTCCCCCAGAGGAAGTACTTTGGTGATAGGTAAGAACTCCTTGTGCATGTTAGTCCTGGAATCTCAGTTCCACCTAAAAAGCCCTCCTCCTGTCACCCCACCACACCCCCTCCTGAAAACCTCTTCCCCAGACTCAAAGCCACCTCCTGCATTGAGTCTTCCCCATTCCTCCCAATGGAAGAGTCCTCTCCCCTTTGCTGATTGAGGAGGGACTTTCATTTCTCTGATAAAGTGAATCTACCAACATGATAGCCATTTAACCTCAATAAACACTGAGTGTATCTACCTTTTTTTAAGATTTATTTATTTATTTATACAAGAACCGGGGTACAGGCCAGAGGTACAGGAGGGTTAGAGGATTCACCAGAGACAGAGCGGGGAACAGAGCAGGCAGACTGACTGAAATACACTGCTGAGGGGAGCAGCCGGCGAGTCAGGAGTGGTCTGCTGTACCATGTGGGAATCTGAACCAGCGCTGCAGAGGCTGTGACAGCTTTACAGCGCTGTGCTCAACCCGCTGCACCACCGGGGAGGCCCAAGTGTATCTACTTTTTGCCAGAACTGAGTGAGGCACTGGGTCTCGGGCCTACCCTAGGTTCTCTACTCTTGGGGAAGCCACAGTCTAGAGGAAGCAGACAATATGTTGTGCTGAGCTCTGTGTCCAGTGCCCATAGTCATTTTAATACAAATGTAAACAACTAGTTTTGGGGATGAGTTGCAATCTAGAGACCTTGCCTGGCTCTCGATTTGAACAAACCAACATGGATGTCATTAAGGCATTATTGTTGATGCTTAGGTTAATAATGGCATTATCATTTCTTTTAAGCACTTATCTTTTAGAAATACAGTTTGGGGGCTTCCCTGGTGGCGCAAAGGGTTAAGTTGCAGCACTAGGAAGCTATCCGCAGCCACTGCTGAACAAATTCGATCCCTGGCCAGGGAGGTGACCCACATGGCACAGCAGACATCTCCTGATTCACCCACTGCTCCCCTCAGCAGTGTATTTCAGTGGATCCACCTATTCTACTCCCCACTCTGTCTCTGGTGAATCCTCTCACCCCCCTACACCTCTGGCCTATACTCCAGTTCTCGTATGCATAAATAAATCTTAAAAAAAATACATTTTGAAGTATTTTCTGATGAAATGATAAATATCTAAGGTTTCCTGTAAACTATTCCAACCAAAAAAGAAGGAGGAATTCAACAAAATCAGAATGGCAAAATGCTGATAATTTCTGAAGCTGGACGTGGATGCATTAGGGTTCCTTGAGCAATCTGCTCTCTTTTATGTCTGGAAGTTTTCCATAATCAGGACATTCTAATTGGGTCCCCCCAGTAGATGGTCGGTTTCCTTGGAGCTCACACTGTCTGCTTCATCGCTCCATCACCATCTCTAACCCGGACCTGGGACAGAGCAGGTGCCGAGGAAGTATTTGCCCGACAAGTGTTCTGCAACAATTTCCTCTGTGACAGCAACAGTCTGCTGACGCTGACAGTGACAGGGTCCTAGTGAGGGGCTACAAGCGGCCAGCATTGCTTGGAGACATTTTTTAGGGACATGCACAAAGCAAGCAGGGCAGCAAGGCAATGTTACTCTGGGCTATTTTCTCCCAGCTCAAAAGCTTCAGCTGGAGAACACTGACTAGAGGCTGAAGAGGAGGGAGCAAGGAGGACTCCTGTTTCCTGTTCAGAAAAAGGAAACTGAAACCGAGCTCAGGAAAATGGGGTCAAACACGTGATAGTTGGCACTGAAGCTCAAAGTCCCTCTGCCAGCCCAGAGTCCTCGTGCCAGAGGGTAAGGGAGCGGTAAGTCCTAGGTGAGCTCCCAACCCTGCTTCTGACTCACTATGCAATTCTGGACAAATCACTCCTCTTCCAGGCCTTAGTTTACCCCTCAGTGTAATTAAGGACTTGGAAGACCACTTTCCTGCCCGGTTCTGCGTGAGAGGCCCCGGGCCCCATGCTGGCACCTACCACATGGTGTGATGATCCGAGAAGATGTCTTCGGGCTGGAAGATCTCACCGTCATAGTAACAGGGGCACTGTGCTTTAGGCACGCAGTCTCCCCTCTCATCCAGGTAGAGCCCTGGGGGGCAGAAGCAGCCCTCCAGGCAGACCTCATTGCACTCTTCATCCGGGTAAGAGAGGGAACGGCAGGTGGTGTTGCAGGGGGTCCCACACTGCAGGTACACCTGGTCTTGTGGGCAGCTTAGTGCTGGGAGAGGGGAAAGGAAAGGGAAATCCCATTAAGATCAACCTGGGACTTAGGGTGCTAGTCCCTGCAGCTGTGACCCCCCAATTATATCTATGTGGGCCCTGCCTTTTGTCCCCACTATGAGCAGAAGTACTTTTGTGCCCACAAATGTCTAACATACACATTTCCTCCTGTGCTGAACCAAAGCAATTGTGCTTAGCCATCCCTGAATTCTCAAGCTTAAGACAAGTAGAAATCCCAGGGGGTGGAAGCTGTGACTATTAAAAACAGGGACTCCCTAGTGGCTCCGGGATTGGTGCCAGGGTTAAAGACAGCGCTATCAAGCTATCACCAGAGTTCAATCTCCAGACGGCCAGGGAGCAACACACATGGCGCAGCAGACCTCTCCTGCCTCACCCGCTGCTCCCCTCAGCAGTGTATTTCAGTAGAGCTGCCTGTTCTGCTCCCCACTCTGTCTCTGGTGAATCCTCTCACTCCCCCCCTCACAGACACACACACCCTCTGGTTTGCATGTCAGTTCTTGTATGCATAAATAAATAAATCTTAAAAAATATATTAAAAACAACTGAAAGAAAGAGCCAGAGACTTTCCCCCATGATGATCAATAATAATGGCTACCATTCATTGAGCACCTACTGAATGTCCCGTTTTTTCACAGGTTCCATGCCCTTTCCGCCTCTCTCCTTGAGCTAGATCTCATTAACCCCTTTCTACAAGCAAAAACCTGGAACTTAAGCTAAGTGACTTTCCAGATCATACCTCCTACAAAGAAAGGGGAGCAGGATCTGAACTCAGCTCTCCATGACCCAAAGGTCACCATTATTTTCTAAAAAGGGAACAGTCAAGGGCCTCCCCTGGTGGCACAGGCAGCTGAGCACCGACTGCACTGTGAAGCTGTCCGCAACCTCTGCAGTGTTGGTTTGATCCCGGCCAGCCGGTGAGAATCCCACATGGTGTGGCAGACCTCTCCTGTCTCGCCCGCTGCTCCCCTCAGCAGTGTATTTCGTCAGTCTGCCTGTTCTGTTCCCCGCTCTGTCTCTGGTGAGTCCTTTCACCCTCCCGCACATCTGGCCTGTGCCCCAGTTCTTGTATAAATAAATAAATATTTAATGAATGAATAAATAAATAGATAAAAAGGAAACAGTCCCAGAGAAACCAGCTTTCGAGGACATGCCAGTCACAAAGAGCAGGGACACTCTTACAGTAGGGTGGGCAGACCGCTCTCCCCACGGCCCTCACTCTCCCTGGCCTCCAGCATAGAGTTCTCCCTCCCACATCCCTGGGTTCCAGCCCCACATCCACCAGTACTTAGCTATGTGACCTTGAGCAGGTCCCTGGCTGAAGTATAAGAACAATCACATGGCTGTTATGAATTGAGGGAGCTCATGTGTTCAGGGTGACCCCTGGGGATAGAGTTCCCAGGCAGCAGGCTCCAGTTCTAGGTGGGAGGCCTATTCCAGAGAAAGGTCTAGACATGAGAAGACTGGCCAACCTACTTTCTCTGCTAACAACAGTCTCAGGACATCCTGATGATGCCCCTTTGCTGAGAGGTGTGGGGAGCACTTCACCCCTTCAAAATGCTTTCCTGGTATCGATCAGCTCTTGTCCAAGAAGTGAGAACCTCACTCTGGGGAGAGCCCTCCTGGGGCCATTAGGAACCTTCCCTCTGTGCATTCTAGAATCCATTTCTATCACAGGAAGCACAGCCAGAGCATTTAAAAAGACTATCAAAGTCAGCGCTGGCCATGAGCCTCAGAAATGGGCGAGATCCCTGAAGACTCCCCCTCTTATAACTGCTCTGGGCTTGGCATCTGAGGGTAGTTGGGGCAGGCAGTGCTCTCAAGCCATATTAGGTGTGGATTTTTGTCTGACCAGCAGAACTTGGGCCAGCGGGATGGGTTTAGATGGGAGGTGCTGGGCAGTGAAGACGGAGACCCTTTCAATCCACTGGATCTACGGTAGGGCAACCTCACCATGGAGGGACAGCCGGGGCTGAGGGCCTTGTGTCTCTGACAGACTGACTCTACTGCTGGCTGGGAGCCAGGTTCAATGTTCCCCCTGGGCCTTGTTCCCCAGAAGAACAAATGCACATTTCAGTTTAACAGACGTTTAATATGTGCACCCTGGGTGACAAGGCTGTGCTGGAATCACGATGCAGAGGGTGAGATTTGATCCCTGCTTTCAAGAAGCCCATGTTCTTGTCTTCCCAATAAACAAATGAATTAATTAATAATCAATTTTTTTTTAAAGTTTCAGACTTCTCCCAAATTGCCTACAGCCTCCTGCAAACTAGCTCCATGTTTTGCCCTTGCTCCATGAGTATCCCCCAATGGATGCGACCTCATCTTCCAGATGGAGTGAGTGGCCTGGAAGTTTTGTTCATTTCTCAGAAGGGAAAATGAACCACAGGTTGGAGGATGGAGGCAGGAGCGACCCAGAGCGCTTCGGGCTGGCCGCCTCCCGGCCACTCCACACAGGCCACAGAGACTGATGCCTCTTGTCCTTCAAAGGCCCCAGTGAAGTCCATTCCCAGGACTCCACACTGCCAGCTCCATGGGAAAGCCTCAGGAGTGGAGGAGCATCTCACAGAAGCCCGGGACCCCCAAAGTAATGCCAGCCCCTCTCCTCCTGTTCCATTCTCGGTGGAGGTTAAGAAAAGCTGCTGGATTAAAGAACATTTCAGGAAGCCTTGGGCATTGGATTATCCTCAGTCGCTGCAACACTGATAATGTCTAATTCTGGGGGACACCAAAGCATATTCACATGCCACTTACTCCTCATCATGTCCCTCAATGTCCACACAGCAAACCCAGGTGAGGAAACTGAAGTGTGGAGGGGTGAAGTGAAGGACTCGGGTCACATGGCTGGGAGGTCACAGGCATTTGCCAGGGGTGCCCACAGTTTCTCACCCACCCCAGAAGGCTCAGTCACAGTCCTTCGGGGTGCTGGCCAGTGACTGTGGGCCTCAGCACTCGAGGGACCGGGAGCCATAGCCACATGCATCTTCGTACTTGTTCTGGTTCATCTTTATTGCTGCCTCTGCTCCTCTGTTATCGGTGACTTAGACTCAAAACACGAGTTGGCTCATTACCCCCCAGAGAGCAACACTTCTTGAGGCCCCACGTCTATACCTCTCTTCAAATACATGACACAAGTGCTTTCACCACTCCTCATAGCTCCTGTTTTCCTGCTTCTGTTAGGGCCACCGTTTAGTGACCCAATACAGAACTTCACCCTAAAAATCAGAATATCCACTGTTTATCCTCCCAAATGAAGTGGTGGCTCACTTCTATGTATCACTACTACTCCTCCACCATCAGAAACAACTCTTTTCTGCCAAGAAAGTACCTTTTAAAACCCTGGTCAAGCACATCACCTCCAGAAAGCCCTCTCTGATTACCCTGTTTTCATTTAATTATTCTTTTATTAAGTGCAACAGATGCCTAGTAGGGAGGTGTTTTCCTGTGCCCTCAGGAAGGTTCAGGTTCTGTGTTCATCACTATTCCCTGACCCCACTGCGCACTCAGCAAATGTTCCCAGAGCAACCACCACAACAAAGCGAGCACAATCTAGCCACTCCAGGGACCAGAGTGTGGGGCAGATACCCACTCTGGTGCCAGGAATCTAGCCATACAGAGCAAGACTTGAAAGTCATCTGGGGACAATGATGTTATTCAACATCCCATCACTTGGTACAACGACAGAGATTTGGGACAGAAACCCACCGATGGTTTGCCCGGAGTTAGCAGCAGCACACTGGCACGGGCGCTCCCCTTACTCCATCAGACCCTCCGCGATGCAGGGACCCACGGGGACCCGCCCAATCACGCCCCAACTTGGATGCAGTTCATGCACCGAACACTAGGTGGCAGCAGCCACGGGGCCGCTCTTGCGGGGACGCCCGGGATCTAGTCTCGAGGTAGGGGGTGCGACGCCCCCTCCAGAGAGGAGCCTGAGGGGCCACAGTGACCCATGACAGAGCCGGTCTCCACCTCCACCACGTCCTCCCGGGACACTGGGGGTGGGGAGGATGGTAAATGAGCTCTTCCCACAATCAGGCCCCTGGCCGGGAACAATGTCTCTGCAGTGTTTCACCGCCACGCGCGGGCTGGACTCCCCGGGGTGGGGTGTGGGGTGGGGGGCGGCTGGCGGGCTGGGGGCACCCACCACAGAAGCTGGGCTCCCGCCACGGGACGCGCACGCCTCTGCGGGCGCAGGCGGCGGCATAGGTGGCCACGGCGCCGCAGAGGCAGTCGCGGCCGTCGGCGCAGGCGCACACGTCGTAGCGGCAGTTGTGCAGGAAGGGCGCGGGGCCCACGGCCTGGTGGCAGGCGGCGAACTTGGCGGACGTCAGCAGAGCGCAGGCCTCCTCTGCGAACCTGGCTGCGGGGAGAGGAGGAGGGCGGGTTGTGGCCAGGGGGCTGACCCACCCCAGGCCTCACCCACCCCAGGCCTCACCCACCCCTAGGCCTCACCCACCCCCAGACCTCAACCCCTCCCAAGGCCTCACCCACTCCCGAGGTCTCACACACCCCAGACCTCACCCACCCCGAGGGCTCACCCACCCCCAGGGCTCACCCACCCCCAGGGCTCACCCACCCCCCACCAAGGCCTCACCCACCCTGAGGCCTCACCCATGGGAAGGGCTCATCCACCCCCAGGGCTCACCCACCCCCCACCCAGGCTTCAACCCCCCCCCCCACAAGGCCTCACCCACTCCTGAGGGCTCACCCACCCCCATGCCTCACCCACCCTGAGACCTCACCCACCCTGAGGCCTCACCCACCCCAAGGACTCACCCACCCCCAGGGCTCACCCACCCCAAGGGCTCACCCACCCACCCCCAGGCCTCACCCACCCACCCCCAGGCCTCACCTACCCCCCACCAAGTCCTCACCCACCCTGAGGCCTCACCCACCCCAAGGCCTCAGTGTTGGAATCCCCAGTGCAGGTTGCGAGGGCTCCGGGGATCGCTGCAATCTTTCTTAATCAGTCAATATACTTTGCTAATGATGTTTGGCTTAATTACATAATAAACTGCATTTCCAGGGCACAGGAGCACAACAGAGAGAGAAAATGGCCCACAATGGGATGGGTAAGAGGGAAGTCTGTGTAGGACTGAAATGGCACCAAAGAGAAATCTGCAAATGGCAAACCCCTCCCTCACAACACCCCCTGCCCCCCGCCCCCCCTCCACACACACACACATGCTGCACACACTGCATTTCTCTAACAATAATATAATTCTGAGTTGTGTAGCCACTGCTCCAACAGACTGGGCCAGGGACAGGAACTATGTTTCACTTTTTTCTGTCTCAGGGTTGGAGTCCTCCAGAGTGCACCCCAAAGAGGCCTTGACGAATAAATGATCCAGAAGCAGATGATCAAAGGCTCATGATGAAAACAAAGCACCACCCCTGCCGGGACCCTGGAACGCAGGGGTCACGGTGTTCTGTGGGTCCCGGCTTCTCGCCCCCCAACGCACGCCCAGCTCACGTACTCAGGCGCGGGTTGAGGCTGCAGGGGTCGCTGGGCTGCTTCTGCAGGTCGGCGCAGTCCCCCAGCAGCTTCCAGGCGTTCCCGAAGTCCTCCACCTGGGGCTCCACCAGGCCGGCGGGCGTCAGGAAGTCGTCGCCCCTGTTGCCGTTGTAATTCCCGCACAGGCCGCAAGTCCGCCCGGCGTAGACAGGGGCCATCTGCGGGGAGAGGAGGCCACCTAGGAGCTGCCGCTGCCAAAGCAGCAACAGCTTCTTTCCCTAATGAGATGCTTTACCCGACAAGGCTCCCAGGGTGAAATAGAATAGAATAGAATAGAATAGAATAGAATAGAATAGAATAGAATAGAATAGAATAGAATAGAATAGAATAGAATAGAATAGAATAGAATAGAATAGAATAAGAATAGAATTGAACAGAATAAGCTTCAGCTGAGCCCGAGGCTGCTGTGAAAGGCAAACAAAAGCTAAATGTCTGCTGAGCACCCCCAGCCCCCCACCAACTCCTGGCTCTTGGATCCTTAAACTCCCAGGCCAGATCCTCCAAAGGGATTGTGGAGATGATTGAGTGATCTAGTGATCAAGTGATCTAATGATCTAGTCCTGGAAAGATGGAGAGACTGATCCCGGAGAGGGACTTGCCAGAGGTGACAGAGCCAGGACAGGAGCCAAGATAGGCCGAGTCACACCTGTCAGGGACACGCTGGCCAAAGGGCCCCACACCCCCAGGAATTGAGTACAAAGCCAGCCTCCCTGTATCCCTGTATGAAGCACTTCTGCCAGCCACACAGCGGACAAGGCAGGCTGAGTCGCTATGTTGAGAGCCTCACACCTCACCTTTGGTGACAAAGAACAAGCCCTCCTGACTTCCAGGATTTAACGCAGCCACTGGGCATCACTGAAAACCCTGGGAGTAGCGACAGGAGGAGGACTCGGGGCGGGCTGGGTGACCAGGAGAGTCCAGGGTCAAACTCCAGTCGCGAGCATTCTCCATTCTTCTCAGCCAGCAGTGCACTTTCAGGGGCAACACGGGGACTGGAGCCCGCTCTCTCCACAGAAAAGTTGGGGGCACTGCTGCCTTCTGTGGACAGACTCTGGGGCTGTGGGGCCTGAGAGTCCGGACCCCCCCCTCACCTGTGGTTAACCAGGCAATGTCCCTGCTAGGAAACCCTCCCAAGCCAGGCCTCAGCCCCAAGGGGTCATCTCTTGGAGCCCCTTCCAGCATCCAGCTCTGACTTAACAAGACACAGACTAAACAATCTAGTGGAAGGTCCTGGACCCATATGAAATGTACCAAGTAAGTGTGAATAAGAAGGATGGTGCAAAGCTCCTCAGTGTCCTTTATAAATATCTAGTGTGGCCTCCCTAGGCAGCCAGGCCCTCCCTGGAGTCCCTTGTTAAAAGTAAGTCCCCCACCCTGGAACCAACTGCTCCCTTCTTTGCTTTATGCATCTCCCCACTTCTGATGTGTGATATCATTTGCTTGTTTGCTCATTGTCTGTCTCCTCCCGTTAGGATCTAAACCAAACGAAACAAGGATGCGTGTCTGTTTTCTTTCACTGTCACAGACTCCGCCTCTCAAAAGGCGGACATTCAATAAATAGGCATTGAATGAAGGCATGGTTGGACACGTGACTGAATCGATTTGGGGTGGCTGGAGCTCCCCAGATGCAGCTGAAAGGCAGCGCCAACAGTCGAGGCCATCCCCGAGCATAGTGACGAGCGATGCGTGTCCGTCCCCTCACCCACGTCGCACCATCTTCTCTCTTTCCTTCTCAGACCCTGAACGCACTCACACTCCCCGAAAGACCCCTCTGGCTCCCCCGACCAGGACGGCCGTCATCAACCTCCCCCACTCTCAAAAACACTCCCTTCTTCCTTCCGTCCCTCTGGCTGTGGCAGAGGTAAGCTGCCCAGGGGCTGAAGGGAGCCATGCCAGTGATGCCAGGCGCGGCTGGCCGTGACCTCTACATAATCCCCAGCCCCGGGAGCTGGAGAACATGCTTGCAACTTAAAATAAACCTCGAGCTGCAGAGCCCAGATGCCTGGACCGCCAGCCCCAAAGACAGGGCATCTGTCCATCACTCCAGGGAGGGGGGTGGGCTGGGAGGGGGGAGCTCGGGGACATTCATCTCCCTCCTCACCAGTCTCAGCCTCGCTTCCCAGGTGTCCTGCCTTCAGCACCCTGCAGGCCCCATGAGCCCCAGTGGTCAACAGGGTGATGAGCACCACATCCAACCCCTGTGAAGTCTCCCTTTCTTCTTCCAGCCCCAAACGCAACGGTGTCCCCACAGGCCACGGGGTCTCTGCCCCAACCTGAATCCTGAGCCATAGAGTCCTCTTCTTGTTGGATAAACCAACCAAAACCCACCCCAAGAACCCTGCCTCCCATTCCCATGGAAACTAGTCCCTCCTCAGAAGAGAGTCGGGACAGAGACCCAAGGAGAAGCAGTGGCCCGGATGTGACGCCTGCTGGCCTAGGGGAGACCCCTGCAGACCACAGCCCCCTGTCCCAAGGTGGAAGTGGCTGAGAAAGAGGGGTGGCTAACAGGGAGCAGCCCCCTTGCAGACGGGGTGTTGGGCAATGCCCCGTGGGCATCATGAAACTGAACTCCGGCCCTCGCTGTCACCAGATGACCATGAGGCCAGGCTAAGTGACCTTCTTGTCCAGAAATGATGGCTCTTTATTTCCAACTGTAAAGGGGCGGGGGAGGGGGTGATCTCCCAGATCTCTACGCTCTGCAGAGTGTGGTCATAAGGTGGGGTGTTTGTTAATTATCTTTTAAAGTCATAAATTTGGACTCTCAGGGACTCTAAGACATAAAATGAACGTGGAGGGAGGGCCTCTGGCAAGGCTAAGCCAAGGGCCCTGTGGAACCCGGAACCCGAGGACCCAGGAAAGGCCCCAGGAATGAAGTAGGGCGGCGGCCTTCAAAGTATGATCTTGGGATCTGTGCAGGGTCCCTGAGGCCCTTTCAAGGGATCTTCAAGGACAAAGTAATTTTCATCATAATTCAAAGACGCCCTTTGGCTTTTTCCCTCTCGTTCTCTTGCAAGCGAGCAGTGGAGTTTTCCACAGATGACATGACTTGTCATATTGCAAAAGAGTGAATCCAGCAGTGGGTATGAGAGCCCAGCTGTCTTCTATCAGGCCAGCGGGAAAGGAATTTGCAGAAAGACAAAACAATGTCTTCTCGCTGCTTATTTTTGTTTTGGAGTACAGTTCTTTGTACATTAGCACGTAGTGGGTTTATTATTGCTACTTTAAATGCATGCATAAACACAGTTTAAATGGTTTAATTTATAATGTGTTAAACATTGATATATATGAGCTTCAGAAAAGATCTTGAGGTCCTCAGTCATCTTTAAGAGGCCAAAGGCATCCAAAACCAAAAGTAAGAAGCACCGATCTAGGACGCTGAGCAGAGAGAAATTGGGTGCTGGCTGTGCCCCCCACGGGGTGGAGCAGGCTAGGCATACCCCAGTTTTCTTGCTTCATTATAAAGTAGGAACAATCATAGCCGCTAGAGAAACCTCCAGAGAAGTCCTGTGAAAAATCTGGATTGCTAACCCAATGTAACTCTAGGACCACAGAGCCCCAGGCACCGAGTAAGGCATTGGGGGTGCTAAGGGGCACCCGAGGGAGATCCCTGCTCCCAGCCATGCTGCAGCCAGGAGACTGGGCAGCAAGTCCTCCCTGTGGGAACATCCTAGTTTGTGGGCTCTTAGGTTACCAAAACCCCAGAAGTGAGAGTCCCCAGGACAAACAAGGGGTGCCCAGACAGCAAACACCAGCCTCTTGTAAACAAGAGAGGTCTGTTCCTCACTCTGGGGGTGTTGGGCCTGGGGAAAAATGAATTCTTCTCCCACCACACACAGTCATTCTGCACGGAGCACAAGGGCCACTTTGTCAGGGTCAGGCCGGGACGCTGCCTCCAGAGGGGACCTACCTTCACCAACAGTTCCCCGCGGCCATCCCAGTCCATCTGAAGGTCCTCCCCGTAGCTGAGGCGCACGGAGGGCTTCATGGTGTGCTGGATGCGGAGGTCACCTGGAACCCAGGGGGAGGCAGACTTAGGCAGAGATGAGGACAGGCAGGGTGTTGTCAGGCGAATGTCTCCCCTGGGGGGGCGTGGGGGATCTCATAAAGGAATGTAGCAATGACAAATCAGGTAGCAGGTGGGAATGTTCATCAGGCTTAAGAGAGTCTCAAGCAGAAGGATGACCAGGCTGGCGTGGGGGTTTGGGGGGTTAGTAGCTTGCAAACAGGAAGGCGGCTGTGTTCTGGCAGTAGCTTGCAATCTCCCTTATGACCACAAGAGGACAGTACAGGCTCCCGCATCCTTCTCTGGGGCACCAGCCCTGAAGCCGGATCTGATTCCCACCCAACCCAATACCCAGGTATTCCAGACCCCTGAGCTGAGGCACAGACAGTGTGAGTGTGCTGAGCAGTGCTGTGTGCAAAGCTGAATACAGCAGATCTTGCTGGAGGCGTGCTAGGAGGTTCCCTGCCCTAGAGGAATGACTGTATCATCACATGGGAGGCATGCTGTGTGCACACTTGCCCAAGAGCACCTACTATGTGCAATGCCAGGGTAACAGATCATGGGGTGAGGGGCAGTGCTCATGAGAGGGGAGTGGTCTGAGAGCCACTTGGAGGGTTCAGGTGGGGATTATGCTATGCAAAAGGGTGCCTGCAACCTGGCAATGACAGTGGACAGGTAGGCCTTACCCACAGGTCACAGGGTCACCTAGCTTTGCTCCAGATCCTCTGGTCTGACCCATCACCCACCACCCCAGCCTTTGAGCTTCAACCTGTGTTCCTCCCACCTCAAAGCAGAACCAGAACCAGAACCACCCTGCTTCCCTCAGTTTCCCTTGGCTCAAGTCAAGTGAAAATCCCCTGGTTCCCTTTCTCCTCTGTGCTCTGGGCCTGCAGCAGCCTCCCCTGTCCTCCCTGGGTGTCCATTTGGCTCCCTCCGTTGGTCCTCCTTCTCCAGAAGCCCTCCTTTCTTGCAGGGACACACCCTGAGGATACCCACCCTGCCCCCCAGAGATAGTCCTCTTTCATTTCACAGGGCGGGGGTGGGGGGAGGAGGGCACCCACCTTGCAGGAATGGGAGCTGCACATCCTGGCCATCCATGGCAACCCCGCCCCCGTGCTTCAGCTTCACGAGGCCATTGTGCAGCTTGGGCAGACGCACCGTGACCGAGCGGGTACAGACAGCATCGGGGTCATCGGCACACTGCCGAGAGGGGCAGGCAGTGAGGTCACCACACCCCAGCAGCCCAGGGAAAGACCCCAGCCCCAGGCAGACCGTGGCATGCTCACTCGGAAGGACCCCCCCACCCCGGAGCTGTGCCACAAGCAGGCCCAAGTCCAGCCCCAGCCCTGCCCAGCTTCTGAGGCTCCCATGCCCTCTCCATCCTGGTCTGGACTTTTCTAAGGAACTCTAGGCCTCTGGCTCATCTGCGTGTACCTTAGACCTGTTTTTTCCAAGCAAATTGGAGACCAGGCTCCTCAAGAGGCCCCTGTGTACCTTTGCTCTGTTCTCTGGAGAAAAGGTGAGTCCCCAGGCACCACTGCAGCCCCCTCAAGGAGACGGTCCCTTCCAGGGCTGCCCCTGCCCTGCATCCCGGCAGCGCTCACCTGGACCGTCTCTATGACGATGGAGAAGGTGTGGTCCTGGCAGTCCCGGGCCAGCAGGTACTGGCAGACCCCACTGAAGGTGAAGTATCTGCTGTCAAAGCTCTTGAAGTGGGACTGCCCTGCGACGAGACACTCCCCTGGGGAGACACAGAGAGAAGGGGAGAACAGGGGAGCTGGCGGGGGGGAGGAGTCATCTCCTCGAGCAGCAAAGGGGGTGCAACATCCCATCTCTGAAACCCCGCAGACCTTCCTTCCACACACTGGGTTATATTCTACAAGAGGACTCCATGTTGGGCCTAGTTGTCAGCCCTCAGAGGTCAGCACTGGATCCTCGATTCAACGCCTCACTTATCAAGGGGCCAGGTCCTAAGGGGAGCTCAGTCGGCGGTGAGGGGACACTGGAACCCGCAGAGTCTCTTTTCCTTCCCCAAAGCCACCTTGGGGTGGAGCATCTCAGAGCTGCCCAGGGCAAGGCACTGCCACTGGGGTCTAGGGCAGACCCACTGGGAGAGTTCCTGAAGGCAAGAGGACAGAAAGCACAGCCAGGAGGGGCCATGAGGGAGGGCGAGGCGGGCACCCTTGGAGCTGAACAGTGCAGAGACCAGGACCCCCGCCCCTCCCCCCGGGCCTTAGGGGCGGCTCTAAGGCCTCCTCATGGGCAAATCCACGCGTGACTTCAGCCCAGGCCAATGGGGGGCCAGAAGGCCATCTGCCCATGATCTCACCACTGCCCAGCCAGCTCCCCAGGCCAGGCTGACATGTCCGTGGGTGGGGTGAGGACTCTGCTTCATCTCCCTGCAACTCAAAACCCTCCACCTAATCGCCCAAGACCAGCCGGGGCCCCGGTGCTGGCCCAGTGCAGCTCAGAGCAGATGTCACTTGTCCTGGGAAGCCCCGAACAGGGCAGGTCTCTGCCAGCACCTCCAGTGATTCCCCATCCCCCCCGCCCTAGCTCAGGGCAACCCCATTTCACGGCAACAGAGAGTTCATTGAAGCTGAACCAGGCATCTGGCTCCCTTCCAAAACTCCCTTTATGTATTTCCTCTCATCTGTGCCTTCCACTCTGTAGAAAAATAAACATATACACACAGCACGTCCGCTCCATGAAGCAGGGGCCGCCTTTACCACCCAGCCACAATCACGTGTCCTCCAGCACACGAATCTGGTCTAAACCTGAGGTTTCCCCAAGAGCATCCTACAGCAGATCCTGCCTGGGCCCATCTCCAGGGGTTGATGGAGGGGTTGATGGGTGAGGGTGTCCCCAAAGGTCATCGGGAGATTCCAGCTGCCCATCTGTCAAAGTGGCCCGTTGCCGGCCCCATCCACTGAAAGGTACAGAGCCTTTGTGGTGTTGGAAGGCAGGGGCAGGGGAGAGTAGCCTGGGCCCGGGGCAGTTGACCCCTCCCAGGACAGCAGTGGCCAGAAAAAAATAGGAGAAACTAGGGAGGCCCCAGATCACTGCCATGAGCAGCACCATCTATATTTTTGCTCCTAACACAGAGCTTCCCAAAGCCTTGGAATGTCCTAGTGACAGAAGTGACTTGTGTACCCTAAATAACTTTGGGGAGTGAGGGACTATCATCAGGTACAATTAGAGACCTGGGACTTTCAGCTCCAACCCCTACCTCCTGAGGGGGGGGGGAGAAGGGCTGGAGAGTTAGTAATCAATCGTGCCTCCCTAACCCCCAAACAAGTTTCTGAGAGCTTCTGTGTCAGGGAGCACATCCACATATCGGTACCCCAGCTCCATGGGGACCGACACTCCTGTGCTCAGTACCTTTAGGACTTGCCCTGTCCCTCCTCCTCTGTCTATTCACATGTAGCCCCTTGATAACAGCCAGTAGCAGTAAGGACGGGGTTCTGTGTGAGCCGTGTTAGCAAATCATAGAACCTGAGGAGAGGGTGATGGGAAGCCAAAGGTGTAGCTAACTCATGCAGGGACCGGTGCCCTGAGGACCCCAGGGTGGGCTGGCATGTGGGTGATGCTGAGCCCTGAGCCTGTGGGGTCTGTGCCAGTGCTCAGCCTCAGACCTGGACCGCAGACACCCAGCAGGTGTCCAGAAAGTCAGAGAGTTGTTGGGTCAGTGGGAGACGCACACATTTGGTGTCAGAGTGTTGAGCAGAATGAGATTGTGCCTGACGGTTGTTGGCAGTGGAAGTCTGGGCAGAGCCAGCAACGAGGTGGACAAGGTCACCGGGCTGGTCATCATGAGTTGGAATTCTAAATCCCCTGAGGTCACCAGAAATCTTTTTAAATGATTGTTTTTCAGAAGCCGCCATCCATCTACAAACAGTGATACCACCCTTTGTGTCAAATGTCTTGACCCTTGGCCATAAAATGGGCAGGACCTCCTTCCCCAACCTTCCTGAGTTTTCTTATCTGAGCAAGAAGTTTGGCCAAGGAGAAAATTCACAAACATTCCAAAGCAAAGCTTTCAGGCCTGGAATTTAATCCTCCCTTCTGATTTCCTGCGGAGCCCCACTGATGTGTGCTCCAAAGTTTCTTGAGATTCAGAACTGTATATAGCATATCTCCATGGCACAGCTGAGGATGGAGGTGCTGGCAAAGGAAGCCAGGAACATGGACGGGCAAGCTGCTGGGCGGCAGGTGGCCCTGACTCTGGCACCTTTGTAACAGGGTGGTCCCCAGGAAAGGGGGAGGTTCCCTGCCCCACCCAAGGAAGGGTGGAGCTGAGCAGGAAGAGGAGAAGCGGCAGAAGAGACTGAGGAAGGAAGGAAGCAGGATGGAGCCAGAAGGAGACCTGGAGGAGGCACATGGAGCCTAGAGACACGTGAAGAAACTGAGCTTGTCTTTTGGTCGTGGACTGGGTGACACAGATGTGGGTGAGACCCGTGGGGAGGTGACAATGGCAGCTTTTATCTTGATGTTGATTTTGCTCTTTTCCTTCCGGGCTTGTCTGGTTGTTTGTGACCCTTTTCTGTGGGTCCCCACTGGAAGATGTTTTAGACTTGTGGTAGACTTTGGGGCCTTGTTCTGGGCCGATCCCATATGGATGGACTTTTACCCACGAGGGGACGGGTAACTTTGGGTGCTTCATTTAGAAACTAGACTCTTTGCCTTACCTGTATTGTTTCCTAGTTTAATTAAAGTTCCTTCCCATTAAAGTCTCCTATGTTTTGTGTTGATGCGGCGGATGGCAGAACCCATGTAGAATAGGCAGGTTTGCGGGGTTTGGGCTGCCCCTCTCCCTGTCCTATAACACCTTGACCAGATGAAGGCCAGCCTCACCTCTGTCTGCCCAGTGCGGTGCACCCAGACCACTGCTGGTCAGAGTCAGTCACCAAAGGGCAGCCCCCAGCAAGCCAGCCCACAGAGAAGGTGGACAGTGCACCTTCGGGAATGAATGAAAAGCAGATGCTTCTTAAAACAGCATAAAAGGCGAACCAGTCAGAAGGGAAGCCACTGCGACATGAGAAAGAGCTTTCCTCGTGGAAGAGAAAACAAAAACAAAAATTCTCCCATCTGATGGAAACACATCACCTCTTTGAAACACCCCCTTTTGTTTGCACTAAGTGAGCCTTCCAGAGGGGAGGTGGGTTGCTCCGCTCACCTCTTTTGTGTCTGTCCTTGTCTCTCAGCCTTCAGGAAGGCCAGCCTGTAGGCCTTTGGCAAAGTAACTCAGACTTCCTCCAAGTAATTTGTCACCAAAGCCTGCCCCTGGCCCACAATAAGATAATAATCTCAACCCAATGTGCCAGAGGGGTTTATAAGTGCTCCATGGGCACCACGTCACTCTGTGAGGTGGGCCTCCCTACCCCCACTTAACAGATAAGGAGACCAAAGCTCAGAGACATTAAACTTGCCTGAGACCCCACAGTACAGGCAACCTCAGAGATAGTCCAGACCATTCCAGACCACGGCAAGAAAGCCAATGTCACAATAAAGTAAGTCACCCAAATTTTCGTCTTTCCAGGGCATGTAAAACCTATGTTTATGCTATCGTGTATTAAGTGCCTAGTAGCATTATGTCTAATAAAACAATGTACATATCTTTAATTTAAAAATTCTTTACTGCTAAAATATGAGCTGTTAGATAAATGGCACCACGGACTTGGTCAGCGCAGGGTGGCCACAATACGAGTGGAGTGGTGCCTGGTTAATGGACATTGGTACATGGGCATTTCTGTATGGCTCCAGAGCCCCCAATACTGCCTCTTGCAGTCTGCGTTCCTTAGAGCTAAGCCTCAGCCATCCTGATCCTGGGCACAAATGCCCACAGGCATAAGTACACCTGGGCCTGGACACAGAGACTGAGCAGAGGAAACCCTGGCTCTGAAGGGTGATGGCCTGCAGGAGGTCTCAGATGGCTCCAAAAACACAGGCCCAGGCAGGGCACAGGAACTTGGGGGACTCAAATCCCCTGGGTGGGCTCAGCACCCTGGCAGTGCAGACTCTCTAGCCTTGGTTTACTCACAGCTGTCTCCGTTAGCAAGGGAAGAAGTTTGCTCCTTTCCGGAAGGCTTCAGAACAGACAGCGTGGATCCCAAGTTTGAATTACAGAATTGTGTTCTAATGCACCAGAAGTTATCCCCAACCAAAAGAGTAACAAGTTATGCCAAGGCCCTCACCTGCCCCTCCCACACCCCAAGCCCCAGGGGAAGACTCCTCTCAGCCCCCAGCCCCAGCCACACCACCCACACCCTATCCTCCCTATTCCAGGCTCCTGTGGGTCTGCGCCAGTCTCAGCCCACCCCTGCCCCAGTTTGGCAAAGAGCGGAGCTTTGTGAACATGAAATGAAGATGAAAGCAGCTCACATTTACTGAGTGTTTGCTGGTGTCGAGTAACAACAGCCAGGGGGTGAAGCTGCTGTAATTACCCCTATTTTACAGATTAGAAAACTGAGGCTGTGAAATAATTACGCAGCTTGCCAAAAGTCACCCAGCTAACAAGGGGGAGAACTGGATTTTCAACCAGGCTGCCCGAGGGCAGTGTTCCCAGCCCAGGTCTTCCACAAATAAAAGACCCTGCACTCGAAGCTTCCCAGCTCCGGAAGAGTACCACACTCCTCCATCAGGAACTTGAGATTCTATGACCCAAGCTTTATTTGTTTGAGGAACAGCCCCTATTAATGTTCTTAGCACATTAACCCCAGCCAAACACTTTCAGTTCAGTGGGAACAAAATCAGCAGAACTCTCTGGACATGGTGTTTTGCAGCGGTTCAGGGTTACAGAAAGGAAATTGCGCAGTCTTTGGGAGAGCACACTTTTGCTGGGGTTGCCCTAATTCCTAACAGTAAGCAGTAGTGTACAGGAAGTAGCACCTATCTAAGAGAGCCCCAAGTGTCCCCCATATAGGCCGTTGCTCTCCTGAACAATTATCCTCCCTCCCACTACGCATTCACAGCACTTAGAGCTGAGGCAGGCTCTAAGGTACCCCCTGGCCTCTACCTCCTGGATTCCCACTGCCAGCTGAATCATGTCAAGGTAAAAACACATGCCAGGCACAGAACAACCAGGAGGCAACAATCAACTAACTCCAGAACTAGGGAAAAAATTGGTCAGAGGCTTTGTTGTGTGCAGATCAAGAGCTTAGTGGTTTCACTGGCAAAATATCAAAGCATTCAGTATACTGCAGAGTTGGAACTGGTTATCTTCCCACCGAGGCAAGAAATCTTCTTGCATCCTTAGCAAAGCTTATACATTTTGAATTGAAGACCAAGGATTGTATGGTCTGCCCCAGACCAAGTCTCCCATCATGTACACAGTGGGTGTTCAAATAATTGTTGGACAGATGAATGGGTAGGTGGGTGAGTGTATGGAAGGAAGGAAGGAAGCCTGGTTGCATAGATGGTGGATGGATGGAACATTCTTCCTGTAGACAGCTGTTATCAAGAATCCCTGATCTGGTTGTCAGTCTCACAAAACACAATGAACTGAATTCCTAGTCACACATAATTGCTTATAATCTAGATATTAAAAAGTGTTCTCACAGGTCAATTGCAGTAAGTCCTTCTGTCTTTCAAAGGGCTCACTGGGTCTTTCACAGCATGTGATTATGTTAAATAAGAGCACAGATCTCACTTGCAAAAGCAATCTTTTGTCCTTCCTGCTTCCTTTCACAACCACACAAAAGATAAACTGCCCATCCTTGGGCTAGACTAATTCATCTAGCCCCAGTGTTCACTTTCCATCTAGTTCTAGAATTTTTCCAGTATAAAGGGTACTGGGTAAGTCCTAAGTGACCCTAGGTGACCCTTATTTGATCCCAAATAAGAATCCAGGTACCCATATTCAAACCCCTGCCAGCCCAGCAAGACTGCCAGCCTACCAAGGCCAATGTGGCCTTTTGGGGCCCAGAGAAAAGGAGCCTGTTACCTGACTGTTGGCCTAGCAGTCTTTTATTGCACTTTACAAACACGGAGGCCTCCAAGAGAATGAGCTGAGAATGAGCTCATCAAAACTAGATGGGGGCCCACTCCCAAGTTCATGAAGTACAGCAGAGACCCTCCTATGAAGGATAGACCAGGGCCTGGGGAGAGTAAAGGGAAGGGCAAAAGCAGAAGTGAGGCAGTGGTGGAATGAGTCCTTTTGTCTCTTAACAGCTGTGTGACTCTGAGTAAGTTACTCAACCTCTCTGAGCCTGCTCCCTCTTTTGCAGAATAAGAATAAATTGTATAAATCTGAAGAAGAAGAAATCAAAAAAACCATCCCTTTTATTATCAAAACAAAAAAAATCAAATACTTGGGAATAAATCTAACAAAAGAGGTAAAGGACCTATACAAAGAAAACTATAAAACACTGTTAAAAGAAATAGAAGAAAACACAAAGAAATGGAAAGACATCCCCTGCTCATGGATGGAAGGATAAACATTATCAAAAATGGCCATCCTATCAAAAGCAATATACAGATTCAATGCTATTCCAATAAAAATTTCAATGTCATTCTTCAAAGAAATAGAACAATTATTGATGAAATTCATATGGAATCACCAAAAACCCCGAATAGCCAAAGCTCTCCTGAAAAAAAAAAAGAAGGGAATAGAGGCATCACACTCCCAGACTTCAAACTATACTACAAAGCCATAATCATCAAAACTGCATGGTATTGGAACAAGAACAGACACACAGACCAATGGAATCAAATAGAAAATCCAGAAATAAACCCACAGATTTATGGTCAACTAATCTTTGACAAAGGAGCAAAGACTATGCATTGGAGCAAAGAAAGTTTGTTCAATAAATGGTGCTGGGAAAACTGGGTCGCTACATGCAAAAGAATGAAGCTTGACCACTACCTCACACCATACACAAAAATCAACTCAAAATGGATTAAAGAACTAGACATAAGACCTGAAACCATAAAATACATAGAAGGAAATATAGGTGAAACACTACGTGATATGCACATCAAAGACATCTTTACAGACACATCACCCAAAGCAGTGATAGTGAAGGCAAAGATCAACAGCTGGGATCAAATTAAAGAGCTTCTGCACAGCAAAAGAGACAATAACAAAAACAAAGAGAAACCCCACCGACTGGGAGAACATTTTTGCACACAACACTAATGATAAAGGACTGATCACAAAAATCTTCAAAGAGCTGATGAGACTCAACAACAACAAAGAAAATAATCCAGTAGAGGAAATGCAAATGGCCAACAGGCATATGAAAAAATGTTCAACATCACTTGTAATCAGGGAAATGCCAATCAAAACTACCATGAGATACCATCTCACACCAGTGAGAATGGCACATATTAAAAAAAACTAGCAACAACAAATGTTGACGAGGATGTGGAGAAAAAGGAACTCTCCTGCACTGTTGGTGGGAGTGCAAACTGGTCCAACCACTACGGAGAGCTGTGTGGAGATTCCTCAACCTACTAAACATAGAGCTTCCATATGATCCAGCAATTCCACTCCTAGGTATTTACCCAAAGGACACAGAAACATCAGTTCCAAAGAGCACCTGCACCCCTATGTTTATAGCAGCACTATTTACAATAGCTAAGCTTTGGAAACAACCCAAATGGCCAAAAATAGATGACTGGATCAAGAAGATGTGGTACATATACACCATGGAATATTACTCAGCATTCAAAAAAGATAAACACATGCAATTTGCAGCAACATGGATGGCGCTGGAAGGGATCGTGCTCAGCGAAATAAGCCAGAAAGAAAAAGAAAAATGCCGGATGGTCTCACTCATAGCAGGAATCTAGAAAACCTAAATAAGGGACCAAGAAAAACTATAAGAAAGTGAAAATCAAAATCAACAAACAACTATGAACCAGATACACTCTATGGGGGGTGAGGGGCAGGGAGGGGAGGGATAGGGTCAAAATAAGGGGGTTGCAATTGTATGGGGAATATAAAAATAAAATTTATTTAAAAAAAAAGAAAAAGAATAAATTGTACCTGCTTCACAGGTTGCAGTGATGAAGTAATATGTGTAAAGTATTTAGCACAGTGCCCTCCACAGAGCAGATATCCCATGAGAGGCCTCAAAGGGGAAAACCACAAAGAGAAAAGCTAGGATCACGAAGGGGTGAGGCAAAGGGGAGTTTCAAACAGGTAAAGTTTGCAGTAAATAAAGCTGGGGCCAAACAGAGGAGAAGGTGATGGGCAGAGACCATAAGGCTAATTTTCCAAAGCAGATTTTCTAGGACAGGAACAAGGTGGGGGGAATCATTTGTGGCCTGATTTTCCCAGCTCTTGGACCACACCAAGATCTTTACAGCAGATATTCCAGAAAGTTCTCTCTTAAAGCTTAATGAATCATCAAGCCCTTCTTCCTCCTAATTTTCCAAAGAATTTTCATGCTTTTTGTTTAGTCAAATATGACCTTACATTCTTACAGCTCATTCAACCTTAATCCTTTGAGCAAACAGGTCATGAGAAAAGGACAAAAAAAATCCTTTGCCCAGGTGTGCTCTCCCATTTCAGCTACTTCAGGGTACCCTCTGCTGGCCCACGAGGGGGCCAGCACAGCTGGCATGAAAACACACTTGTGGTCAGGAGGTCCCTAGAAACCCCCTTCCTGCCTTGATGTGTGTGTTCAGTAGGGGAGGATGAATCTCTGCACTCCGAGAAAAGAAGGGGATGAGCCACAGTTCACCTACCTGGACATTCTTCATTGCTGCAGATCCACAGGCTATTTCGGCAAATGCTGTTGGGGAGAAGCACAGGGCATGAGTAATTGTGCAAACACAAGGGCACCTGAGCAGATTTAGAGCTCATGGCAAATGTCACAGAAACCAAAGATCACTGTGGGAGGCGGAGGGGTCTTGGTGAGGTTGTACAGAACTGGGCTCTGACCACAAAGGAAACTTGGGGCTCTTGGGGGAGAAACCCTGACAAGGGATATAGAAGAACAAAGAAAACCTGGGAGATCCAATGTCCTTGAAAATCTACCCAGGTGCTGAGCAGTCACACACACACACACACACACACACACACACACACACAAACACACACGCAGTTAGTGGAGGAGAACAAGGGAGAATTGTTGAAAGCACGAATACCCAGACCATGCTGGGCAACTCAAGGAGAATCCTTGAAGACCACCAAGCAGGGAAAGACAGTCAGGGTAGAGGCCTGACGAAGAAAGGGGGAGCTATTTTCCCAACAGGCAGAGGTAGGTGCAGTTGGCCAGAGGAAACAGCCAGCTTCTTGCAGAAATGCCTTGAGCTCAGCAGAGACAGGAGCCAGGATTGGGCATCTGCCACCTGTAAAAAGCATGGAGGGAAGGCAGGTCTGCGTGAATAACCCCTGGGAAGGCTGTTCCCTCCCACCCAGCAGTTAAATAGATGTCAAGGAGAGAAAAACAGTGTGTCACTGGGTGACCATAGCCCCTCTTCTGGGAGATTCACTTATTAAAACCCAGTTTGGGTTTTGGAGGCCAGGGGGCCTCCCTGGTGGCACAGATGGTTGAGTGCAGTGCTGTGAAGCTGTTCGCAGCCTCTGCAGCACAGGTTCAATCCCAGCTGGTCAGGGAGATACCCACATGATGCGGCAGACCTCTCCTCAGCAGAACTCCACACAGCAGTGTATTTCAGTCAGTCTGCCTCTCTGTTCCCCACTCTGTCTCTGGTGAATCCTCTCACCCTCCCGCACCTCTAGCCTGTACCCTGGTTCTTGTATGCATAAATAAATCTTTAAAGAAAAAAAAAAACCCAGTTTGAAGGAAATTGGACACATCATAAGCATGTAGGGTCCCTCCCTCCCTGACACCCCTCTCCCCAGGAGTATCTGTAATAGAATCCTTGGTCCCCATCATTGAATTCCACCCCTTTCTCCAAACCATTCCCCCCTTCAATCTCACCTTCTCTCTCTCCCTGCAGGCCAGGTGCTGCCCCAGCAGCCCCTCCCCCAGCCCCTGGGGAGCTCCCAGGAACCCCACTTACCAGGTATTGCAGTCTTGTGAGAGGGAGGCTCCTGGGGGGTACCGCCTTCCAGAGTGTACGCAGGGACACTCGGATCTCTCCATGCAGCGGCCATCATCCAGGAGCTGGCCCTCTGGGTTTAAGGACATCAAGGCACACACTCAGCCTGTCATCCTCACGACATCCCCCAATTCCTAGATCCCCATAAGTGCAGCCTAGCTCTTCTCCTGGGAAGCCCAGAGAATTTGAACATGTCTCAAGTTCATGTGGGAGGGAGGGGACCGGCCGTCTCCACTGCAGCCATGACCAAGGTCTTTCACTAGGGGATTCCTGTTTACCTTTCCCATAAGGCAGCAGGAGAAAGGGGAGATTATAAATCCTCATTCTGCAAAGGGGTGGATGGAGATGATGGTCAAGATCTCCCAGGAGGGAAGTCAGGGGTCAAAAGATGCAGGACTCACTCTCAGTCACTAACAAGGTTTTTCACCAAAGTTCACAAAGTCTTCCCCAAGAAAGACTCTCTAGTGCAAAGCTTCTTTTCAGCTCAACTGACCTAGCCAACCCAGGAAACATTTAAAAACATCTTTCTCCCAGGCCAGCTCCCTGACTTCACTGAAAAAGCAACGCTGCAGTTCAGATGGGGCCACGTGCCCCCCCAAACAAAGTCACTGTGGGCATCAGTCCCTCTTCAGCTTCCCCAGACACACGTGCTGTCGTGGATACAGTACAACAGGAAAACGTAAACTAAAATGAAATGCCCAATCCCTCTGTAAAAAGACTTTTAAAAGTTAAAATAAGAGGCCTCTGATTTCATCAGCAAGGAGCAAACACAAGTGGCCTTCATGTTCTCCCTGAGCCAAGGGCGCTGGCAAGGTCTCAGGTTTGTAAATAAAGCGGGAAATTTATTACCAGGGCAGCTGCAGCCATCCACGCACTGCTCCTGACACACTTCATTGATATGCAGGCTCTGGCAGGTTCTGGAGCACGGGGACACACACTCCTTGTAGTCCATGCCAGCAGGGCATGCCGGTCCTGGAAGAGAAAATGGAGTCTTCCAGAGCCTCCTGTACTTGGAGCCTCCACGCCCCCATTGTCAGTGCCCTCCGTTGACTGTCTTTTCAGGGGCCCCTCCAACATGCACCCCTGCTAACCCCTTCTCTGAAAGACAACTTCCATTTTGCAAGGCCTGACTAAGCTCGGCAGTCACCCGGGACCACCCACTCCCCTTTGGTCACCTGCTCTCCCTGAACAACTGGACATTCTTTTGCTCCTCTGTGCTCTGTTCCTTTCTCTTAAAACCCTTTCAGGGTGGGGGCCTCCCTGGTGGCAGAGGGGTTAAGTTTCAGCACTTTCATCTCCATGGTATGAGCTCAATCCCCGGCCAGGGAGCTACCAACATGGCGCAGCAGACCTCTCCTGTCTCGCCCGCTGCTCCCCTCAGCAGTGTATTTCAGTAGATCAGCCTGTGCTGTTCCCCACTCTATCTCTGGTGAATCCTCTCACTCTCCACTCCTCTGGCCTGTACCCCAGTTCTTCCATACAAAAATAAAAGTTTCATCAGGAAAAATGGTTTGGAGATGTCAAAAAAATTTAAAAAAAAAAAAAAAAAAAACCTTTCAGGGTGATACCAAACTCCAGGCCAAAACTGAGTGGCCTCTTAGGACTTCGATGTCCCCAGGACTCTCTGTCCTCCTCCAGGGCTCCGTTTCCTCTCAAAGTCAGCCGCCCTCTCACACCCCACCCAGCATGGCCACACCATTCACGCCCACTTGCCATGCGAGGAACACATGTTCTGTATTTATTTCCTTATCCCCTAAGCATCCGTCTTCCCTGTCTGGACAGATCCTCCCACCTCTCTTGAGCAAGGACAGGCCTCCCTGTTCATCTCTCGGCCTGAAAGGCTGACTACACCAGACAGTGGCCCCAACCTCTTCTCCTCCAAAATACATCCATTATCTCCCTCACCCCACCCTCAAAGACCAAGGAAAGAACCCCTTACAGGGGAGAAACCAGCTGCTATTAGCCACCTCCCCCACACCCCCACAGTCAAGATAAAAGCGCTAATTTATAGGCAGAAAAACACAAACTGAAACGCATGGGTCTTCTCAGAATCTGGCTGCCCCTCTGCCTCCCCGTCCCTGGGATCTGGCCACGATCGTAGACTGGCCACAAACGTGGACAGGCCTCCCTCCGCACAGCTTCCGTTGGGTGGGGAGGGGGGAGAGAAGAGGCTGCTGCAAGGTGGCTGGACAAGCTCCTTCTTAATCGTGATAGTGGGGGGGGGGCATGATAACGCGTGACTAGGGGCCCAGGGGGATCCAAAGAGCCACAAGTGAGGTGCAAGGAATGGTGAGCACTGTGCCTAGAGGAGAGGAGGCGACTTGAAAAGAGGGAGACATTATTAACAGCCTGCCAGACTCCCCAGGATCAGCCCTGGGCAGTACAGTCACTGACCGAAATGGCCTCAACTGCTGAGCTTGCAGTTGGAGGGAGAGGACATTTTCAAGTCCAAGGGATGGACTACCTGAGGGAGTAATGGGGGACAGAGATGGGAGTGGCTGTGGGGCGGACCTTGGGGAAGCCTTTCAAGGCTCACCACAGCCCTGAAGGGGGCAGACCCTTTATGGCCAGCACCCGGTGGAGGCGCAAGAGGGCAGGAGCTCATGGGAACCAGACTCGGGAGTGCTGAGGCTCTGCAGGCCCTGCCTGGTTGACCTGCAGTAAAGCCCAGAAGCAACCCGAATGACACCCAGGACTCACGGCAGGCGGTGAGGTCGGTCCAGCCATGCAGCACGGCCCCCTGGCCCGCACAGGCCCGGGCGTACTCCAGGAAGGCGGAACAGGGGCAACTGGGCTCCTGGGCACAGGTGCACAGCATCTTCTCGCACAGGGCCACAAAGGGCTCGGGGTCCAGCAGGGGGTGGCAGCGCGCAAACATCGAGGCACTCTTCAGGAGCTGGCACTGCTCCCAGCGGTCCTGTGGAAAAAGGGCACCCATTGAGGGAGGCGCCAGGTGGCAGGTTCCGCTGTGCAGGCCTGAGTCTCTTGGGTCTGACACTAGGGACCCCAAAGCCCACCCAGAGAACTGAGGGGTCGTGCCTGGCACTCAGGAGATGCCAACCAACATGTGTCAAGGTAAACAGTCCATGGATCCATACAGTGGACCAAGACTGAGGTTACATCTGAGACTGAGCCTAGAAATGGGCTCAGGGTGCAGGCAGTATCCTCCGAAAGGAAAGAGCAGAGAGAAGGAACAGCAAGAAGAGCGTTGAACTTGGAGTCAGGCCTCATGGCTTCAGAGCCCTGAAATACTGATCAGCCTCTGTTTTGCTGACTCAGCCCCTCCTCCCTGCTCCTGGCCTTGGTCTTCTCTAGTATAAATGAGGAGGGACAAGAAATGTATGAAGTAAAGAGTCCTGAGATTTTCATCCAGCATGTTGAGGACAGAATACAGTAAAATGCCATTTCAAACACTCCCCAGGTGATTCCTGGGCACCACAAGAGACCACTTGCCATCAACCAAAATATGCCAGTTTCTATCAAGTGCCCAGACTCTGCAGGCAAGGGCTCCTCTGTGGTTTTACCCCTTTGTTGATGCCTTCAGCCTAATAACAGGTGGGTTGGGAGGAGGCACCGGGCCCACCTGCCTGCACGCCAGTGTAAACACGCCTGTATGTTGTTTATGAACATCTCCTTGATCTGTGTTGGCGTGATGTGCTAAGTGCACATTTTTTTCACAGCTTAACATCCCCAAAGCCGGGTGCATGTGACAATCACACTGTAATGGGCAGTCTTTTCTTCCTGGGCATGCTTTGGGTATGTCGGCATTCATCCCGGGCCCAGCAGTGTCACTGCACGTGACCCCACTGGGCACATTGTTTCTTCCCTGCATGGACATGCTCTCCTCCTGGAAGCCCACAGCGAGCAAACGCACTTCAGTTAAAAGGAAAAAGTACAAGATTATCTAAAGGGAAGGGCTGAGCCCTGAAGGGAAATTAAACTATTGTTCACAAAGGGAGTGAAAAAGAGGAAAGAAATCAGCAGATCTGAGGAGAGAGAAATCGAATCTGCTCAAACTGGATCCAGACTGGCCAGAACAAGCCTGAGTAAACCAGGAGCCAGGAGCCTGGCCTGTGGGTCTTGTTTCTGGTATATTGGGAGCCCAGGGGAAACAGTGGTCTGATCCCCGTTCAGCTCATCATCCTCACACCACCTGGGCAGCACCACGGAGGTTTGTGGTCTTAGGGAAATGTGGTACTGCCCAAAGAGGCACTGAACTGGGGCCCAAGACCCATCCGGTTTGTGCCACCTGCACCAGAGCCTGGGAGCAGCAGAATGTCACAGCTGCTCCCTGATCCCAGCAGGCCCTGCGGTGGCGGCCCAGGGCCCAGCCGGTCAGGGCAGCTCATCACAGCTGGTCCCTCCGCTGCTGCTGCACAGCTGCTGAGCTGCAAGGCTGCTTTTGGAGGGGTGTGGGTAGACAGTAGTTCTGCATTTTGGGAAGAAACTGCTGACGGCAGCCCATCTACCCCCCAAATGCCACCCCTCTGACTTACTAAGAAGTCGAGGAAAAGCATAGGTTAAGACCAGCTCTGCTGCTTGTTGGTGGTTGGGACCAAGGCCAGTCCCCTCGCCTCACTGGAGAAAGGTGTCCTTGGGTAAAATGGGACTAAAACAACAGGCGCCTCCTGGCTAGTGTACAGACACCACAGAGCCCGGCACGGAGCCCTGCCGTCCTCAGGCCCAGCACCACTGAGGTCTCAGGCATGACCTGAATTCTCCCAGGTACCCTGAGCTTTCACAGCAGGGAATTGGAGGTTGGTGAAGACAGAGCAAGGGACAGTGGCAGAGCTTGCCCTGGGCTTATTCTGACCTCACAGCCCCATCAGAGTGCTACATCTTCCACTGTGTAGCCTTGGTCTGTTTACTTACTCCTCCTCCTCCATAAAATGGGGGCATAATAGTGATTCCTATGTGATAAGATTGTAGTGAAGATTGAATGTAATAGTGCTTGTAATATATACGTTATTAAATAAATGCGGGCCCCATAGCATCACCAACATCATCATCAATACCCCGACCTCCAGAGAGGTCCCTTCCACTGTCCCTCTTGCCTTTAGGCTTATCCTGCTGAGGGACATCCCTCCCCCTCTCTCCTGCACCCCGCCCCCCATGTCCCTGGGCTGTACTGGGATAAATGGCTCGGTGGCAACATTATCAATTCATTCATCTGGGGACTCCTGTGGTGACGCTTTTGTTCATCTTTTATCTGGGAGACTCACATGCCACCAGGACACTGTGGGTTTCTTTCTGGTTGGACCCAGAGGAGGCTTCCTCTTCTTCATAATAGGTGGAGGCGCCCGGCTACTTCTTCCCATTCTGCCTCACGGCCTGCCCATCACAAATGCCACTCAGGAAATGGAGTTACTGGACTCCCCAAGGGTTAGTGACATCCCCAAGAGGCCCCAGATTCTTGGATTCCCGGCCACCCCTTTCCCCATCCACAATTTTGAACCAGAAAAAAAAAAGCAACTCCTTGGATTTTTCTAGTGATTCTGCCATCACCTGGCTGTAAGGAAGTACCTTGGAGCAGCCCCTGCACCACAGGACCGCTCTGGCAGGCCCAGGGCCCTGAACACAGGCCTCGCACCAGTGGGCCATGGTATCGGCCAGAGGAAAGAAGACCTCCAGTTGAACCAACTCTATCCCCATTCACAGGAAAAGTGGGAGCAGTGCTCTGGCACATTTCCCGAGAGCTCCCTGGAGACTTCCAATGGCGTATAGAAAGCCTTCCTAGGAAGGGTGTTTTCTGACACTTTGCCTGCAGGGTAGGAGTGGAGTTCTGCAGAAACAGCCACTCCCTTGGCTGCTGCCATAGTCACCTGAAATCAGACCTGGACTTCTTTCTCAGCAAATAGAAAAGACCATACTCCATCTTGCCCTACCACACTCCATCTTGCCCTACAGTCTTCCTTTGCTCAGCCCTGGCCTGCACTAGGCCTCCTAGAGTGACTAGATCTGAAGCCAGGCAGGGTGTGTAGCCCAGCCCCTGCAGCCACTCCACCCTCGCACCTCCCAGTACCCTTACAACACAGTTGTAGGTGTAGCTGCTACTCCCAGGCTGCCCCCCCGCAACCCCCCCCCCCCCCCAGGTAGCCCTGTGACACCAGCCCCAGTCCCAAGAGAGGATGTCTCCACAAAAATAAGGCCAGGACAGTGCCAACATCATGTCCTTAGACCCACAGAGCATGTGGGAGGTGACTGAACCTTCACTTGATGGCCCCTGGTGGGGTGGCCTCGAGGTCTCCTGCAATGTGTCCAAAAGGCAAATCTCATAACAAACCATCCCAGGAAAAAGCAATGTTCTAGATCACCAGGGAGACAGGGAGCCCAGGCAGGATCAGACCCCAGCCTGCCTCTCCAGCTCCACCCCTCAGGGTGCTCCCCATCTCCCACGTTACTAACGGTTTCTTGAGCCACATCCCAGCATTTCATTCCGTTTGATGCACACCTGCCACATCTGGGCACTGTGCCAGGCACAAGGGCCACAGTAGAAAGCAAACAGCCCCATAAAACCTCACGGGGAAGCCTGTGCCCCTTCCTGGCACCTCTGCCCTCCCGCATCTCCCCTTCTTTGGCCAGAGAACAGCCTGTTTCGGGAAGGCTTCTCTGCCTCTGCCCTGCTGGTTACGGGCATCCAAACCCTCTGGGTGCAAAAGTTTACTCGTGTCCTGAAGTTATCCCTCCCTGTAGCTGGCTTCCCAATCCCCCCATCCACCCACCCCCTCAGGCTTGTCAAAAATACAGGAGCTGTAATCCCAGGGAATGCATGCCAGGTAATAAGGAAGTGCTGGATCAAACCCAACAATAATGGACACAGGGTGAGTCAGTCCTACTCTCCCTTCTGCCTACCTGACCAGGTGTTCCCAGGGGGAATGTTTACATAACAGTCTGAAGACTCAGTTCCGAGTTAAGGGTGTCTTCCCCGTGTTGTGGCCAGTTGCACCTGGAAGACACCGGCAGCTAGGGTGCCAGGGACGGCATCCAAAGAGGTGGCAAGTCTGAGCCAGGCACTGGGTGCCACTCAGGACTTAGGTTTCGGGGCAGAAGGGCCTGCCAGACAAGGCCAACAGCATGAGTCCAGGCAGGAGGGGAAACCCTGAGACCCTAGGCAAGTGCTGCCTCCGACTCCAGGAGAGCGACATGCCCTGGGCTGTGGCTCTAACAGAAGGGTGTCCTCAGCGTCCCTTAGCAGGGAGTTATGGCCCTGTCATGTCCCAAGCCTGCGCAAACTGCTTGGATACATTCTCTTCCTGCCTGTGCTCCTGCCCCCAGGCCCTTCCATCTGCTGCCCACAGGAAGAGCCCAGATCACGTTAGGATCCACTGACCAGGCTCGTGTCCACCATCCATGATTCCATGCCCCTGTGGACACTCATGTCCTAGGGTCAACTGCCTGTGCATTGGGGTTCACAGACCTTCAGGGGTCAGCACCTGGAATCCCGAGCAGCCACCCTGGTTCCTCAGCATCCACTCCCCCCAACTCCCCTCTCCTGCACCCACCGACCCCCCCACCCTGTCATGTTGCCATATTGAAACCCCAGGCTGAAAGGCCCTCTGCTGATTGTCTGCCCACCCACCAGCTTTAAGGAAAGGCCCCTCCAGAGCTGACTGAATTCTCTTCACCCAGCAAAGTGAAGTTATTCCACCTCTTCACTCACCCCCTCAAAATGACCCTTCGGAGGCTTGAAGACACCTTCAGAGATCACAAACCTCCTCCTAGAAAGGTGAATCAACAGAGCCTTTCAGATTTGGAAACTGAGGCAAGCAGAGAGTAAAGACTGTACTGGGTCAGTGGTTCTCAAAGTGTGGTCCGGGCACCCTACAGACTCCCAAGATCCTTGCAGAGAGCCAGGACATCCAAGTTGCTTTCCATAACAATGTGAAGATGTTATTTTCCCCTTTGCACTCATTCCTT